TTATTACCTTCATTGTTCCTCGATTTTAATAACCGCGCGGTTCAAAGAAACATGCAGACGGAAATAACATTATATTGTATTCTATATGGACCACTCAACCTACATTTGTTTGTCTTAAAAACTTTATAATTTTTTTTTTTTTACAAATTCTCCAAATTCAGATGGCAGGGCACGAACCAGTGAAAGTATAAAATAAATAGACTTTACGGATCAATTACTGACAAAAATATAACCAGTCCGAGTCAAATAAGAGAAAATTTTACTTAAAACTATAAATTAATTTAAATTATTCAAAAAAAAATTTTTAATTTTCGAATGAATTCAATTATTTTAAAAACTTCAACAAAATTCTTAGCAAAAATCCAATTACCCTGAATACAATTCCAACAAAATTTCTCGAAAAGATTTAATTATTACAAAAATAAAATTTTTCGAAACAATCCAATGTTTTGCAATAGTTAAATATGACCGAGTGATAAAATCATCAATTCAATTATATTATTTTCAACAATTTTTAACTAAAATTCTTCTATAATAATAATCGAATAATTTTCGAAAAAGTTCTTTGACAATTTTTTCAAATTGTTTTCAAATTATTAGAAATTCACGCTACATTGCTTTTAATATTCAATTATAATCTAAAATTTTAACTAAAATACATTTTTAAATCAATTTTTATTAGAAAATTCTACGAGAATTCAAATTATTTAAATACAAAAATAAATAATTTAATTGAATTTTTCTTAAAATTCAAATCCCATAAAGAAAGTTATTAACAAATTTTTAAATAATTGAATTCTTTCGACGAATTTTAATAAAATTTTTAAGAATAAATTACATTTTTCGAGAAATTTGATTATAAAATTGTATTGAAAATAATTGAAAATCTGCAATGAGTTTTATTATTGGTGAAAATAATTGAATCTCTAAAAAGAATTTTATTATTTTTGATCAATATTTAATTTTTTAAGATTTGAATATTATTACTCTTGAAAATAATTGAATTTCTGCAATAACTTCCCAGGCGCGAAAGACCAGTGCTGACGACGGGTTGAAACTTGACTGAGTCTTGAACGCCCAGCGTGGGTAACCCAGAGTTGAAGCAGTCTTTATATCATTGTCACTCAATATTGGTTCAGCATGGGACACCAATGTTCGTCCCATGCTCGATTCAAGACTCGGTCAATCTTCGTGAGTGGAGCTTCAACATCCAGTCTTTATTCAAGCTTGAATCAATCTTGATAGTTTATTTATTACCGTGTGCACTTAACAATATTAGATATAAATACTTATAAATTATTTAATATTAAAATATTATTTCTGATAATTTTTAGTAATTTTTTATACTATTTAAAAATTATTATTATTAATTATTATTAAATAATATAATAAGTATTATTATTATTGTTATTAAGATATCAATTGGTAAATAAATATTAATATTTATTTAGTGTATAATATTTATATTAATTACATAAGATTCATATCAATACAGTTAAATTATTATATATTATTTTTTTTCTTGCACAGAGTCAAATTATTATTTCAAAGTTCAAGAGTTTCGTTTATCTGAAAAATTTTCAGTGAAAAAAATGCTCATTAGGTAGTAATAAATATTTATGCCTATAGTAGATTTACACTAGGTTTAACTGTTTACTGAATATTATCAAAAATATATTTTTCGTCAAACGCGCGCGACTAAACACAAATAACCTTGAGACGTTGCGATTGTCGTGCTCCCACCATCCCATCTACTCAATGCTTTCCCCTCATGACGTCACAGGCGGGGAGTGTATTGAGTAGATGGGATGGTGGGAGCACGACAATCGCAACGTCACGCTGTAAAGTCTCAAGGTTATTTGTGTTTAGTCGCGCGCGTTTGACGAAAAATATATTTTTGATAATATTCAGTAAACAGTTAATCCTAGTGTAAAACTACTAGGCATAAATATTTACTACTACCTAATGAACATTTTTTTCACTGAAAATTTTACAGATAAACGAAACTCTTGAACTTTGAAAATAATAATTTGACACTGTGCGAGAAAAAAAATAATATATAATTTAACTTATAAAATTATCAGAAAAAATATTTTAATATTAAATAATTTATAAATATTTATATTTAATATTGTACAGTGCACACGGCAATAAAGGAACTGAATATTGTAACAAGATTGACCGAGTCTTGAATCGAGCATGGGACGAACATTGGTGTCCCATACTGAGTGACGGCACTGGCATTGATATACAGTCGAACCTGGATAAGTGGTCCCTGGATAAGTGGGAATCCTCTTTAAGTGAAACTTTTTTTGCGGTCCCTTGCACAAGCAATGCAAAATATCAAAAAAAACCTCTATAAGTGGGAAAACGCTACCTCTATAAGTGGAACTGATTTTTTAAAATAAGGCCTCTATAAGTGGAACAGTTTCTTAAATTTACCTCTATGAGTGGAACGTTCCCTCTATAATTGGAACTTTTTATTCATGTACCTCTGTAAGTGGAACGTGTCCTCTATAAGTGGAACTTTTCATTTATGTACCTTCATAAGTAGAATCTAAAACTTTTGATTAAACCACGATAAACACCATTAATGATTGGTAAATCTGCTAGACCGAGATGTTTCAAACACATCAAAACCTTACCATTTACATACAGAAACAATAAAAATGCTTGGATGACGTCTCTTATTTTCAAGGAATGGTTGTTAGAAGTTGATAAACAGATGAAGGCTCAAAGCAGAGAAATTCTTCTCTTTGTTGACAATTGTACAGCCCATGCGGATATACCTCTACTACATTCAGTTAAAGTCAAATTTTTGCCACCTAATACGACAAGTAAGCTACAACCGCTTGATCAAGGTATAATTCAAAATTTTAAAGTTTTTTATCGTCATAAAGTTTTGAACTTTATTATCGATTTCATTGACAATGGCAGTAATTACAAAATTACGTTAATGGACGCAATGAGATTCACGTTCAAAGCGTGGCATAATGTAACTAAGACAACAATTTCCAATTGCTTTAGAAAATCTGATGAAGGGGACAACTATGATGACAATCATGTAAAAGTGACAAAAAAAGATGCGCTAAATGCTTTAAAAACAATTACACAGTATTTTGAAAATAATGTCAGTGACAATGAAGTTTTCAATCATTTAAGTATTATAGAAACATCCATATATAAGACAAGTAATAATTTAAAACAAACTTCGATAACCGACTTTTTTATTCATTAATATTGTAAAAATTTTTTATTTTATTACTGTAAAATATTAATGTAAAATACTTATATATATAAAAAGTGCAAGACAAATATACCTCTTTAAATGGAACTTGGCCTACAACGACCTGGATAAGTGGGAAACTGGATAAATGGAATACCTCTGTAAGTGGAACGAAAATTTCGGTCCCTTCAGGTTCCACTTATCCAGGTTCGACTGTAGTAGATTAGGCGAGAAGCCTTCCAGCCTTCTGTGGCCGAGCGGTTTAAATGCGTGCGTTAGATACTTCCGGTATGCGTTAGGGGCGGGGGGCGTGAGTTTCGATCCCACATGCGAGCGAATATTTTTCATTCTTTGTTATAAGCGTTTATATAAAAAAATAAAATTGTGTGTTGTGTCGTGAATAAAAAATGTGAACATGTTTATAAATAATGTTAAAAGTATGTTAAAAATCAAGAAAAAAATGTAACAATTAACAGAAAAATTGTCTTTTTTTACTAAAATTATTTTTTTAAAATTACTATTTAAATGATATTTATTGTTAGTAATATATTCTTATTTATATGAAAATAATATAATTATTACAAATAATAATTTATTGTCATTAAATATATATGTATATATACGCACATGAATTAAAATAATAACAATAATATTTATTATTATTATTAATAATTCATATATTCACATTATATTGAATAAACGTGAGAAACGAGTAAATTTGGGAACAGTGGAAGCAGTCTTGTTTCAGTCCTGCGTTAGGCGTCCGCAGCATTGATTGAGCATTGATGTCCAATGCTGAATCAAGGCTCGCGCTGCAGTCTGGAATCGGTGTTACATTAAAGCTTCGATCATTCCTGCTCTCGCTGATTCACTCATGCTCAATCAATGTTGACCAATGCTCGGCCAATCTTTATAAAGCCTTAACTCGGCGTCACTTCGCGCCTGGGTTGTAACTTTTCCAAAATAAAATTTTTTTTCGTGTTTTTAACTAAAATTCTTCTATAAATGCATAACTTTTAATAATTTTTAAAAAAGTTCTTTTCTAATTTTCAAATTCATTTGAAAATTCAATTTTACAAAATTTCAATTATTCGTAAATTCTTAAATTATAAATTAAAAAATTAAAACTTAAAATAATATTAAACAAATTTAATTTAAATTGTTCAAAAAAATTACTTTCAAAATTCAATTATTTAAATACAAAAATAAATAATTTATTGAATAATTGATTGTTTCTTACAATTGAATTCTCATAAAGAATTTTATCAACAAATTTTTAAATAATTAAATTCTTTCGACGAATCTTAAGAATATTTTTAAGAATAATCAGATTTTTCGAGAAATTCGATTACAATTGTGTTAAAAATAATTGAAATTTTGCAATGAGTTTTATTATTATGAAAATAATTGAATTCCTAAAAAGAATTTTATTATTTACGAAAATAATTGAATTCTTTTGGGAAATTTTTAAAAATAATTGAAATTTTGACAAAAATTTTATTAAAATTTTTGAAAATAATTGAATTATTTATAAAAATAATTAAAATTTTGACGAGAATTAAAAAAAAATTTTGAACATAATTGAATTTCTGCGAAGATTTTTATTACTTTTGAAAATAATTGAATTTCTCCAATCATTTATAATTTCTCTAAAATTCTCCAATTTATATCGTACAATTTACAAACTTTTCGTTTTTTCGGACTTGAAGCAAATTTACGGACCTAGTTCGAGTCCTGAGATGGGGAAAGAAAAAAAAATGGTACCATTTCTAACCTGGTTTGGGGATGACTGTCTCTCTCCAATCCTCTCGATTTTTATCCACTTGATAAACTCCAGATGTTGTCTTCCAAAAAAACACTGAACACTTTAACACGAGTTTTTAATCACACTGGTACAATTTTTTTTATGTTAAACACTTAGAGACAGCAACATGTGGTCGTGCTGTCATTTCATCGCGCACTTGGTTTCACCGATTGTGATTGAATTTATTTCATTTCACACTGTTTACACTATTCCACACTTCTTACCGATTGCGAGATTATTAGGACACTCCCGAGTACTTTTAATTTTATAAGACGAAAATTAAAATTAATCAAAATTCTACAAACTTTAAATTTGGAAAAAATTATTCCAAACACGTGATTGTCGTCAATGGTCATTTTTCTATTCACGTTACAATGAGATAGTAAATTAAAACTTACACAAAATAAAACGAAATTTAAAGAAAATTCTTACTCTTTCGAACTATTGGAATAATTAAAACGACTCAAATGTAAACTAGAATGTAATATAACCAATGAAAATAAATAAATAATCCAGAAAAAGAAAAGAATAACGCCACTTGTTTCATTGTTAAAGTTACCAGAAATAAACAAAGCGCCAACAACGCTAATGGTGATAGGAAAAGCAACTAATTGCTCAGATCATAATGTTGAAAAAAAGTTATTCTATCAAAATGTAGATAAAAATATGAAATTACAATCTGTAATGCACTTTAAAAGAATAAAATAGCATTCCTTTATAATTATTAAATTTTGAAAAAACAACAGTGAAACTATATTTTTAGAGGAACGAAAAGTCCCAAACATAAATTATATAGGAAAGAAATTGCGCAGGTTAATAATTTATTCAATAATTGAATTACGTGATCCGTTAGGAACAATCTAATATAAACTGTAAATTGGCCACCATGCACAAAAAGACAAGAAAATTAAAGATTTTCATTAAAGGAAAAAAATTGCGACTAGAATAAAGACGCCATATTGATTATAGCGCCAATGGTAGTAAAAAGAGGAACTAATTGCTCCATTTTCATCTCAATTTTAAGACCTGAAATTAAAAAGAATTTTCCAAACACTTTTCTAAAAATATTGCAGCGTTGATGAAATTACACCCTCCTTTAAACTTTGGAATAATGATTAACAATCGGATTGAAAATTTTAATATTCACGAAACGCGATTTCGCCCTTTGAGAGAAAGAAAACTTACGATATTGACAAACACTTTGCGAATAAAATAATGACCAAGGCAAAAGATTTATACAATCTTTCTGTCAATCAACCAATTAATAATGCAAATCTTAACTTTAATTTACACACCACGCAATAAAACTAGAGAAAATTTTAGATTTCGAGAGAAGAAAAATCGCGACACGGACAAGTTGGCCACCAAGCAAGGAATGAATGTAGCGCCAAATGCGGTCGACAATGTAACTAATCGACAAATTTTCTGTCGGTAAGGTAGATTTGAAAAAAAATTTATCTTCGATCAAATTTGATGAAAAGAATAGAAAAATCAATGAAATCACATCCTGATTCAAACTTTAAAGTAATTAATATGAACTTGCCTGTATTTTTCAATGAATAAACTCAAAGGGAATAAGAAATGAAAATAGATTTTGGGAGAGAGAAAAGTTTCCGAGTTGCCAAAAACTATGAACAAAATAAAGACCGTGTTAAAAAAATTATATAATTTTTGCTTTTCTAACTAATTAATAATGTCCCACAAAACATTAAATTACACTCCGCGAATTAAAACTAAAGAAAATTTTATGATTTCGAGAGGAGAAAAATCGCGACACTGCCAACAAAAAGCGCGGGCTTATACTGAACAAAAGAGCCAACGCCCAACTGTGGTTGAAAATGTAACTAACTGTTAATTTTCACCAGAAAAAATTTTCATTGATTGAATGATTTTTTTTCAAGAATACAAAAATATATGAAATTACACGCTCTATTTAACTTTAGATTAATTAATAAGAACCGAACTGAATTTCATAATAATTAAACTCAAGAAAAATTGCAACGAATTTAGATTTTGGGTGGGGGAAAAGAGTTCCGGAAATTTTAAACACATGACGAAAATATTGATCGAGTTGTAGAATTTATACATTTTTTATGTACTTTTACCAATTAATAACGTTCCACTAAACTTTAATTTACACTCCGCGCATTAAAACACAAGAAAATTCTAGATTTTGCAAGAAGAAAAATCGCGACGCCGTCGCGAAAAAAACGCGGGATTACATACTGAATACAGCGCCAACGGTGGTTGAAAAAGTAACTAAATGCTAATTTTTCAATAATACCAACCTAATTTCTAAAAAAAATTTTTCACTTAATTTTCTTTTTTTAAATCGAAAAATTGATGAAATTACACAACCTTTTCAAAGTATAGAATAATTATATAATTAATAACAACCGGCCTGTACTTTTTAATTAATTAATTGAATACAAATATCAGCGACTTTAGATTCGTAGAAAGACGGGTTCGGAAATTGTCGAAAATTCTACGAATAAAATAACGATTGAATTCATGATTTTATACAAACTTTGCGTTCCATAGCTAATTAATAATGCCCCACAGAACTTTAAATTACACTCCGCGAATTAAAACTAAAGAAAGTTTTATGATTTCGAGAGGAGAAAAATCGCGACACTGCCAACAAAAAGCGCGGGATTATACTGAACAAAAGAGCTAACGCCCAACTGTGGTTGAAAATGTAACTAACTGTTAATTTTCACCAGAAAAAATTTTCATTGATTGAATGATTTTTTTTCAAGAATACAAAAATATATGAAATTACACGCTCTATTTAACTTTAGATTAATTAATAAGAACCCAACTGAATTTTATAATTAAACACAAGAAAAATTGCAACGAAGTTAGTTTTTGGGTGGGGGAAAAGAGTTCCGGAAATTTTAAACACATGACGAAAATATTGATCGAGTTGTAGAATTTATACATTTTTTATGTACTTTTACCAATTAATAACGTTCCACTAAACTTTAATTTACACTCCGCGCATTAAAACACAAGAAAATTCTAGATTTTGCAAGAAGAAAAATCGCGACGCCGTCGCGAAAAAAACGCGGGATTACATACTGAATACAGCGCCAACGGTGGTTGAAAAAGTAACTAAATGTTAATTTTTCAATAATACCAACCTAATTTCTAAAAAAAATTTTTCACTTAATTTTCTTTTTTTAAATCGGAAAATTGATGAAATTACACAACCTTTTCAAACTATAGAATAATTATATAATTAATAACAACCGGCCTGTACTTTTAATTAATTAATTCAAGAAAAATATCAGCGACTTTAAATTCGAAGAAAGACGGGTACAGGAATTGTCGAAAACTTTACGAATAAAATAACGATTGAATTCATGTTTATATACAAACTTTGCATTCCTTGGCTAATTAATAATACCCCACTGTACTTTTAATTACACTTCGCACTTGGAAACACACAAAAATCTTTTATATCGGGAGAAGAAAATTGCAACGATTTGCCACCCGGAAAACGCGGGAATGATCTAAAAATAAAGCGCCAACTGCGGTTAGAAAAGGAACTAATTTCATTTTTAGCGGCAAATTCGAATTTGAATTTATTTACTTTTTTTATTTTTTTACTATTTATTACTAATTATATATTTATTATTATTTATTTTATTATTAATTTTTTTAATTAATTTCATTTTTAGCGGCAAATTTGAATTTGTTTACTTTTATTTTTTACTATTTATTAGGCTATATATTTTTATTTATTTATTTATTTATTATTATCTATTTTATTATTAATTTTTTTTTAATGAATTTTATTTTTAGCGGCAAATTTAAATTTATTTATTTTTATTTTTTTACTATTTATTACTATATATTTTTATTTATTTATTTATTATTTATTTTATTAATTTTTTTTTGTTTTTTATTTATTTTAATATTAAATTATTTTTTCTATTTCTCACGTAATTTGGAGATGAATTAGTTTCTAGTTATTTACTACTCGAAAAAAAATTGTTTTTTTTCCTTTTTACATTTTATATTTATATAATAAATAAATTAATATTTAATATTTGTAAACACTGCATAGTTAATTATAGAAAAATGTGAAAAATCTGATTTAAATAAAATATAAAAGTAAATGAAATAAATAAATTTTTTTATTAAAATAAATTTAGTAAATAATTAATTTTCCTTTGAAAATAATAACGTAAGTAATAAAAAAATTAATAAATAATAAAAAAAATAAATAATAAAATAAATAATAAAATGTATAATAAAATAATAGGTAATAAATAGTAATAGTAGTAATATTATCAGTAGTAATAAATTAAATTGATTTATTTTTTCGTATAATTAAATAAAATTTATTTTTTATATAAATAAATAAAGTTTATTTATTCTTTATATAAAAAAATAAAATTTATTTGTTCTTTATATAAATAAAAAAAATTTATTTGTTTAGTATATAAATAAATAAATGAAAATTTAAATATATTAAATAAACCAGCTCAATTAAATTTACTTAAACTAATTTGATTTTCAAAATCACGACAAAATTTCTAATTATTATTATTATCATCATAGTGTTTCTCATTATCAAATCGAATATAATCACATTACCTGTAAATACTTCCGAAGATCTTTTTTACAAGATTATCGAGCTCGATACTTTTGATAATGGATGTTTACATCCTTCCGCTTCGTATTAGCTTTAATTTATCTCCTCACTTTCCTTGAAATGGTTTTCTTATTTCATCTCTTCTTTTATCGATAAATATAATATTCCCGCGATATATAGGTAAACCGGCCATACAGTATGAAGATATTATATATTTTTCGTGGAGGGGAAAATGGAACAAGACACGTAAAAATGATCGGGGTCCTGGGTGCCGGTTTTAACGCTGTCTAAGGCGCCTGGTTACGTGATGATACTCCCGATAACCTGGTTAACCCCAACAGCCCGGCTATTATAATATTTGCCGAACCAAAATATAGTAATTGCTTATTTGCTTGAGCCCAATTATTGTAAGTCTGATCCCCGTATATGCGAGACCCAGATAGGCACCTCTCTCTTTCTCTCTCATTCTTTTTCTCTCTATCGGTGAGGGTAACGATTAGGCCAATTGGGTGAACAATAATCACCGAGTTCTCTATTATTCATTCGCGCCCAGAAATTGCACTCCTGTGAAATTCAGACCATTAGATTTATCAATTTTTTTCTTTTTTATCAATTAACGTAAATAAACAAAATAGGAAAGAAACATTTTTTATAAAGTTTGGAAAAGTATTAATGATTTTAATTATGAAAACGAAGTAGTAGAGTAGTTAAAATTTGAAAAAATTCAAAAAATAGTAAAATAGAGTTAAAGAAAGCTAGTAAAAATATAGAAAATAATTTCTTTTTTCCACGATAAAAAAATTAGTTCTAGTAATTTTTAATGTAAAAGTTCTTTTATAATTTCGTACATAATTTTTAATGTTTACATTTCTCTCGAGAATTAAAATTAAATATAAATTAATCCGACTTGGTAAAATTTACATATTTCTTATGTACTTTATTCATTTTTTACTTCGAGTCTTTCTTTTACTTCAAAAAACAAAAAATCATGAGAAATATTTCATTTGAAAAATCTAAATACGCTTCAAACTCTATTAAAATCTATAACGTAAAAAATTCCTTTTTGTCTTTACTCTCCGTCAATACCTTACGGTTTCCAAAGTTTCAATAAACCGTCTTCGCTATACGAACAAAGTAAATTTTGATGCGGGTGATGAGCTAGGCCAATTACATCTTTTTCGTGAATCTGAAATTTTTTAATTTTGACGTAATTCAAACTGTATTTGTATTTTTTTCAATAGAAGAAAACAACTCACATTTAGGGTTCTTTCCAATTTTCCCGATGTTGTCGAGAAACAATAGAGTACAAGATCCTCTCCCACGCAGTAAATGAATTCACCTCGAGGACTCACGACAGTACAAACAAAATCACCGCCCTCACGTTTACCAGAAGAAAAGGATCTGACTATTTGTCCTTGCATATTCATGATGACAACTGTATTCGAACGATTGCAAACGACAAAATGTTCTGGATTCCTTGGCAGTGGTTGAATACTATTAACTGTTAAATCCGCGGCACCAAGAGATTTATACGTTCCTGTGCATTCAGTTGTTTTTAAACTCCAAACCTTCACGGTTCCGTCCGATGAGGCACTGTAATTTTTTCAAGAATAATTGTATTATTTAAATTTAAAATTAAAAATCTCTATTCTAGTTAAAATAAAAAAAAAACCTTATGAAAATTTTTAATTGAAACTAAATTTAAATTTACATTAAGACTGCAAGAGATGTAGAACAAAATTTTTTGTATCAAGAAATAAATTCTATTCTATAACATATATCTTTGTCTTAATCTTGATTACGTCCTTGTTTATTAATTCTATTCTAAAATTTAGATTGAAAATTAATATTACAAAAAATTTGTTTCTTAGCACCTAACTTTCTTTATAATAATTATAATAAATTCTACTTTACCTAATAACATTGTGTCCATCAGGAGAAAAGACCACTTCGTTAACAAAAGACGAATGTCCTCTAAATTCCTTAAGAGTTTTGCCAGATTTTAATCCGTGTATTCTAAAATAAACCAAATTAAATAGTAAATAATAATAAAATAATAAATAGTAAATATTAATATAATAATAATAATAAAATAAAATAATAACAGGTTTCGCACTCGATAATTAATTTTAAGGAAGTAGCAAAAAGTAGTTTTAAGACAGAAAAAAGAACTCGTTTTAAAATCACAAATAAAATAAAATAAAAATCACAAAAATTTAAAAATGTAGTTCCCTGACTTTTTCTTGATTTCCAAAAAAATATAATTTTTCCTCCTATCCTGATAATAATTTCAATTCCAAATATTTCTAAAATTCAAGTATTTTGCAAAGTTTTAATTAGAATTCTTCAAAAAGAAAGATTTTATTTAAAAATAATTTTGAAAAGTAAATAAATAAAAATACTTAAAAATGTAAAATTTATTTCAATTAAATTAGACAAAATTTCCAATTAACTCAAAATTTAATTAATTTTTTTTTTCATTTTTAAGGGAATTTAACAATTTTCAAAAAGTTTTAATTAAAATTTTTCAAAAGATTATTTTCTTTTATAATTTCTAAATTAAATATTTGCTTTCTTTCAAAGAATTATAAAAAAAATTTATGAATAATAATATTTTTGGAGGAAATCATTTTAAATTTTATTAAAAATAATTGAATTCTTGTAACGAATTTTATTATGATTTTTTTAAATAATTGAATGTCTGTGAAAAATTTTATTATTCGTTAAAATAATTGAATTCTTGAGTAGAATTTTATAAAAAAAGTTTTAAAGTAATTGAATTCTTGCCAAGAATTTAATTACAATTATTGAAAATAATTGAATTCTTGGAACGAATTTTATTATGAATTTTTTAAATAATTGAATTTCTGTGAAAAGTTTTATTATTCGTGAAAATAATTGGATTCTTGCAATGAATTTTATTATGGTTTTTTAAATAATTGAATTCTTGCAATGAATTTTATTATGATTTTCTAAATAATTGAATTTCGGTAAAAAATTTAATTATTCATTAAAATAATTAAATTCTTGCCAAGAATTTTATTAAAAAATTTTAAAATAATTGAATTCTTGTCAAGAATTTAACTACAATTTTATTGAAAATAATTGAATTCTTGCCAAGAATGTTATTAAGTACAATTTTTGAAAATAAATGAGTTTTTTTAAACATTTTTTATGAAAAATTTTGAAAATAATTTATTTGCTTCAAGAATTTAATTACAATTATATTAAAAATAATTGAATTTCTGCGAAGAATTCCATCATTTGCGAAAAACATTGAATTCTTGCGAAAAGTTTATTTAAATTTTTGAAAATAATTTAATTTTTTTCAAGAATGTTATTAAAAGTTAAAATAATAATTAAATTATTTCGAGTAAATTAATTAAAATTGCACTAAAAATAATAAAATTTTTATAAACAAATTTTATCAAAATTTTCCGAATCAATTATTTTCTTTTAAAGAATTTTATTAAAATATTTTAAATAATTGGTTTCTTACAAATTTTTTTTTTTTTAAATTGTACTTTAAATAACTGAATTTTTGTGAAAATTTTATTATTTATGAAAAGAATTGAATTTTAGCGAAGAATTTTATTATAGTTTTTTAAAAATATTTAAATTCTTTTGGAAAATTTTATTAAAATTTTCTATATTGAGAATAATTGAATTTCAGCGAAAAAATTTATTATTTGTGAAAATAATTGAATTCTTATGAAAAAGTTTATTTAAATTTTTGAAAATAAAAAAATTGTTTCTACGAATTTTATTAAAATTGCAGAGAATAATTTTTTTTTATTTTAACTATTAGCTGATTTAAAGTAGTGAAAATGCCCTAAAGATTCGAGCGTTCAAATGAACGACGATATTTTTAATTCCTCTTTTGATTAAAAATTTATTACAAAATTTTGTCTTTCATGATTAAAAAATTGATTTTTAACTAAATAGTTTGTTAAATTACATTTTTCATATTGGTATATAGAAAATTTTTAAAAATATTGTAATACGAAAAAATATTTTATTTATTTAAACGTTCGAAATTTTAGGAAAATGTAAATAGTAAGTTTTAGTAAATGAGTACAAAGCCTATAATAAAAAATAATAAAGCAATTGCCAATAAATTTGTTTAAATAAAAAATCAAATAAATACCTAATTGTGGTGTCAAACGATGCGGACAATATTTGACTGTTATCGCGACTAAATTGAAGACAAGTGACACCCTTGGAATGTGCTTTTTCAAATCGTCTCAAACACTGTCCATTTTGCACTCTCCAGACTTTGATTTTTCCATCCTGTGAACCTGTCGCAAGCATTTCACTATCACGACTGAATGACATTGACAGTACGGCTTGTTCCATCATCATAAAATTATCCTGTGCCTGATATTTAAGATCTTTACGAATTTTTCCCGTGGTGAAATTCCAGACCTCAATGAAACCATCGACCGAACCAGTGACAAGAAATTGTCCATCAGGCGAGAAACGAGAACATTCAACATGTGATTTCTGTCCGAATTTAATTTGTTTCGATAATTGTGTTGGATATTTTTCATCCTCTTGATCACGAACGGCAGCCTTTCCTCGAAACAAATCGATCGTCGTTCCTGGAGGCAAGAGTCCCTGATGCTGTTGCCATTTTAGTGCCTGTCCCAATAGGGCCAATAATCTGCTCGATGGGACAACTGACACTTCACCGGCTAAGGCAGTTGCTATGTAGGCTCGACGTTTCTCTTTTGTACTGCCATCGGGATAAGCTTCACGTGGATCGAAATAGGAACGTGCCAATAGATTTTCTGCAAGGAAAGAAAAATTGTAAGAAGATTTTCTTTAAATAAATAAATAAATAAAATAAAATAGGAAAGAAAAGTAACGAACCATTGGATTTTCTGCAAGGAGAACAAAATTTTAAGAAAGAAAAGAATTGAATAATTAATTTTCTGTAAGGAAAGAAAAATTTCAAGAAAGAAAAGAAAGAGCCAATTAATTTTCTGCAAAGAAAGAATTTTAATTTTGCTAAGACTAAAAGCAATTATATTTGAAAGTAATTTAATTATTTGCCTTACCTAAATGAATGTATCTCTCAGCCTCTTGTTGCTTCATCATAACCATTGGATCAGTTTGTCGGAGCAGAGATCGAGCTGCTCCCAATTCTCGCAATTCAATTAATTCCAAGACCACCTGGAAAAATACATTAAAATGAAATTGATTTTTAATTAATTAAAAACTTCCAATTAAAATTAAATTGACGTAAAATTAAATTATAAAATTAAATTAAGGCTTTAAAAATTTTAATTTCAAACCTTCTGAAATTTAATTATTTCTAAAAATTACAAATTGAACTCTTCCAACATATAATCTAAACCTCTTCTCTAAATCAACTATTTTTAACAATTTTTCCGAAAGTTCTGCAATATTTATTAATTGAACACAAAAATTAATTTTTTTAATAATTATGACTGTAAGTCTTCAGTTTTTTTTTAAAAAAGCTAGTAAAATGAATTAATTGAAATATGTAACAGAAAATATTTGTAAATAATTAAGTTTTAAAAAAATAAAATAAAAGTTTCTTAAAATTTGTTTTTTAAAAATATTTAAAAAAATATAAAATTAAAGTTTTTAAGTGTCATGACAAAGATTTAAAGGCCAAAATCTTTGCAATCTCTACTCAAGAAGTTAACAATTAACTCAAAAATTTTTACCTGTTCATATAAATCAATAAGCTTTTTATCCGGTAATTTAAGCGATTGAATAGCTTTAAGCACAGTATCCCAATGTCCATTGTTTATATCCGCAACAAAACCGTCTACACTGTCAACAGTATTTAATGACACCCCAGTTTCTTCCTATAATTGTAAATTCATTACATTCATTAGCACAATTCATTACCACAAAGATTCGTTTTTTTGGTAATTATAATAATCGAAACTTCCTAGTAAAATTAACCAAGAATTTTAATTCCTCGTTTAATAGTAAATTTTTGCTAAATTGTTATTATGGACATAAAATTACACTAAATAATAAAAAAAATTAATAATACCTGAAGAGTTTGTAAAGTTCTAACAAGATTAGATTCCTTCAAATATTGCTGTATCAATCGAATCACGCTGAAATTTAAATAAGACAAAGAACTTAGAAATTACAATAAATTAAATATAATTACAAATTAGAAACAATCAATTTGTTTACATCGTTTACATGGAAATCGTGTGTGGAATTTAAAGGCGAAATTACTTACTCAGCTGACTCGATTTCGATGGACATTGTCCCAGATTAATTATATTCTTCGTTATTTTATTATTAAGAATATTTATCACTTCTTTTATTTATATATTTATATTTTTTCACCACAGAAATAAGAGTAGAAAATTTATTTTTTTGGTTATGTTCGTTATGTTGATGTTAGAGCCAGGGCTGGGAACTAACGTCAGTTCTCGAGTAAGAAGAGGGCACCACTTCTGCAGCGGGAAATTTAAATTACTACTTAAATAACCAATCAAAATTTTCCGACCTAAATTTTTTACGATTTTTACGATTCTTACATTTTTTACGTTTTTTTTTACATTTTACGACTCTTACATTTTTGACATGTCACATACGTAAAAAAACATTGTTATAACTGCGCAACCCAGTAAATACTATATGTGTTATTTAAAAACAATAAACAACATTGTAATAATCAGTTTTACTTAAGAAGAAATCTAATAATATCATTGTTACAAGATATATAATTATTCAGCTGTCAAGACAGCACGTGATACAATCGTGGAGTGCAGTTTGTTTCCTTTGTTTTAATACAGCAACTGTTGGGATTTACTGAATTTATTTACTTTACTCTGTAAGTAAATTATTTATTTCTTCTCATGTCTTCATTTGTTCTCTTTTTGTTAAAATTGGTAAACGCTATTTTAAATTAAACATTTAGGGAGTTTTGATTCATTGTTTCCGATCTTCGTTAGAACAATTTGACTTTTCGTTTCATAAGCTTTTAAATTATTTACGCCTATTACAAGAGATAAAAAAAACAAATGTTTTCTATTTATCTAATTGATGGAAAGACTTTAAACTTATGATGCAATTGTATTTGTAGATCAAGTGATTATAATAGAGAATTGGATTAAACGAACTTTTAATACACCTCCAGGCGCAGTTGCACTTTATATCGTCTCCGATTGGTTCTAATTAAATAGAATTGACATAAATGCAATGGTCTCAAAATGATGATGCACAAAAACAGTTTTAGAACAAAAATACCACACCCGTCTTGCCGTCATTAAAAAAAAAACGCGTGAAATTTTTTCCTCACTTTATATTATTATTCTTGATAAGTGAGTTTGTGTCTAGCGCTTGACAATGACGATGAGGTTAACATTTATTATTAGAAAGTTGAATTTTCCGCTAAATGTGACGTTTAAAATATTCTAAATCCTATCAATTATATATCGCACACAAAAACAAAAAAATTAAATGAAGGAATGAAGTGTTTGGAAAAATTCTTAAATCATGACAGAATTGTCAAGCAATCCAATGACAATGTCTGGGATACAGGAAATTATCGAATTAGCAAAATTGTTACGACAAAACGGTGACAAAATATTAAACGGCACCAGTAAACTCTCATTATCGACGACACTTTTGCATAACCTAAATCATGAATTCCATCAAATTGTCAACGAGGCAGAAGATATTGAGAGTTCCTTTCAAGTTTGTAACAGTTCAAAGAATGATGTTTTTCGGGACATAAAGTTTCTACATGATTTTGTGCAAAAAACGATTGGATTAAAAATCACCTGTAATCTCGCCGAAGCAAAAGTTGACATTGATATCAGTAAATTTCGACACTTAAAATATTTGGAGTTGCAGAAAGTTTGCATTGAATTAACGAAAGGAATACAGAGTATAAGGGGACAATTGGAATGTGTCATTTGTGCTGGTGGACGAGGAGTTAGCAGTATTGGTCACTTGTTGGGTAAATATTTTGTAAACATTTTGTTTAAATTTCAAAATATCAAGTAAATTAATCTCTGGTTAATATAAAGCTGTATTTTTGATTTTTAATTTGATTATTAATTTTTAGCCGCTTGTGGTGGAGATGCAGGTGTTGGATTTGTTTGGAATTCACTAAATCGACTTTCTTTACCCTACAATACCTTAACTGGATTAGATAAATCCCTCGAACTCACTCCTTGGCTCCAGATGTTGGATTTAAGTCATAATCTGATATCAAAAGCATCTGAAATAGATTGTTTACCGAGTTTGAAATACGTTAATTTAGGATTTAATAAATTAGAGGCAGTCCCTCCTTTTCATAAGGCGACGTTTCATACGCTACAAAAATTAATACTGAAGAGCAATTATATTGACAATATTAAGGGTATGTAATAAATTTAAATTTAACAATAATTATAAGAATAATATTATTGATTTTTATTTTATTCTTTTATAATATTAAATATTGTAAAAATAAAAATATAATTTTTATATTTTTTATTTATATTTATATTTTTTTAGATAATTTTTCATTTTCTTTTAATAATAAAGTGATTATTTAATTTCAGGTTTGCAAGGACTTGAAAACTTGGTTGAATTAGATTTGTCCTACAATTGTTTAACAGAACATTTTAATTTATGGCCTTTGGAAACAATGTCAGGACTCTTGTGGGTATCGTTGGAGGGCAATCCTATTTCTTATCATCCTAATCACAGATTACTCTCTTTAAAACACCTACATCCGTGTTTAAGTGGCACTAAGGTACTGATATTTAAAAATTAAAATTCTTTCTAGCGAATTCAAGTCAGAAAATTCAAATTTTGTTTTAAAAATCCACAAGTTTTGAAAATTTAGATAAACGAAATATTTTTTATTAACAAAATTTCATAAATTACTGATTGCAATAAAAATTGAAAATTTTAATCTTTAATTAAGAACTTTAATTTCTATGTAAAAACTAAAATTACATTTAGAAACTTTATAATTATTTTTTTTGGTAGTGATTCAAATATTACAACGAAATATTATTTTCGGGCATGAAAATTAATTTATTTCTATTTTTATAATTTAAAAAACTCAAATATGTAATTTTTAGAAATAATTAAATTTCAGAAGAATAAATAAATAAAAAAAGTTTAATTCTTTTGTAAAAATAAATAACAAGCATTTAAATATTTATTTAACAAAAATATTGATGGTTTGAATAGTTGAATTTATAAATAAGTGAGAAGTCAGGGAAAAACAAAATTAAATTTTTGTGACAATTCTGAATAAGATAAATGACGTTTTCGACTTTTTTCGTCGGAAAAGTTTTTGTTTTAATAATTTATTAAAATTTTTAATTTTTTTAAATCCAGTAAAGCGACTTTTTTTTGCACCTGAAAGTAGATTCGAGGCCTGTAATAAAAAATTAATTCAAAGAAGAAATAAATTTTTCTTCATTTAAATATTCAGAACTGCAGGATCACAAAATTTAACTACTTGTAATGATTAGTTTATGATAAATTAATTATTATTTTATTATTTATGATTAATAATTTCAACATATTTTCAATTATTTTCAGTTCGTTTTGGATCGATTGCCACTTACAAGATCGGAAAAAATTCTAGTGTCGGAAAATCGAAATTATTCTATTAGATCAATAGGCGCCGTACCTAGAGAATATTTTTCAAGTGTATCAGATTTTGCGTCCGACAATTCATTTGCATCGTTAGAGGCATCATTTTGTGATGATAGTAGTGAAAAGAGACAGTCCTTTGATGGAATGGACAGTTTAAGCACAAGTGTCACAAGCATAATGAAAAGTAAACGAAAGCAAACTGTAAAGGAAGCTATAATAGCCGAAGAAGAGCACGACAAGGAAAAGTCATCCGGAAAACCCGCTTCTCTATCCAGTTCTTTTATGGGTAAATTTCAGTACAACCTTTAAAGTTTATACTTTATTAAAAATATTATTTGTTAATTTTCTTTTATTTATTTATTTACTTATTTTTGATACTGTATTCTATAGAGCAGTACTATGTTTAAAATCTTTTTTTTAAAAACAGAATCATCCATGGAACATTTGGAAACAAAAAGACAGATTCTCGCATTGCGGAAACAATTTGGAGAAAATAATTGGTTGAGTCATCGTGCTGGAAGTGTAATTCAGAATATTATGGGAATTGATAGTGTAATAGACGTAGTGCCTTCAAGTTCACCAATACCTTCGATAAAAATTCTCGATTCACCGCCAAAATCGAATCAAGATGAAACAATCAAAATTGAGGATAAAACTGAAGAGTTTGATGAAACTGTAAATAATGAAAATGAATCACAAAATGACGGAATTGCGATAATTGAAACTAGCAGTAAGGAGCAGAATGAAGAACCTATTTACAATCCAGAAGAAGGTAAACAAAAATCACAATTGCATTTAAGTAATTTTTCTTAAATTAATCCTCTTTTTCAGAATTGGGCGATTTGTATTTAGTTCAGAAGAAAAAGAATGAAAATGATCTGGAAGAAGTTTTTCTAATAGTTACTAACGAGTAAGTTTTGTTTAACTTTTTTCTTATTAATAGCTTACGCGTCTACTTTTCCTTATTTATTATTAGAGCTTTTTTTGCCTGGAAGAAGTTTTTCTAATAGTTACTAACGAGTAAGTTTTGTTTAACTTTTTTCTTATTAATAGCTTACGCGTCTACTTTTCCTTATTTATTATTAGAGCTTTTTTTGCCTTTTATCTTTTATTAAAATTAAATATTTTTCTTCAGGGAGGTGAAGGAAAGAGATTACATCACCGGGAAATTGAAATTTCGTTGGTCGACAGAAACAGTTTTGTCGTGTGTTATTGGCAGAGGAACACCGACAACTGTTAATATTATTTTTGACACAACACGCAAAGATAGACAGAACAGAACCTATTTAGTGGAAATTGATGACGCAAAAGTAATGTTTGATTTTATATTAATTTTAATATTTAAATATTATATTTACATTTTATATAATTTTATTATTTAATAATATAATTTTATATAAATATTTACTATATTTGGGTTCGAAATTATATTTCGATAATTACTTCTATTAATTAAAGACAATAAATTTTTGTAGAAAATTGTCAAAACTCTAAACGAGAGAATAATAACGAGGTCGATAGAATTAAAAGTCTACAAGTGTATGAAATGTTCAACGCACTTCTCTCACGACACGGAAATCACGACTGTTTCCATGCTACCAGGTACATTATTTTTATTACTCTACACACAAAATTAATTTTCATATTTGACAATATTTTTCATCATCAAAACTTATCATTAAAAATAATTTAATTCTTGACAAGATTTTTATTAAAATTCTTTAAAATAATTAAAGTGTTTTGAAGAATTTATTTCAATTTTCTCGAAAATAATGGAGTTTTTTTTAATAACTTTTATTGAAAATTTTGAAAGTAATTGAATTTTTGGAAGATTTTCTTTTAAGTTTTTAAAATAATCGTGTTTATCATTAATAATTTCCCTATTAAATAAAATTAAAATTATTCATAAAAAATTAAATTCTTTTAAATAATATTTTTAGAGTTTTTGTAAATAAATACATTTTTTAAAAAGAATTTAATTAAATTTCGTAAAAATAATGTAATTTTTAAAAATAATTTTAATTGAAAATTTTGAAAATAATTGAAATTTACAAAAAATTTTATTAAAAACTTTTGAAAAAAATTGAATTGTTTAGAAAAATTTTATTACAATTTTAAAAAATAATTGAACCTGTTAGAGAATCTTTTTAAAATTATCTTGAATATAATTGATTTTTTTCCTAGAAATTTTATTAAAATTGTATTGAAAATAATTGAATTTCTCAGAAGAATTTTATTATATTTACAAAAATAATTGAATTCTTGCGGAGAATTTTACAATATTCATAAAAATAATTGAATTGTTTCGAAGAATTTTATCTGATTTTTTGAAAATAATTGAATTTTTTGAAGGAATTTTATTAAAAATTTTGAAAATAATGAATTTTTGAAAAGAACTTCATCAAAATTGGTGAAAATAATTGAATTTATATTAAAATTCTTTAAAATAATTGATTTTAATTAATAATTTAAAAAAAAATTGTATTCATTAATTCAATAATTCAATAATTAATTATTTCAATTTATAATTATTAACTAGTAAACAATTTTTTTAAGGATTAGGACCTCCAAAGTGTCCTGCCTGTCAAAGCGCTCTAGTTATTCAAACAGACGATTTCAACACTCCAAATGCTGATAATTCCAAAAATCAAGCAAAATCTGAAGCCGAGGCGCAAAAAGATATTCTGGAAGGCAATCTAAAACATTCTGAATCGCAATCAAGTATAGGTGAGACTTATAATAATTCAAATTCTCTACAGTGATTAGAAAAAAAAGAGAAATAACTTTCGTGGTTTTTTCTATCACATCTTTTTCTTTGCATGAAGTAGTAATTTAGTATTAACCCTCGATAATTATTGTAGATTGTTTAGCTATTTATTTAAAGCAGTTTTTTATATTTCTTGTATATTAATATTTGTTACTAATACTAAATAATAGTTTTGTAAATTTTATAAAAATAATAATTTACAATTTCAATTTTTATAAAAATGATAATTTTACTATTTTGTAAATTTTACAAATTTTATGAAAATAATCATTAGACTTGCAATTTTATAAAAATGATAATTCGTAATTTTATCAATTTTATAAAAAGGATAATTTCATGAGTTTATAAATTTAAAGAAAAAAAATTATTTCCTAATTTTATAAATTTTACAAAAATGACAATTTAAATTTATTAACTGGTTAATATTAATAGGTGTTAATTGTTAATTAATAAGGTGTTTTTTTTCTTCTGCCTTTTTTTCTTTTGGTTTTGAGACTTTTTTTCTGAACATTAACAAAACTTTCAAAAAAAAAAAAAATTAATTGTAATAGATAATAATATTTTTAAATAATAATTTTATTTGCTTAACAAATCATGAATTTTTTGCTATTAAATTCCATTGATTAGAATGTAACAAACTAATACCCAGTACAGGTGGAACTAAGGGTGGAGCTATAAACACCACCTCTTCTCTGGTGAACAGTGACTTAAAACGTCGAAATCCAATCTGCTGTAAGCTTTAGTCACAATAATTAATTCTAAAGCACATCGAATCTCTTTTTTTGTTAAATTTTACCTAATTTATCGTCTCTTTATTGTTATATCGTAAATTTAATTTCATAAATAATTTTTCACATTTTCACTTTTAAATATTACACATTATTTTTCATCAAGCATGATAATCATTCAGCTTGCTCTCTTCGGATGTAAATATTTGTAAGAAATTCATATTCATTCGATTTAAAAAAATTTCTATTCTTACCATCACTTTAAAGTTATTTAAAATATCGATGTATTTATTTCTTCACTGTTTGTAAAACTATTTTTACGTTTTATTAGCTTTTTCCATTTATTTCAGTTTTTATTAGCTTATTTTTAATTTTTTTTCTTATTAGTTTATTTTTAGTTTTATTTGTTTTTATTATTGGATTTTTTTAGTTTGGTTTTTTATTTTCATTTTTATTTTAGTTTCGTTTTTTAGTTTTTTTCAGTTTTATTTATTATTTTTTTACTTATTTTCATATAATTTACAGTTTTAGAAAATTTTTAAAACTGAATTTGTAAATTATTGTCAAATATTCCGTATGGATAACACTAAATTATTATTCATCATCTACGATCATTTCTTGTGAATTAAATAATTTCCCACTCGTTGGGAAATAAATTTCTAATCAAATTTTATTTCAATAGGTTCAGCGGCAAGCCTCGAAGATTCTAGGGAATCAACACCGTCCGGAGGGACGACGGCTAAAAAATCTGAAAGCGACATTGAAGTTCTGAGCAATCCAAGTCAAAGTAGCATCGAAGTCCTGGATGAAGGTTCAAAGTAAGATGATTTCAAAAATTTACATCAAATTTAATCACAGTAAATCTATTTTATCAAAAAAAGTTTGCAAATTTTCAAGTCGAAAATATTTTTTTTTTATTTTTTGTCACTAATTTAGTGCACGAATTAATAAAATTAATAAAATTAATGAAATTAATTAAATTAATTAAATTAATGAAACATTAAACGACATATTAAAACGTACAGGTCGAATTTAACACCAAAACGAAAAAGATCCGAAGGACAACGCAATGCAGGAGAATCTTCTGTTATAACAAATGAAATAATTCCTATTATGGCGGGTCTAACAGAAAGTAGTTCATCAGGTTGGAATTAATTAATATTATTAAAATTAAAAATTGTGCGAGAAATGTTAATTATTAATTTCCCCCTGTATAACTGAGTGAATTTTATTCTTTGTCTCTGTTTGCAGGCTCTATGACTGACAGTGTGTGTACAGCTTATGAAAATAAAAATGTCAAACTATGCGATATTAGTGAAATGTCGCATAGTAACGATAATGTCGACAATGATGCTATTAAAAGCCAAGAAATTGAAAAAGAAACAGTTTTTATGCCTGTTACAAATTTGACATCAATGTTAGGAGGTGAGAGATAAATGAGACATCACTAATATCGCATAAGGTGTTAACTAGCTTTGCTGTTTTGATAACTCTAACGTTTGCTAGTTAATATCTTATGTGTTAATCTCTTGGTTTTTTATTTTAATTTATTCTGTTAATCATTTTACTGATTAGTATTGTGATTTTACTGTTTAATTTTTTAATTCACTATTTTACTGTTTATAATTAATTCACGATTTTACAGTTTTACTATTAATTTACTATTTTACTGTTTCACTGATAATTAATTGTCGAAAACGTTTCTTTAAATATTAAACTATTAATACGTTTCTAAATAGATTTTTTAAAATGAATTAAAAAATGTTATTTAGTAATATTTTCAAATCTAATAATAATTCACGATAAATTTGATTTTCCTTTTAGAATTGCTGCAAACTATGAAAATTGGAAGTACGAAGACAACGCCTACAAAATCGGAGGAGAGTACTGAATTTATGGGAAGTGACGTTCATTATTCGTACACGGATTTTAATAGTGTAGACCACAGAATTAAACTTCATATAATTTTAAATATCTTCGAGCAGGAAAAAGAAGAACTTGTCCTTTTATTGAGGGTAAACAAAACTTTCATATATTTTATTCATTTTTTTCTAATTTTCTCATAATAAAATTATACTTTTATTATTAAATATCGTTATAAATATTTAATTTATTGTTATTGTTGTACTATTTTTGACTATTTTTGTATTTTTAGTCTAAAAGTCTTCTTTTATTTTAATTTCAGGCTGAAATTTTCACTCCAGCATCATCAAAAACATTTCCAGGTTGTTTAGTTTTGTCCACGTCTAAAATTTACATTCTCAAGATTTTTGGACCCGAAGGGTAAGAATTTTCAAGAGTAAAATTTATTTGAAAACTAAAAACAATATTTTTCAAATTTCGAAATTTTCAATTTTCTTTTTACCGTTTTTTTTTTAATAGAGAAGATCCTCAACGTTGGTTGAAAAAAGAATCGAGTTGGACAATGGATAGACTACGCACGTTTGCTCCACTACCTTTTAAACAAGGTCTTTTGGTGCAATTGGAAATGCCAAACAAAAGTGTCGAGGAAATTCAAAATTTTACTCTTCTCTGCATTCTTCAAGATTTTCAAAGAACTTCAAGTTTTTTATTTTATCTAACTGGTGAGAAATAAGAAAGAAAAATTTGTTAAAAACAAATTAATTTTATCTTTGAAAAATTACACTTTAGAAGAAATTTTTCTTCTAGTTAATATGAAGGGGAAGGAAAGGAAAATTTATTTCTAAATAATGTAAGAGAAAAAAGGGAAATTTGGTTTTAAATAGAACTTTTGCTGTTTTAGAATTGAGTTTGCCGGCAAGTTGTGAGGTTGAATTCATTGTGCCAGATCATTGTAATTTATCGATAAAAAATATGCTATTAACATCGAAGAATCATCGAACAAGCGATCATGTTCGATTGCTAGCGATGTTTTCGTCAGCTATTGCAAAATCAGAAAAATGTACAACAAAATTAAGTACCTCTGGACTTGTCACCACTTCGTCGACGTTAATAATGTTGGAGGATAATTTACAGTGGCTTTTGCCGGATTATAATAAAACTCCAGCCATCGCGGTAGAACAAGCGCTTAGCAATTTAATAGCAGTGGTAAGAATTTATTTTTTCAAAATATAATTTCTAACGCACGTTTTTCTATACACTATAATACTTTTTTTCTACTGCAGTTTTTTAATAATATAAATATAACAATAATCTTTCATAAATTAAAATATTAATTCAATGAATAAATTAATTTTCTTCTTCTATATTAATAATCGTTGTATTCCGGTAAACTGTTCCCAGTTTGAACTTATTTGCTTTTTTCTTTCCTAAACTTTTCTAATAATTTTTCTTTTTAAAATGTTTTCATTTTCAAAATTATTGAAAAATCATTGAATTTTATTAACATTTTCAAAAAATAATTAAATTCTTCTTAAAATACAATAATTTACTGCAATTTTTTAAAATAATGTATTTAATTCAAGAAACTTTTTTTAAAATTAAAAATAATTGAATTCTTTCGAAGAATTTTATTAAAATTTTTGAAAATTCTAATTAAATTCTTTTTAAAAATTTCTTTGAATATTTTTAAAACAATGGAGTTTCTTTAATAATTTTAAATTGAAAATTTTGAAAGTAATTGAATTTTGTATCAGAATTTTATTACAATTTTTAAAAATAATTCATTCATAGAATTTTAACAATTTAAAAATTTAGAAAATAACTGAATTCTTTCGAAGAAGAGATTAATAATTGTAATTCCTAATAAGTTTACTATTAAATTTTATTAAAATTATTGATATAAAATTAAATTCTTTTAAACAATTTTATTAGGATTTTTGTAAGTAACTAAATTTTTTTGAAGAATTTCTTTAAGCTTTTTGAAAATAATGTAGTTTTTTTTAATAATTTTAATTAAAAATTTTGAAAATAATCGAATCAAAGAATTTCATTTCAACTTTTTAAAATAATTGTGAGTTAATAATTATAATTAAAAATTGGATTGATGAATTTTATTGAAATTGTATTGAAATTTGAAAATAATTGAATTTCTGAGAAGAATTTTTTTGTTTATAAAAATAGTTTAATTTTTTAAGAATTTTACTATTATTTATAAAAATAATTGAATTGTTTCGATAAAATTAGAATTTTAAGAAATAATTCAATCTTTTCGTTAAATTTTAATTAAAATTGTATTGAAAATAATTCAATTCCTGCAAAGAATTTTACTAATTATAAAAATAATTGAATTCTTCCGAAGAATGTTATTATTTATGAAAATAAGTGAATTTTTGCAAAGAATTTTACTATTTATGAAAATAATTGAATTCTTCAGAGGAATGTTATTGTTTATGATAATAATTGAATTCTTGCGAAGAATTTTATTAAAATTTTCGAAAATGATAAATAATAATAATTAATTATTTTCTGGTTTAATAAATAAATCTTAATTCAACAAACTAAAATCTAAAAATTACTCATTAAAAAAATCTATTTTTCAGGATATAGAAATTGACTCGAAAGTGGAAAATGGAAGTGCAAAGCTCAATTTGAGTTTCTCGGATGAAATGGCAGGCTTGGAAGAAACCTGGATATTGGAATATGTCTCAGTGGGTGCTGCCGAGTCTGTTGTAAATTCTATTCAACTACCATGGGAGGAACTATTTTCAGTTCCATTGCAAATAGAAACAAGAATACTCAACTCGACGAAAAATGTTGAAAGATAAGAGTATAGTAAAAAAAAACCCCCGTATAGTTATATTTTCTTTCTAAACAATGTCAATTTTTTAACAAAAACATTTTAATTAACAAAAAGTTAACAATTTTACTTCTACACTAGAACAATTTGCAATTTTATTACACATTTTTATTTATAAATTTAAAAAAGAAATTATATATTGTAAATTAATAATATTGTAAAAAAAAACTAATTTCTAAAAACTAATTATACAAAGAAATAGTTTTTCTCCAAAATAAGAAAAACTACAATTTTTCTAAGAAAATTCTGTAATATTATTGCGACTGTGATATGTGCGTATAAAATCATATATGTAGATATTTTTAGTCCAATTAACATTTTATAAATGTGTCTATATAAAAAAAATTTTACCGAAAATTTGTCATAATAATTATCAAACTGGAAATTATAATTAGAATAAAGTTTTTGTTTTCTTTTGAAAAAAAAATTAATGGAATTTAAATCCTTTATAATTTTTCCACAAAATAGAAATAAATAAATATTCGATATTACATGGATTGTATAGAAATTGAAAAATAGGTCAAGAGAAATATTATTGGCACATGTTTTCATTTGGCGAATACAAGTTACATAATCGGATATTTTTAAAATTTCACACCTGCAAAGCTTAAATAGTGCAGAGGTAGAATATGCGGCGAAAACACGCCAAATTATCTCCAATTTTTATAAAATAACGAAAATCGAGTGTTTTCACAAATTTTCTCTATAAAAATAAAATATGTTTGTAATTTTATTCTCTTTTCTTCTGGGTACGATTTAAAATTACTTTTTTAGTTTTTTATAAATTTAAATTATTAATTTCTAAAATTATTAATTTCCCTGAAAAATTTATTATTTTTAATATAGTTTCGAGCATTGTTACAGACGGACATCATTTTGGATATAGTAAAAAAAGTGAGTTTAATTATAAAATAAGTAACAAAAACTAATTAAAATAATTAATTTTTTTTACTTTAGATCAACATTTATGGATGAAAGATCACAAAACATGTGCTGGAAAATTACAATCACCAATTGCTTTATCAACAAGTCAGTCTATTTCGCTACCATTGCCGGCTTTGGAAATGATTGGCTATCATGATTTTTTGAAGAATCCTTTGAAATTAGAAAATAATGGCCACTCGGGTAATTTGAAAATAATTTTCGAATTAACAGCAAATTATTTTTATTACACACAAAGATATCATTTTTTTGGATTAAAATATTTAGTGAAAGAAATAGAAAACTATTGTTTTCTATTTTTTTCACTAAATATTTTAATCCAAAAAAATAATTAGATTTTGATAATTTTCAATTATTCAAAAATATTTTTCTCCTGATCAGTGACTCTAACACCCAGCATCGATTCAATAAATAAGACAATTTCCAACAATCCCTATATTTTCGGAGGTTTATTGAGTCCTGGCAAAGATTACGAATTCCAAGCCCTTCATTTTCATTGGGGCAGAAAAAATAATAGAGGATCTGAACATTTACTGAATGGTGTGCGATATCCAATGGAAATGCATTTAATTCACAAAAATACAATTTACGAAAATATGGAAATTGCTTTAAATAATTCGGATGGACTTTCGGTGATTGGAGTCTTTTTTCAAGTAAAAATAATAATTATCTTTTTCAAAAATTGATTGACAAATTGTAACATTTTAAAAAAAAGGAACCTTCAAAATTGTTTCCAATTTTAGAAAATAACGAAAGAAAAATTTCAAAATTAAATCCGAAATGATAGGAATTAACAAAATTTGTTAATTATTAAAGTTACAGGAAGAAGCTAATCCACGACTTGTTCCAATTTTGAAAGTTTTACCAGATCTTCAGTGGAATAATAGTCAAGTTTCTGTAAATTCGTATTTAACTCTATCATCCCTAATGCCATCAAATGTGGAAGTATTTTACACTTACAAGGGATCATTGACAACTCCTCCTTGTAATGAGGCAGTGACTTGGATCATTTTTCCCACTGCTGTACCAATATCCCTTCGACAAGTATAAAACTTTTAATAATAAAAAAGCCAAAGTTCCATAATTATAAATTTATAATAAAACTAGTTTTTTTTGCCATATTTTTACTACTTTGTAATATTTTGCCATAATTTCTATATTATAATAGAAATTATATTAATATCAAAGTAAGAATTAGTTACTTTTTAAATAATAATTTTTTTTCCAGGGAAAATTAAATTATTTTCAAACATTTCTTTTAAATTCACAGGAATTCAATTATTTTAAATACAAATTAATAAATTATTTTTAATACAAATTAATAAATTATTTTAAATACAAATTAATAAATTATTTTTAAAAATTCACTTATTTTTTTAAATTTTTCAAATAATCAATTATTTGTAAAAATAATACATTTTTTCTCAGGTATTCAATTATTTAAAAAAGTTTTAATAAAATTCTAATCAAGAATTCAATCATTTTTAGAAATAATTCAATTGTCGATTTGATTTTCAAATTTTTTTTATAAATACTTTACAAGAATTCAATGATTTTTAGTACAAAATCATTGAATTCTTGTAAAGTATTTATAAAATATTTATAAAATATTTATAAAATATTTATTTTTTCAGTAGAAAATCATTGAATTCTTGTAAAGTTTTTATAAAAAAATTTCAAAATTAAATTAAAATATTAAATTTTATTAAAATTACTCACAGAGAATTAAATTCTTTTAAACAATTTTATTAGAGTTTTAGTAAATAATTACATTTTTTTTTTTTTTTTAAAGAATTTTATTAAATTTCGTAAAAATAATTAATTTTTTTAAAGTAATTTTGAATGCAATTGAAATTTACAAAGAATTTGATTAAAAACTTTTGTAAACAATTGAATTTGTTTAGAAAAATATTATTAGAATTTTTAAAAATAATTGAACCTGTTGGAGAAATTTTATTTAAATTATCTTGAATATAATTAAATTTTTTCCTAGAAATTTCATTAAAATTGTTTTGAAAATAATTGAATTTCTCAGAAGAATTTTATTATTTACAAAAATAATTGAATTGTTTCCAAAAATTTTTATCAGAATTGTTGAAAATAATTGAATTTTGATTAAAAATCTTAAAAATAATTAAATTTAAATAATATTTTTAAAAATAATTGTTTTCTTTCGAGAAATTTTATTAGAATTGTATTGGAAATAATTGAATTTCTTCGAAACATTTTATTATTTATAAAAAAAATTGAATTCTTGCGGAGGGTTTTATAATTCGTAAAAATAATTGAATCGTTTCGAAGAATTTTATCTGAATTTTTGAGAATAATTGAATTTTTTGAATGAATTTTATTAAAAATTTAGAAAATACCTGATGATTTTTTAAAAAGAATTGAGTTTATATTAAATTTCTTGAAAATAATCTAATTTAATTAATTTTTAAAAAAATAATTGTATTTTTAAAAAAATAATTGTATTTTTTCGATAAATTTAATTAAAATTGTATAGAAAATAATTGAATTTCTCTAAAGAATTTTATTATTTATGAGAATAATTAAATTCTTGCGAAAAATTTGTTTTGAATATAATAAACAAGAATATTATTACTAATTATGATTTTACTAAATTATCATTAATGGAAAAAAAAATTTACAGCTGAATAAATTTAGACACCTCTCAAGTGGCGAAGGATCATTAGCAGACAATTATCGTCATGTTCAAGGCATAGGACGTAGAAAAGTTTACGTAAGAAGAATTGATGCAGGAATTATGAATAAAACGAAAATACCAAATTTAGACATGACAAATTTATCCTGGTACTGGGAGTAAAAATAATTTCCAAACAACTCTCTCAAAATGATACTGTGATATTAATTAAAAATTATTCAAACTTATATAATATATATTTTACAACATAACACATATATTTTAATAAATGTTACTCCTTTCATTCATTATAATTGAACAAAATGTAAAAAATAATAAAATCTTTATCAAAAATTAATTATATATTTGTAAATCAATCAAAAAAGAAAAAAAAATTATACGAAACTTATTTTTACAAAAATATAATATGTAAATTCATTTTTAAAATGAAAACAATCTCGAATGAAAAACATTTCGAAATATAAATTGTCAAAAATATTTTTTTTAATCAATATTGTAATTCAACTTAATTGATAATTATAAAAGTAGTTTTCTTTTATACTTTAGTAAAGTGTGTACTTTTAGTACAAGATTGTAATTTTTGAACTTATTCTAAATTAACTTACTTTGATATTGTGCCATGGTTAGATTTTCTTTTTTGTATCATCGGAAGAAATAATTGCTTTTCTTTTAGAAAAAATCATACATACTTGGTGTTTTCTTTTTACATGACTTCGTTGCATTAATTGTGTGGAGTTGCATTGACTTTTATTTTAAACCTCATTTTGTCGAATTTGCTCATGAATCTTGTTACAGAGAACCTGCAGAGAAGAGAAGAAATTTTCCCATCAATAATTATTATTTTATTTATTTTAATAAAAAAATATATTATACAAATTAATAACAAAAATGTTAAAAGTAAGAGTAAAGTAAATTTCAATATTGAATTTTTATTATGTAGTAATTGACTAAATTTGTAAATTAACAATTAAATTTAAGGCAGAAAAAGAAAATGAAATAAAAAATAAATAATAAAATAAATTATAAAATCTTTTCAAAAATTCATTATTAGTAAATAAACTTACTTGTTTCAACAGATAATCGGGAATAAGGAGAAGTTTTACATGATCACTACTGCCAAATAATTTCCCCAGTTTCTTTTTCTTTGTGTCTTTGATGCAAAGTTGTACACCTTTCTCTGCTACGGCAGTTGATTCGCTAATTTCCTGCCATGTATGTGACCAATCAACCTGTCAATATTAAAATATTTGTTATTATTTATATTATTTTGTTAGAAGGACATTAGAAATTTTTTTCTTTTTAATTTAAAAGAACAATAGAAATTTTTTTTATTAAATTTCTTTTTAATTTAAAATATAGAAAATTAATTATTGAATTCAATTAAATTCAATTCAATTCAATTCAATTCAATTCAATTCAATTTAAATTAATTATTAAAATTAATTAATTTGAATATTACAAACCTTCCAACCGCCAAAGATGTCATTTCTTTCTAAGTACAATATTCTCTTATCCGTCAAAAGAACAACATCTTTGTTTATGTACAAGTGATAGAAGTAAATATCAGTATTTGCATATTTTCCTTTCTCCAATTCCTGCAAAAAATTAATAACGATTAAGCGATAACAGAAGAAAATGCTGAATATTTACAACAAAATTAAATTGTTAACAACAAAATTAAATATTATATAATATTATATAATTCTAATATTATTTAATTAGGTAATTATGATTATTAAACGTAGAAGCACAAATTAAATATAGAAATCTAAACAAAAAAAAATGCTGAATATTTATAATAATAACAAAATTAAATTGTTAAGAACAAAATTAAATATTAAAAGTAAATGGAAATTTACACAAAGAATTTTATTGCCCTCGGCTTCTATACGGATGTAGGGTCTGACAAGATTGTCATGCTGGAAAAATCTGGGAGGCCTAACTCGTTTTGCTTCTTCATTCAATTCAGTTGCGCTGAAAAAAGAATTTTTTTAAATTTAATAATATTTAATAAGTTATTGATATTATTATTTAATAATTTATTATTAATATTTAATTATAATTGTCAAGAGATAAATAATTAATCTACCGTCTAACAGCTCCGAAAGATCCACTCGCGAAATCAACAACACCAGCGGTTGGTCTGGTAACGAGGCCGACGACTCCTTTACCGAAACCTTTGAAGAAACCTTCGACACCTTCTTCTCTTGCTCCGGAAATTGGTTTTGTCACCACGCCAGTTACACCATCAAACACGCCCTTAATTTTACACATAACAATTCTGTTAGATATCAATTTTTTTTTTTTTTTGAATTAATTGAAGAAAAAATACCAAAAAATCGCTCACCATAAATAATCCTTTTCCACTCTGTGCAAGACCTTCCTGAAGATTCGCCGGCTGTTTGTTGAGTTGCTCCTGTCGCTTTCTTTGATAATCCTTGTCGAACGTCAAAGCAGCGAGTCCTTTGCCTATTATAATTTAATTATTAATTTTAATTTAATAATTAAGTTTAATTTAATTTTAAAAATTGTCTTTGAATTTAAATGGTAAAATTATGACCGTTATTAATTTTAATTAATTAACAATAATTACCCATAGCTCCTGTGATTTTGGAGACGGCGCCAGCCATTCCGCCGACAGTGTGTCCGAGCATACTTCTAACTCCAAGGAACAAGCCCTCGGCAAATTCTCCAGGTCCCTGAATTGCTCCTTGGAAAGGCTCGTAGAACAAATCTTCAATTCCTTTCATTGTACCAACGACGAGTCCATAGGGATTTCCAATAACATCGAGACCCAAAATTAAAACATAAGCCTGTTTAATTGATTGACCCACGTAATGATTTGTTGCCTCTGAAATTAATTGTTTATGCGTCATAAACACATAATCCCTCTCGAAATACGCCAATCTGAAAACAATTTCCAAATTAATTTTTTGCTCTAGTTCATTATAGATAAATTCGACTCACTTGAAAACAATATCGTTTATATCCGTTAAAGTTACACCAATTCCTTGAAGCAAGACGTTTAGAACTTGAGGCACTCCGGACGATTCGCCACTGCTTCCAGACATTGAAAAACTTATGTGTATCTAAAATAAATATAAATTACTCATTAAAAATTACGATCAATACACTAATTATCTATTCTAAATAAAGTATCGATAAATGTTATTCTTAATACAGTAAATTTATTTTAATCTAATTTGATATTAAATATATTTTTTAAAATTGTTTCTTTAAACGAACCTTCAGTGGAGAGAAATGAAGCAAATCGAAAAAGTTCTTTTGCTCAGCAGTTGTGATCAAATTTACATGATGCATAAGCGGTTCATCCACCAATTTCATGTCAGACTGGAAGAGCTCACTCTAAATAGTGTAAAAAAATAATTAATAGTAAAAAAATAATCTTACAAATATTTAAAAAATATAGTATTATAAATTATGTATTATTCGTTACAAAAAATTATTCAAATATAAAAAATAAATACCTCTTGTGATTCATTAGCTTCGTCAGCCACGAACAAGGCGGATAAAGCGTTCATAAATGCAATATCAACTTTGACATGGAATTCTTGAATGAGAACTTTAAAGTATCTGAATTGTTGAACTGAGCTGTGTTCCAATAATTGTTTCACAATACTAAGTTCGGCGAACGGTTTCATTACTGCAAAAAAAATTAACAAAATAAAATCACAATTTACACTGTAAACGATAATTAATTAATGAACAAAAAAATCGTGAATATTTACCTGTACTTTGAGTAACACTCTTTGGCGGTGGAACTGGCGCCAAAATAACAGGGAAAATACACTCGGAAAGTTGATTGTCAATTTGAAGTTTATTAATTTTCGCATGCAAATGAACTTGATGACTTGATGTGCGATATTGAATCCATAAACCAGTTTGGAAAGTTCGTCGCATGTATCGACGACTTGGTCGCAGCATTTCCATATTCAGATAGTCGACCTATGAAAACAATTCATAAAATAAATAAATATGTAAAAAAAATGAACACATAAAATAATTATAAATAAATAAATAAAGAATTACGTAAAATAAATAACAAAATCAATTATTTTCAATTACAATTTACATTTACAATTAATTATTAATTCTGAATGAAAAAAATTGAAATATTTACCTCGAATTTAGGTTCAAGCATCACTCGATAGTGTGTTTCTTTATCAACTTGCACTTCTTTCATGTAACGTTGATATCCCTCTTCGATTAGGCCAACTTCCCTCGAATCTAAAGCACGCCAACGACCACCAACGGTTTTTCGATTCTCCCAAATTATTCCCGAACTGAAAGACAAATGTTTATTTCAAATATTAACTATATTTTAAATATACTTTTAATAAATTATTCTTAAATATAACGTCCATAAAGTTTTGAACCTTAAAATGAACGAATTATTCATTTCTTCTTTAAATTAAAATTGTATTGGAATATAATGCGTCAAATATTAAAAAAATAAATTTTACAAAATCTAAATGTTTAATTTTGCTTTTGCTTTTTATAAGTCAGTAATAATTTTTATAACATTTATAGTAGCAAAATATTTCGTTCATTCCAACGTTCAGAACTTATAGATTAATTTTTCTTAAAAATTTGTTTTAATAATTATTCTTGAATACTTTTTTTAATAATTGTTCTTAAATATTCTTTTAGAAAATATACCTTGCAATGCACATGTACAAAAGTTCCGATTTAGTGACATTATTTACAAGCGACAATCCAACTCCATGAATACTTAAAGTAATGTCTTGATCAATCACTTCAAGATCGCCAGCAAGCTGACAATCTTCGGCTACTTTTAAACTCGTTGTGAATAAAAGAATTCTCTGTGTTCCATCAAGAAACGAGACATAATAAACTTCCTCATCAATGTCCGGTATTTTGAACGTTCCCAAATTATCCTACAGTAGAGAATAAATAAATTAATATTTTCATAAAATTAATAATTAAGAAAATTATTAAATTTTTGAATTTATTTAAATAATAAAAATGCATTGGCTACTTTTCGAAGATCATCCTCTATTTCCCGTTTGTTGCCATCTTCCCATAACAATAATCTCGGTCCCACTGGATTCTCCCAAGTGTAAAACATTTGATTGAAGGACTGAACGGATCTGTAATCAACATAAAGAATAAATTTAAAATAATTTTTGAAAAATAAGTAAAACAAATTAATTTTCTTTCAAATATAAATTTATAAATGGTAACAAACCTAATGTTAATGGAACCTTTTTCCCAAATGTTAATTGTATGACTCGTGTGATTCATGATTAACGCTGGAGCATTTCCATGATTGTAAGCCGACAATGAAATGTAAATTCCACCTTCGTTAATTTGAATGTCTACGTTTATTCCTCCAAACTGTTGGAAACATTTTTTTTTAAATAATAAAATAAAGAAAAGTTTCAATAAAATAACAATAAATAAAATAAAAAAAATTTAATAAAATAATGAATAATAAATTATAATTCAAATTAATATTATTTACTTTTAGTTATTAAAATTGTGAAAAGTTACCTTGTTGTTCAATTTTAATAAAGTTGTATGAACGTTTGTATAGAGAAAAGGAGCCGTTTTCTCCTTATGTCCGGACACATTTGCTTTCAAAGTTTTCTTTTCTTGCTCGGATCGGGGCCAAAGAGCTGCACATTCACCAGCTGGGACCTTTAAATAAATAATAAGTAAATAAATTATGAAATAAGTAAATAAGTAAGTAAAAAAGTTATTAAATAAGTAAATAAATATGTAAATAAATAAATAATTAAGTAAGTAAATAACAAAAAAATAATAATCAAGCAAAAGTATTTAAAATTTGTATTTGCTATTAAAAAGTTGAATTATGAACTCACTAAAATTGCAGGATCAGCTGGTCGATCGCCTTCCTGACACTCGATAAGGAAACTCGAATTGTTTATAAGAACGTAATATGGAGTAAAGGTGATTTGTTTCGTTAAAGAGTTGTACGTTAACTGATTATGTACACCAATCTGAAAAGACAAAAATTATCCACATCGTCAATCTTCCAACAATTATTCTTTTCTTATCAATTTCTATTAAATTTCTTCCTAAATTTCTGTTAAATTTCTTCTTTAATTTCTATTAAATTTTTTCTTGAATTTCTGTTTAATTTCTTTTTTTAATTTTCTTTAACTCCTGTTTTGAATTTCTTCTTAAAACTTCTCTTTTCAAATTTCGCTTTCATCAAAAAAATGTAAAAAAATAATCAAAAACATACCTGATAAGTTCTATCATTGTATTTACACAAAACAACTCCTTTACTTCCAGCAACATCAATAGAAAACTTATCCGACCATTCACCATCTTCAACACGAATCATCGCTTTCTTTTTGCCAAAGAACGCCTTTGATTTAAACGAAAAGAGAATTGGTCCTTTATAATGTTCCGGATGATAAAGTACATTCAATTGATCCTCTTGACTCTGTAAATAAAGAAAAAGTCTTATTTTCCAAAAAAAAATTAATTAATCAACAAATCTAATTCAAAACAATTTTGAATTTAATCCCATGGTTATTGAATGTGTGTAAATTATTTAATATTATTAATTATTAATCACACTACATTAAATTAACAGTCTTAATTATTATTAAAGAAATTTCTTTATTTAAGAAATTTCCCTCTTTCTTCTTCATAAACTTATGATTATAAAATCTTTGCAAATTATGCAAAAATCCTTATCTCTGAAATAAAACGAAAGCAGAATTAGTACAAAAATATTTACTAGTAGTGTAAATATATTTCCAATTTCGCTAAATAAACCAGTGGATGACAAATAAATTGAGTAATATAAAAATACAATGTTTTCCAGCCCATCACCACTCCTAAAAACTATATTCATGCATAATTATAAAACTACGATTTTCGAAAATATAATTAAAATCATTTTTAATATTATCGGTATTAACCAATACTCGATAAATTATTAATTAAAATTAAATAAATTGCTTTCTAAATATGCAATTTAGCCCATTGATCTATAATAAATCATTATTTATTATTTATTTCTTTAGTTATTCTTTTTCGCTTCTAAAAAGCACTGGATCCCAAAGAGTATTTGGATCAATCCCTAATTTTGTATTCTTCATTATTTTATAACGAGAAGATAAGCCTTATAAAGTGAATTATAAACATTGACAGCCACAAAAAGCACTTAAACATTACAATAGTTTATAATTTCTACCTTGCATGGACTCGAGTGTATTTTTCCACCTTTACTTGATTTCTGTAAACACAATTAATACTCGGTGACAGTTTAATAGAAGAAAATATAAAAATAAAAAACTTATAAGTTGTTTTTCGTAAAATCTGCAAATTATAAAAATATCATAAGAAAGCGGTATTTGTCGGTTTCTTTTCCAATTGCTTAATTAACTCAAAAAAATAAAAAGCTCTTATTTTTCAAAGAATACTTTTCTGTGCACGTCACGTTAATAAATAAAATATATTTATTAAATATATTTCCTAAAAGTTTCTTTTAAAATAAAAAATCACAGGGGGCAAAACGACATGCAAACGATAAATTTCAAATTTTATCCATAACTTTTTTTTTAAGAAATTAGAGAAATAGAGAAAATAGTTTGGATAATATTTTGGATGTAGCACAAAATATGTTAGTTAAGCAATCCAGTAATTTGAAAGTATAATTAACAGGAGAATTCAACTCACTCTGTAGGATAACATCAGTCCAGTTTTATTTAGCATCCAGAATGGACAATAGAGAGCCATTATTACGGATCCATGTTGGAATGATGAATGAATTCCTAAATCCATTATTACTCTTTGCGCACTGTCAAAGGACTCGAAGGACCAAACGGAAAATTCTGGTGGATTCGGAGTAATGTCCACATTACAGGACCAGTCTTTCTCCAAATACTGAGGTAGCTATAATAAATAATCAAAATTTGAATATAAAATTAAAATTTGAATACAATATTAAAATTTAAATATATAATATAAATTTTCAAATATAAATTAAAAATGTATATTTTAGATGATAAATTGATTTATTTTCATTTGGAAAAAAATGACTTAGGAAAACTGATAAAGAAAAATTAAATCTTACTTTAATTACTATTGACGATTTACTGGGATCTATTGTCGATAATTGTAGAGTTTTACTAGCTTCAACTTTTATGTCTTGTGCATTGCCAGGTTGACAAACGAGAATATCAATCGGTAGGAAATTCTTCAGGTACACTGACGGATACAGATGAACGTTGTAAATTGTACTCGCCATCGTGTGACGAGTTGTATTTTCAAAATACACTTGTTCAATTTCACCAACAGCCTAAAAAATAGAAGAATTTTATACTTCACGCAAAATGTTTTTTTAAAAAAAGTAAAAATAAATGAAAATTCCCTTTCAGATATATATTTTGTAAGAGAAGTAAATTCGATCAAAGGAAGATAGAAAAACAAACAATTTTTATGTTGTTTTGTCAAATTACGATTTTTCATAGATCAAATTTACTTGTGATAAAAAAAGTAAAATTTAAAATGCGTTTGTAAAATGTAAAATTTTAAATGTATTTTTATTTAGGTAATAAATGAAAATTGTACCTGAATATAAAATGGTGCGGTTGTTTCTTTATTTGTACGAGATTCACATTTTAGAAGTTTCTTCATGGAAATTGTTTTTTGCAGATCTTTCCAAATAAACGGTTCTATCGAAACCATGTACCCTTTGATGTTAAAGAAAAGCCAGTAATTATTTGTTGGAGTGTAGACTGCATCCAATGGAAGATTCAAACGTTCCTCGGGATTTACAGTGCCCACGCATTCGACTTCGTTTCCTCGTTTCGTCATAAAATAGACAGAAACTGGCACATTAAAGTGATTATACACCTGGGAAAATTTCAGAATAATTAATGAATAAAGAAATTTTTGCAATCATTATATTTTTTGTTACTATTAAACATTTTGTTATTATTATAGTTTTGTTACTATTACAGTTTTTGTTATTATTAAACTTTTTGTTATTATTATATTTTTGTTCCTATTATATTTTTTGTCACTAAATATTTTGTTACTACTTATTACATTTTTTCTACTATTATATTTATTTTCCTATTATATAATTTCGTTAATTATAATAAATAAAACAAACAAAAAAAAGAAATAGAAAAAAAAGAATACGAGAAATTATACAACTTTTAGAAAATTTACATAAAAATTTACTTTAAATAATAGTTTGTAACGTTACCTGTAAAACGCTCCTCAATGTGACAATTGTGCTACCCTCATCGACAACAACATCAGAAACTATTCCCCATTCTTCAGAACCTTCTTTTCTGTGTTTCAGTGAAAAGAATCGTTTATCAGCTCTAAGTACTGGTACTTCAAGTTTACCCTGAATTCCTTTCAACTAAAATATAAATTTCGATTATTTTTCAGTGACAAAATTTAGAAAATTGAAGAAAACATAATTATTTTTTAATAATTAAAATTAAAAAAGCATTCTAAAATTCTAAATTTTTAATTTAAAAGTTTAAAACAAAAATTCATTATCAAAAAATTTATTAATTAGAATTGGTAAAAAAATTCATTTATTAAAAATAATCAACAAAAAATTGATTAATTAATTCAATTAACACACCGAAACAATTAATTTGTGCTGAGTGTTCTGCTTAACATGATCTGCTCTTAGTTCCTCAAGTAATTTTATTTCCTTTTTGCCAAATTTAGGGGCTAATTGTACCAAAGCACCTGCCTCGAGAATTATTTCGTTGTATTCAGATTTATCAGCGTCCATATTTTTTCCCTGCTCTACAACCTGTTCAAAGGAATACAAATTTTGTTATGAAAACTTTTTCTTTTCCAAAACAAATTAAACTGTAACCGAGAAATTTAATTTGAATAGGAATAAATTAATTTTCAATTATGTGAGAATATTTTAAATTTAATAATAGAAAGTTTCAATTTCAATTAGATGGGAATATTTTCAAGAAAGTAATTTTAAAAAAAAAATACCTTGAAATTTCCATTTTCCAAATGAAGAGTCATAGATAATCCAGTCTCGTTTTTCAATATAAATGGAGCCATTTTACTTTTGCCTGATTTTCCTCCCGGTGCCATTGCATTAGAGAAAGCATTTCCAAGTTGTTTCAATACATCCAAACACGTCTTCGTCACTGTTAGCTCTAAATTTTCCTATTTTTTCAAAAAATAAAAGAAAAATGTAAAGAAACTGAAAAAGACTTTTATATTTTTCGTCTAGTTTCTTAATTTATTTCCTCATTTCTAATTTGCATTTTCCTAAAATTTTGAACCAATGAACGGAATATTTTTTTCGTATTCCAATACTTTTAAAAATTTAAATTAAAAGAAGAATTAAAAATATTGTCGTTCATTTAAGCATTCGAAACTTTAAGGACATTAATTCACTTTCTTGGCAAATTTCTTTATTCTTGTTTCTTACCGTTGATGAAACTTCTATTGACATTTTGGAAATTTGCTGCAATTCCTCCGGTTCTCCTTCAGTACTTGGAGTAACAGCACTCGCTCCTTTCGATACTTGATTCACATCGTTAAATTGAATCTAAAATAAACAGAAAATTAATTTAAATTTAAATTTTTTAAATTAATTTTTCATAATTACTCTTTTATCTAATACAAAATTTTCTAATTAAAAATATTGAACTTAAAACAAATTTTATTTTATTTATATTTTATTTTTTCTTAATTTTCTACTATACTTTATTAAAATTCGAAACATATTAAATTTAATTAAAAATTAACTAACAATAATGTTAAAAAATGATAAAAAATGTTTCATTTTTAAAAAATTTAGAACTAACACTTCTTTTGAAACATAAATACCTTTGTTTTTAATTCCCAAGGAGTAGAAATTCGCTTTCCTTTGTGAAGTCCTTCAATTGGTTCAATTAGTGGTTCCCAAAGTGCAAGACGACTGTTATAATACGCAACTAATAGTGACATTGAAGCTTCTATACCCATCTGTTAAGGGTAATTAAAATTTTTTTTATAAATTGAAAAACAATTTTCTTTTTATGACTAAAATTTACTTTCCTCTTCTTTAAATTAAAATTCAACAATGGAAAATAATTTACTAACCGTTTTGGTGCTCCAATCATTAATATTGCTCTGAAAACCTAAATGAAAGAGAAGCATCGGCAGGGTTTTATTTCCAACACCAGCTTCCAATGTTAATAAAATAACAGGTGCTGAAATAATAGCCAATTCTGGTTTGTAGGCAGGCAAAAATTCTTCATCAGCAAGAATCATATCTTCAATTGCTTCAATTCCAATTTCTGTAATTTAAAAATCAAATGAATGAATTTATCACTTAGTGGCTTCTACTCTTTTATCCAAAATTAAAATATTCTTTTCATTATTTTTTAATTTTAATTTTGTTTATTGAAAATCGATTTTCTATTTCTATTCATTCTATTACTTCTTTATAGAGGAAGGAAATTTAGTTTTTTAAAATGTTTATTTTTTAAAATCCCTTTTCAAAAATTTGTTTATCCTCCAGTGATATTTACCTGTTTTCAAGAACCAATATTCCTTTTCCTGATACGGAGAAATCAACCATAATTTTTCATGGCTAGGTCCTGGTTTTTCAATTTCACTGTCTTCCACTTCTTTTTTCGTTATAGTTTGAACGACTTTATTTAAAATTTCAATTACTCCTGGCGACACCGAGACATGAATGTCTGTGAAGCAAATATCCAAATGCAAACCTTCGCCTTCCGGTGTAGAACCAGCGACACTCATACTACAGGGTTTTAAAACCTGAAAAATTTACAAATAAATATGGAAATGTAAGAAATTAATTGTCAACCGATTTTTTTTTTTTTCAATTTTTCCGAACTTACTTCATACATGGAATCCGCTCTCTTATCAATATTATAAATTCCAGTCGTCAGCGAAAGGTCTTTGATAGATCCAGATATAACTTGATGTTCGCCCATTAATCGAACTTTCAACAAAATTTCACTCTGTACAGAAAATAATATCAGTTAAAAGATTATTACTTTAAATGAATATTAACTTTAAAAAATACTCAACTTAAAAAAATACTCAACTTTAAAAAATTATTGTTTAGAAAATTACTAGTTAAAAATTTACTCTACTCAAAAAGTTATTATTAAAAATATTACTACTTAAAAAATTGTTACTCAAAAAATGCTTTCAAAAGAAAATAAATACTTCTGATTGAAAAAAAATGCGTACGTTTAAAATAATACAATTTGAATCAATATCGTCCATGTCTTCGAGTAGAATTATATCGGGTTTTTCTACGTGCAAATTAATCGTAAGCTTGGGCAATTCCCCGGGAGTTTGCATTGTTTTCTTCTTAACAATAGTTTCAGGCACTTTTTGCGACGCCTGAATGGCTTGCTTCGAAGTTTCATCGGCAGCGAAAAAGTCCTTAACTTTCATCAAATAATCCAGAGAAACTATTATACTGAATGAGAAGACTCTACAATCGACTGAAATAAAGCAACAATAATTAAACATTTCAATTGATTTTAAATTTTAATATTTTTAAATTAAAATTTTACTTTTCAGTAAAATTCGATATTTTTACATTCAAATTTTACTTTTCAATAAAATTTGATACTTTTAAATAACAATGTTATTTTTCAATAAAAAATATATTTCCTAAATTGTGTAGAATAAAATTAAAAGTCAATTACCAAAAGTGTCATTGGGTCCTTTTCTGATAGTAACATCCAACATGCTTCTGGCAGAACTCTTCTTCTGCTCGTAATCTACAACTCCCATGTTGGGAATTGCAGACGTTCTCTCCATGATTCTAGCGAGACCTCCTTTTCGATTGTATCTCGTGTCGTCTAATGTGCAATTCATGAGAATCACCGAAGTCGCCAGCAATCCATCGTCAAACATACGACCTTTGATGGCAAAATGCGTCAAGCCAAATGTTCCCAATCCATTTTGTGGCAAATGCAACGACGAACTTTTAGAGTGAAGCTAAAGTTTCGATAAAATTAAAACAATAAGAATATTTTTTTTTTTTGATTTTTGATTAATGTTTGACTTTTAAAATTACCTTTTTCGTTCCTCCACTAAATAATTCAATCACCAAACTGTCCATTATAAATTCAAACTGAATCGAGGTGTGCGCCTGTCTCTGCCTCTGATTATCATCTGATTCAACTTTGCTTACAATTTCCGCCTCTGTTTTAACTGTAAACGATATTAATCATGTCAGGAGATAATAAATAAATAATAATTGTGTTAATAATAAATAAAAAATCTATAAATATTCTCTGTATATTTTTTAACTAACAAATAATACGCGCGTAACGCAGTATTCAATTTATTTTTATTACGAAAATTACAAAATTTTTAATTTTTAAATATAAACTTCACTTTTATTGAATAATGTTAGATTAAAAATTTTAAAAATGCACTTATTAGTCACATAATTAATTAGATCTTAAATGTTTATTATTTTTAAAAATGTTAATAAAATTCTTCTCAGGAATTCAATTATTTTCAAAAAAATTAATATAATTTTTAATTATAATTATTAACAGATACGATTATTTTAAAAGGTTCAAAATAAAAATTCTTTGTGAAATTCAATTATTTTCAAAATTTTCAGTTAAAATTATTAAAAAAAACTACAATATTTAAAAAAAACTTGAAGAAATTCTTCAAAAAAATTTAATTATTTTCAGAAACTAATAAAATTATTCAAAAGAATTTAATTTTCTACCAATAATTTCAATAAGATTTAATAATAAAATTATTCATTACAATTTGTAACAAAATCTATTATATTTAAAAAATTAAAGAAATTCTATAGAAGAATTAAATTATTTTTAATATTTTAATAAAATTACTTGAATGAATTCAATTATTATAAAAAATTGTAATATAATTCTGAGAAGAATTTAATTTTTTTCTAAAAATTTTAATAAAATACAATAATTAAATATTTAATTACAATTATTAAAAAAACACGATTACTTTGAAAACTTGAAAGAAATCCTTCATAAAATTCAATTATTATTAAAATTTTCAATTAAAATTATTAAAAAAACTCCATTATTTTCAAAAAATTCAAAGAAATTCTTCTAAACAATTCAATTATTTTCAAAACTTTTAATAAAATTCTTCACAAGAATTCAATTATTTTCATAAATAATAAAATTTTATGCAAAAATTCTAGTATTTTCAATACAATTTTATTAAAATATTTCGAAAGAATCCAATTATTTTTAAAAATTTTGATAAAATTCAGTTATTTTCAAAATTTTTGATAACATTTTTTGCAACAATTAAATGATTTTCAATACATTAATTTAATAAAAATTTATAAATAAATAAATAGTATAAAATGAAATAGAAATGAAATTCAAATCCAAAATTTACTCACAGACTTTTGTTCTTTGAAGTTCATCAATCTGTTGCGATTTCCTCTCATTTCTAGGAACAACTTTACTTGACTGTGCATCTTCGTTCTGTTCTCCTAAATTTTCATCCATTACTGTCATAATCATCACGTAATCTTCATGACTCAGTAGCAAATGTATTTCGTTCATTCTACCCGACATGTCGATATCGGGCACAGATTTATACCAATTTGTGGATAAATTTCTCTTCAGAAGTAATGTAAAACTCACTGGTTGGAGTAAAAGAAGTTCATCTTCTTCAGCAAATGACTCGACGTCTAACGTTATTCTAAAATTTTTTAAAATAATTTTGTTCATTTTATTTAAAATAAACATCCAAAAACATATATATTTATCGAATCAGGTAATAATTCATTATATTAACAGTTATTTTTGTTTATTATTTGCTCTTTTGTTATTTATATTCAAAATTACTTAATTAATTACTGAATTATTATTCTTTTTATTATTCAAGAAAATTATTTTTAAAAATTAATGAATGAAATATTATAATTTTTAATAACAAAAGAGTAGACACTGCCCAGTGATAAATTCAAAAAAATATTTTTCTTACCTAGATAGCTTCAAATTTTGCAATTCAACTTTCATTTCATCAATTACTGGATAGCATTCTGCTTCTGATATTTCCAATTTTTTGAAGACATTTCGAATAGTAAGATTACCCATGTCCAACATTAAGCATTGATCGCTTTTTGAATTTTTCGGCACATAAACAACTGGAGCCTGTAATAAAAAATTATAAAAATATAAGGAAACAAAAAGAAATCGAATTTTTGTAATATTAATATCAATTGTCATTGAAATACATAATTTTTTACAGAAATAATTACCTTAATGTTAACTGCCAATTCTATGCGTGCGGCACTTTCCTGGACGTCTTTAATATTCGTCTTTGCAGCTTCAGCCGCTGCTGCGGAAGCTTCTCTAATTGCTTCTTGTGCAGCTTGGAAATTATTCAAAAAGTCCTGCAAAAACAAGGTGGAAAATAATTAATATTATCTCCTACTTTTTTATTGTAAAAAATTATAAAAAATTATTTTATTTAATTAGATTTCATAATTAATAGTTTTTTTAAAAATTTGTTTTTTTCAATTTAAATTTATCATTTTTATCAATTTGTAATATTATTTTTGTATTTGTAATATTTGTAATGTTACCATAACACTGGCGACGAAAGCATTGAGGAAAACTATTCTGTGACAACCCATAATGACCGTGATGGACATATTATTCTTTTCCGTTTCGTAATCATCTAAATTATTCATTACCGCTTGAATCTGTAGAGATTCCGAGTCCTCGACCGACACAATCTGAAACAATATAATTTTATTGTTAATTGTATTTAATAATTTATATTTCAAAATTATTTCTAAATATTTTTATTTTAATAATTGTCTTACGTTTCGATAAACAGAGGATGTATTCAAATCTTTAATATTTATCGAAGAGAGACTGATATTTGCTTGCGAATACGAAGCCTTCATAATGTAACCAGCAGCAAGGCCTTTTACGAAAAAACTTGCGATGTCTCTGTTATTACACGCCATTTTAATTCCGATTTCTCCAATTTTTGCTTTTACTTTGAAATCAATTATCTCAACGTGTGCTTTCTTTCGACCTGAAATAAAGAATTAATATCAAAAAATGCAAAAAATAGAAAAATATAAAAAAGAAGGAAAATATAAAATTGATATCAAATTGAGAAAATTAATATATTCCTAAGGTTTTGAACGCACAAATGAACGAAATTTATTTATTTCTTTTTGCAAGTCAAATCTTATTTTACGGAAAATTAAATTAATTAAATTTTTTTAAATGAATTAATTTTTTTTGTTAAAAATACGAAAAAATGGAAAATATACAAAATTGATAGCAAATTAAGAAAATTAATATATCCCTAAAGTTTTGAACGTACAAAGGAACAAAATGTATTCATCTTTTTTCAAATTTAAATCTTAGGTACAATAATATTGCGCCATGAATTAAAAAGTAATTTTAAAGTTTCAAAATGTTTAATTGAACCGCCGGATCGAAGAAGGGCATATAGCCAATGTAATTCAAATGGGCTATATGCCCTTCTACGATCCGGCGGTTCAATTTACGTTTTTGACTTGTTGCTTTTAAAAATACAAGGAAAAACTATTTCATTTTCATTTGAACGTTCATAAGTTTTGTTGCATATATCAATGAAAAAAATACTAATTTTTACGAAATAACTAACGTGTAACTCTATCGCGTTGTTTTTGAATATGCTCTTTGAAAAATGTAGTAGCGTCTTCCTGAATTGTCGACAAATGAGCTGTGCGATTAACTTTTTGCTTAATTTTCTTCTCATTCATCATTGCAGTAGTGGTACTTATTTTTTCCTAAAAAAAAATTCCAATCCATTAGAAATCTAATTACATTTTTAATTGTTTTAATTTTTTAAATATTAATTTAATCTTTCTACTCTTATTTTAATATTTTTTATTCTACTTCAATCTTTTTAATTCTACTTTAATCTTTTTAATTCTGCTGTAATTTTAGATTAGATTTCATAAAATATTTCACCTGAATGTTTGTCATAAACTTTAGAACGTTAACAAGCACTTCCTGGTGGAGTAAAACATCTAGAGTCGTAAACTCCATTTCCAATAATTGCGTTACTGATCCGTGAATTGTGACAAATTCTGGAGATCGCTTATTGACCTAAATAATTTCAAGAAGAAAATTAATAAATAATAATACAATAAAACTAATAATAATAAAAATAATAACAAATAATAATAAATAACAAATAAATAAATAAATAATAAAAATAATAAGGAAAATAATAGCAAAATTATTACTGCAAAAACTAAATAATTAGAAATATTCTCACATGTACATATCGTAGGATTATCAAATATTCTTTACTTCCAGTTGTCATTGGAGTATTAATCATAAAAACTTCTCCAGTATCGTGATACTGTTTCACCTGAATTCCACCCAATCTCAACATTATTTCCTGATTATAAGTTCTCTGCAGCATCTCCGCTTCCAATTTAAGAAGTTGAAATTTCAAAAATGGCAACATTTGTTGCACACCTTGTTTTGAAATTGTAATAGTAAGCTCTGAAAAAAAATAAAAGCAATTTTAAAACACCTTTAAAATAATTATATGTTTAACGATAAATTATTTAATTTATTTTAATTTATTTATTATTTAAATAAAGTTATAATAAATATTAAATTTTTATACCTTTCATAATGAATTTCGCTTCTAAATCCGTCGTTTGTTTAACGGGAGTAACATCTTTTTCCTTCTTCTCTGGTTTGTTGACCATATTCGAAAAGTCTTTAAATAATGACAATTGTGAGAGTGATTTTGTCTGAAAGAAAAAGAGCGAATAATGAAAATTATTTTCGAATAAAGAAAATTATTTTTTCGATTCGAAAAAAAAATCGAAGAAAGATACAAAGAAGAATCGAAAAAAACGTACTAAAGATGTGGCAATTTCGGGTTTATCTTCTTCCGGAAAAGGAATACTTTGTGCTATTGCGAGACCTTCCAGTAATCGATTTTCTAAATAATAAAATAAAAAATAGTCAATAAAATAGAAAATTGAATTACAAAACAATTATCAAAAATTTTATTATTAATTACCATCGAAGTTAATTTCAACCGACGGCAATTGTCCAATTACTCTCATTTTCGGCAAAAGGGGATCGTCCATAATGAGGCATTTGTGAAATTGCACTTCTAAAGTTGTTGGTTGAAGAATTTTCATTGGACTCACTGAATCGGATAATGCATTTCGCCAATCTTCGTTTGGCATTGTTACAAGGGCCTAGACAAAATATTAAACTCTAATATTTTTAAATAATTGATAAATTAACAAAATTCGATATAAGAATTATTCAAAACAAATTTCTATTCGAGATAAAAATTAATAAAAATAAAATCAAATTCGATAAAAATTAATAATAAAATAGAATTCGATAAAAACTAATAAAAATAAAATCAAACTCGAAAAAAATTCATGAAAATAAAATCAAATTCGCCAGTAAAAAATCTCCAAGAAAACAATACCTGGAAATTTACAATCTTCAGAACAAATTTATCGTAGCTGTACAATCGGAGATGAGACAAAATTTCTTCTTCACTTTTCCCCATGCTGACTAATTGTTTAACAGATAAATGCGCAGATTCGTCTTTTGCTTTCTCGAGAGAATGAATTTTCAAACTACCCAAATTAATAACAAATAAGGATTCGGTTCTATTGTAGAATCCACCGTAGGGAATTATCAATTGCGACGCATTTAAGTCCACCTGTAAGAATATTTTTTTCATTTAATAAGACAATTTCAATATTTCCCTTGATCTTGCAAATTTATAAAAATAAGAGATTATTTCTCTTCGAGTATAATATATTCCCAGTTTTTGCAAATTAATAAATAAGAGTATTTCTCTTCGAGTACAAAATATTTTTCTCGTTTTGCAAATTAATAACTAAGAGTATTTCTCTTCGAGTACAAAATATTTTTCTCGTTCTTGAAAATTAATAATTATTTATTTTTCTTCGAGTACAAAAATAGTATTCTTCTCATTTTTGTAAATTAATAAATAAGAGATTCATACTTCATTATAAACATGTTTTATTATTAAAAACTTGGACTTTTAAATGTATTTTTTTTTTGCAAAAAGCATTTCTTAATCTATAAAAATGTTAATTTAACTAGTTTGATAGTTCTGTTATTTTTAACGATCAATAATCTCACCTGAATATCGAGGACGGAATGTTTTTGAATAGCATATTCAAGACCTAAGGCAGACATTTCTTTCAGGCCAACCAATCGCTCAGCAGCGACTGCTTGAAGTCTAAAATTAAATAAAACATTAAATCAAAATTAAAATAAAAAATAAATAAAAAAAGTAAAAATAAATCTGAAAAGTAAATTAAAAATAAATTTAAAAAATAAACAAAAATTTTAGAATTCAAATTTGTTAATTAAAAAATATACGAACTGATTTAATGTCGTTGGATCTTGAACTTTGAATAAATTGATTAATTCTATAATTGTTTGTGCATCATAAACGATGTGAACAGACGCAGATTTAACAATTACACGATCTCCGCATAATTTATCCAATGGATTTTTTTCATATGACACAGAAAACAAATTACTGTCTGAAGTGCTGCTTTCGGAATTAAAAAGCGATGGTATTTTTTCTCCTTGTTGAACGCCCAATAATTTCAAGTCGCCAATCGAGGCAGTAACACTGAAAAAATAATATTTTTCTTTATTATTAATCACAGCAATTATTGTTATTTATAAATTTCAATTCAGATTTTTTTTGTATGGAATAATCAGTTGATTATAAAAAAATTAATTTAATATAAAACGTACGAAATTCCGTTTGCCGATGGCCTTGATTTAAAGGTTGCCAAAACGTTATTGAATTGCAGATCTAAAACCTGCGGAGACTCTTTATCAGTATCAAGAATAACGATTTGAAGACCATGCAGGAAAAATTTCGTATCAATCATTTCAAATGTTTCGGGATAATGAGTTGGCGCGGAATTTTCTTGATAATCAATGGCAAGATACAATTTTTCCTTTTCCTGTGGTGTCATCTCTGCCTCCAATTTTTTCACTGTAAATTATTATTATTTTTATATTTACTTACTTATTATTATGTAATTTAAATAATAAAATGAAACAATAGAAATGAATAGAAAAAAAAATAAATTAAGAACATAAAGATAGAAAATATTCATACTAATTGCAGCTGCAGAATTTAATCCAGCTTCTTCCTCGTCATTTTGTCCTGATCCCCACCAACTACTGAACCATCCTTGTTTCGCCTTTAAATTCTTTTCCTTTTCTGCCAATTTTTCCACCTGTAGAAGAAAAATTACCGAATTATTCAACATATTTCAATTTTATTTTAGTAAAATAAATTTACGAAAATAGTATTTTAATTCTATTTTAGTAAAATATATTCACTAAAATAGGATTTTATTTTTATTTTAGTAAAATAAATTTACGAAAATAGTAATTTAGTTTCATTAAAAAATTTATATTCTTCATTTATGTAAGAGAAACCTCTCGCAATTATGTTAATTAGTTGCTGCGAAATTATCAAAAATAAATTTAATATTCCGCCTGATTTTAAAAGGTTGACATTCTTCCGACAAGCAAAAAAAAATTATCATAATTTCGCAATTTTGGCTAGACTCAAGAAAAAAAAAACAATCTTCAAAAGTATTGAATGTAAATTTCTTGAAAAACATTTAAACATGCCTCCATTTCTATTTGTTGCCTAATTATAACAAGATTGAAAATATCCAATTTAATTTCACATTCTGTTATTTTACTGTCAATATCACTGGGACATCGTTTCGATGTCAATTTTGTATGATAAACATCAGCGTAAGTTCTGCATGTATCTCGATGTTCCTTCATGTGATTCCAATCCCAATTTCTCCGTGGTCTTCGAATATTTTCCTCTAATACACTCGTGTATGCGAAATTCCACCTAATGGAAAAATTCTAATTAGAAATCAATTAATATTGCTGAAAATTTAATAACAAAAAACAATTAAAGCAATTGTACCCTTAAAATTTTTATTTAAAAACGAAAATTAAAAGCCAAAATTACTGGATGTTAAAATAATTTTCAAATAAAAAACTAAATATTAAAGTTACTAATTATTGTAATAGCTGATTTTAATAAGTAATAAAAAAATAAAATAACTATATACTAAAGTAATTAAGTATTTAAATTACTGAATATTAAAGTAACTAAATATTAAAATAACTAAATATTAATATAACTAAATATTAAAATAACTAAATATTCTAGAAACTAAATATTAAAATAATAAAATATTAAAGAAATTAAATACTAAAGTAACTAAATATTTAAATAACTAAATATTAAAATAATTGAATATTAAAATGAAGTAAAAATAAGGAAAAGAAATTTACAAAATTAAATAATTTACCATTGTTTATAGTGACCTCGATAGGACGTTAAATTAGGTCTGTATTTTCTGTAGGGCCCAGCTTTATTAGCACGATCTAATCCTTCACCCAGCTGCATAAGAGCTTGATATTGTTTTTTCGTTAATCCAACTCTCAATTTTTGCATTTCAAGATCGAGCCATACTTTTGGTATTGTATAATCACTACCGTCAGTTTCCGGTTTCGGATTAAGTTTTAATTTTGCCTTCACATTTATTGGACCCAATACTAAAACAAAAAAAATTTAACAATAAAAAAAGAAAAATTTGTAAGCATAAACAAAATTTGTAAATTAAAATTATTTAAGAGATTTAAGAGATTAAAAACTAAAAATGTATTAAAATGTATAAAATTTAGAGACAAAAAAAATGTATAAATACTATTTAAACAAAATTTGTAAATAAACATTAAATATCAATCATATTTAAAAGATTCTCATTTCCAAAGTCGTTCGGATAAACTTTTAATATTAAATTAAATTTTTCTGATAAATTTCTTACAATACAAAAATCCTTCTGGTATTAGATCAGCAGTTGCAATTGATTCTTTGAATATTTTTAAATAAGTGTCTCGTGGTTCTTTGCTGAAAAGCTTTACAGTTGGATTTAGATAAACGGCAAAAGCGTCCATGGTACAGAGCTGTGAAAATATTTTTTTATACATTATTTAATGTAAATAAATATCAAATAATAATACTAAATATTAATTATAAGTAATAATAATAAAATAATAAAAATAACTATAAAAATTATTAAATATTATTTAATAATTAAATTAAATTAAATTAGATTAAATATTATTAAATAGTTCTAAATAACAGAAAATGGGATATAATCCTTCAAGAATTGACTCACTTTGAAAATTTGCTGAATCGCATACATATCCTTTAGATTTCCGGTTGTTTGCCAAGCATCTGTGCAACTCTCTAATGCAAATCTATTCAGTGTGATACCACAGGAAAATGAGAGATCTTTAAAGGATATATGATCTTCATAACGCACATGAATTCCTTTAATTTCCAAATGAATATTTTTTATCATTCGGGCAACAAGTTTTTCCATCATGGAATCATCAACTTTCTCCTTGGCTGTAGAAATTCGTTAATGTTTTTTGTTTATTAAAAGTAGCAAATTAAACGATTGTGAATAAATAAATTATTCTAGAAAATATAAACTGGTAATATTATAAAAAATATATTTTAAATTCGCTTCTAAATGAATTAATGTTTTTTTTTGTTTGTTAAAAATAACAAATTAAACGATCATGAATAAATAAATAATTCTTGAAAATATATTCTAATAATATTATAAAAAATATATATTAAATTTGCTTCAAATAAATTAATGTGATTGTAAAGTTCCGCAAGTTCAAATAAACGAATTTTATTTATTTCTTCTTCAAATTAAATTTTTATTGCAATATTTTGCATCACGTAGATATAAAAAAAATGAATTAGTTTTTAACTGTAAAATTGAAGTTCTTATTTAGTTTTGCAATTTAATTTAGGAGAATATTTTCAATTTAATTAATTTTAATTAATTAATATTAAGGAAATTAGTTTCAATAAAGTTATTCATTTAAATGTTTAAAACTTCTCGGGCGTGAATTAATATAAATTGACAATTAATTTACATTTAAGTTCAGCCAATCGTTTCTTGTTCTCCACTCTCGCAAGCTCAGCCCTTTTCGCGTCCAATTGCGCCTTCGTTTCTTTTTCGGCATCATATTTCACCTGACTTGTTGGAACTATTAAAATAAACAAATCTTCAACAACTGCATCAATCTGACCATTCCACATATCCTTGAATGGAATCTTAAGAACTAATTTGCCTGAATAAAAGAAATTATACGATTATAATAATTATTATAATTAAAATGATTCACATACAATAGAAATATAAAATTACAAACCTAATCGACCATATTCCAATTTTATTGGCAGATCTAGCATATCAAGTGCACTTTCATTTATTAACAAGTCCTTCAGGACTACATCGCCTGAAAATAAATAAATAAAAACATAAATTAGTTAAAATAAATAAATTAAAATATTAAAAATAAATAAATTTCTCTAAATTTTAATTATTTCAAGAAATCTTCAATTTATTTCAACGAAAATAAAAAGGACTATAAAAAACTCTTTAAAAAATAAGAATTAATTTTGAATATTTTTTTATAGAAAGTAGGTGCCATAAAATTTACATAATAGAATTAAGTTTCGAATTTATTTAAACAAGCCAAGGACTTTTTTCATTTTACAATGACAATTTATTGCTCTTTAAATAATCATTGGTCGCTAAATTTAGAAGATAAAAAACTATTAATACAATGTATTTACATTCGCATATAAAAAAAAAATATTTTCGACATATTTTTTTGGGAATTAGATTTAAGAATTCGAATATTTTTAGAAAAAAACCAATTTATATATTTAATAGCCGTAATTATTTCTCGTAACTATCATGAAAACTTATCTCCCCCTGAAACAATGTTTTAATGTCTCGTTATCGTTGTTAATTTCGATAAAAAGGAAAAAAATATATCTTAAAAGTAACACAAAAGCTGCTTAAAAAGAAATCGACTGTTAGAATAATGAATTTAATTCCTATTTGAGTTTTCTAATTTTAAATTAAGGGGATTTTTCTAGGTGTTTAATTTATTAATTAGTTTTTTAATCATTTTTTTGCGGTTCTAAGTAAAAAAAAGGTACATTTTATTAATTAATTAAAAAAGGTAAAATCGGTAAAAATCAAAGGAAAGTAAAATGAATAGGAGTCGAAAATAGAATATATTAGTTTCTAATAAAAGACCATAATTAAACAGACACGTGTCACTATTTATAAATAGTTGAGTGATACAAAACAAATATTATTGTTTACAGAAAAAAAATACCAAAACAATGTAAATATAAATGTTATTGATTTTGAAAACAGCCCACGTGTTTCGAATAACCTTCCATATATTGATTTTCGAGAATTTAAAGGTAAAATTAAAATTTAATAGTAAATAATAAATAATCAAGTTACTTACCACCCCATAAGCTGAGCTTTAATTGTGTACAATCCAAATTTTGGATGTACTCTCCTAGAACTTTGTTCAAAAGATCAGCTACAATTGATTCGAAAACCATCTTGATTATGATATAATTTTCGAAATTCAATAACTAGGTACCACAAAATAAAATTTTTAATTGTCTTTTAAAATGCTACAAAATATAGTTTTTCACTATTCTATTAACTGTCATTATTTTCACATTTGTTTATTTGAATTTACAAAATATAAATTCATCTCTCAATAATACACGAACACATGTTTCATTGCTATCTTTACATTTTTAAAGGACTCTCTTTTTGTAATTAAAGATTCAAAATTTAAACTTGTAAAGAGCTATGTCGAACCACAGCATGTAAAGAACTATTCTTTTAAAAAGTATGACATCAGAGAAATATTTTGTTTATATACTTTGCTCATCCCAAAAATCCCACTTTTACGACGCAACTGCTATTAAATAATAATTTTAGGTTAGGTTCGAAAGTTGTCTGCTGCACTGCAGCAGACGACATTTTTATCTTCTGCAAACTATTTTTTGATTCGTTAAATTATGGTGCAAACTTTTGTGATTGGTCCATTTTATTAAACGTTAATTAATTGGTCACTCATTTGGAACTAAAATTTAAATTTTAAATTTTACTTCTTTTCATTATTATTAATTTTTTTTTATTATTAAAAGTTAAAAAGAATATTTTTTACGATTATAAATATAATAACAATTAATAAAAATAACAATAATAACTAATATTATATATAATAATATTAATAATAAATAATTGAATTATCACGAAGAATTTTGCTAACATTTTTGAAAATTCCAATTAAATTTTTTTTTAAGAATTTTTTTTGAATTTTTTTTTAAATAATTGAGATTCTCTAATAATTTTAATTAAAAATTTTGAAAATAATTCAATTTTATGAAAAATTTTTATCAAGTTTTTAAAATAATCGTGTTTGTTAATAATTTAAATAAAAACATTTAATTATTGAATTTTATTAAAATTTGAGAAAATAATTAATATAATTAATATATAATTGAATTGCTTCGAAGGATTTAATAAAAATTTTAGAAAATAATTGAATTTTTTCGAAAAATATTATAAATTAAAAAAAAATTGAATTTTTGCAATGAATTTTACAATTTATAAATAAAAATGAATTGTTTCGAAGGATTTATTAATTTAAAATTTTAGAAAGTAATTGAATTCTTTTGAAATATTTTATATCGAATTAAGAAAAAAATTTAATTCTTTCGTGGAATTTTTTTGAAAATAATTGAATTTTTACAAAAAATTTCACTATTTATAAAAATAATTGAATTTTTACAAAAAATTTCACTATTTATAAAAATAATTGAATTCTTAAGAAGAATGTTATTATTTATGAAAATAATTGAATTCTTGCGAAGCGTAACATTTTGCTAGTAATATAATAACTCGTAAACGCAATTAGGAGGAAAATTTAAAAATGCAAAATCTATTCCTTAGAAAATTATTATTAAAATTGTGTTAAAAAATAAACGACTAAAATAAATTATAAATTAACGAAAATTCTAATCAGATACGTGTATAATAATTACAAAAACATAACTTTATTACACAATTTTCCTAGTAATACAAAGCAACTTATAATATTGTTATTTTATAAAAACTAATAAGTATAGTTTTAATATTTATTAGACAATTATTGACAGTAACGATTGTCAAAAAAATTAAAAAATAAGAAAACAATGAGTAGGTACATTAATAAATTAAAATATTTACAAATTTCAATAGTTGACACCTACAAATCAGTCTAAAAAAAAAATTTGAGTGTATTAGAGCACTCTTTCTTTTATTTTTAAGTATTAACGGCGTTATTCTTGACTTTTTAAAAAGTATTTTTTCTAACATTACATTAAAATTATTGCACAAATTATTATCAACAATTTGCTAATAATAAATGCTAACAATGAGAATTATAGATTTGTCGCATGATTCGCTAATTTTTTTTATATCATTTTATTAAAATTCTAAAAAGAATTTCATTTTTACTGAATCTGAAGAATTTTTCATAGAAATCAAGTTCTTAATATCTAATATTTTGATGTTTTTTTACTGGAATAAAATATAGTTAGTTGTCATTTAATCTTATCTTTATCATTTATCTTTTATGAATCATGGCAAGATTTCTAATTTTTTCTTTGCGAACACGAAAAAATTACTAATTTTTTATATTTGCGATTGCGAATCTGATTCGCAAGAACATTGATAATTTTTTTTTATTGTTCCAATAGGATTTCTTCAAAATTCTTTATCATTAATGATTGTTACTGATTTCGGAAATTTGTATACAAACCTTTCATATACAAATTCTGATTTGAAATCCTCGAGATCATCTTCCAGCGTAAGTTGGATTTTTGAATGTTGAAGTTGCTTGTTTGTAAATTGGATTTTCTCCCTAAAAAAAATAAAAACATGTAATTAAAAATATATTTTATACAGTCAAATCTCGATAATTAAACTTTCGATAAATTGAAGTTTGATTTTGAGTCCCTAGAAAAAATTTCGCTATTTAAAATCCTCGATAATTTGAATTTTTTCTGTGTCCCTTGAGGTTTAATTTAAAGAGAGTCGACTCAAAAAAGAACAGAAGTAATTGAATAAATAAATAATATTTACTATTTAATTATTAAATAATAATAACTGTTTAATTATTAATTATTAATTATTAAATAATAGGGTTTGGATATTAACAGTTTAATTATTAATTATTGAATAATATTTACTATAATTAGTTATTAGTTATTAAATGAAATTTTTAATATTTTTAATTACCGCGTCCCATTTGGCCATCATTCTCTCCTTCTCGAATTTGGCGAATTCCTGTTTATCCTTGATTGTTGCAAAAGTTTTCCACGTGGCCAGCATTGCGACACCTGTCAAAACAATGCCCGCCACGACAGCAAGAACAACACCAAGTAAATAAATCACTGGCGGACAATGATCGGGTTCCTTTTGTGATTGAATTACCAATTTTGTCTCATTGTAATAATAAAGATAAACATATGTACAATCATCGTCGCCCTTGAAATAACAAATCGTCTCATCATTCTCGATTAGAGTTTTATCGATTTTTTCCACAACCTCAACATTAATGTTTGTGCAATTTTTCGCACATTCCTCGGCAGTAATATTGCCTGTGTGATTCATTTGACACATAACGCATGGTTTTAGTTCTTCACATTGATTTTTGCATGTTAGGCATTTTTCACAATAAAGTCCCGAGTAGCGAACTTCGTCCTCTACGCGGCACACGCATTGACCACAAACGCAATCGCCCTGAAATTATTTTATTAACAATTTAGTAAAAATTAACTATAGTCATTTTAAAATAATTTCTTAAAAGTAATTAGTTTTAAGAAATTATTAAAAAATTAACTAAAATCATTTTATAACATTTTATTAAATTAACAATTAACTTTAAGAGTATTAATATTATTAATATTAAAATATTCATAATTTTGCAAGTTAACAATTTTTATATTTTTAAATATAAACACTAATTTTTGAATAATTTCAGATTCAAAATTTAAATTAAAATTCACTTATTAAAATGTAAATAGAAAAGACTTACTTTTCCTGAGCATATAAGATTAGATCCTGGTCGCTTGCAAGTGTCGGTTGATGTTATGCATTCACATGCTTTTCCAGACCAGCCCGAATAACATTTACAAACTCCATTGCAGTCACAATCTCCGTTTCCAGAACAGTATTTATTGTCACGACGATCACATGAAAAATTGTCACATTCACAAAAATCGCCCCATATTCTCTGAAAAAATATAGTTTCTTTATTTAAGTTCGTAAAAAAGATTTCTGTAAAGTTATTTTTTACTTCCTCTAAGTTAACTTTTGCTTATTTAAGCAAAAATATTAAATTAGAAATAAAAATTTTGATAGCAATATTACTATTGAAATTTTTATAAAACGTATACAAAGAATTGACTTAAAATTAATTTAATGTAATTAAAGAAAGTGAATTTAAAAATTAATTTAATTTATCTTAAATTATCAATAAATAAAAATAAATTCTTGCTTTTTAAAATAAAAATATCTTACCACGTATTCACCACTGGGACGGTTGCAATCACAAATTCCGCAGGTACATTCTCCTCTACCTGAACAATCGACTAAACTGGTGTTATCACGCTTACAAGATTGCATATTGTAAGGATCGCTTGTCGCAGTATTGCATTCGCATCGTTTTCCAAAACTGAGAGGATTACATTCGCAAGTTCCACATTTATAGGTTCCACTGTAACTGCATTTTGGTGAATTTATCTCATAAGTCGAGTGATCCGGTCGTTCGCAATCACAATCGCAAATCATTTCCAAATTTATTCTCAGAGATTCATTAATGCCGACCTTAAATGAAAAATTTAATTGTAAACACAATTATCAACAACTAAAATTACTAACATCTAAATTTATTTTTCAGTTTCTGACTGTTTGATATTTTATATTTAATTTATGATCCTAAAGTTCTGAACGATCAACTGAACGAAATTTTATTACAATAAATTTGCATCACTACCAAATTGTTTTATTATAATAAATTTGTATCATTGTCAAATAAATTAATTATAGTTTCTAAATATAAATATAAATAAAAATATTTTTAATAAAAATTATTTCGCTCATTTGAAAGTTCTGGATAAAGGTAATTCTTGCATAGAATTATATTAAAATTTTTGAAAAGAATTTAATTGCTTCGAAGAATTTTGTTAAAAAATGCTGAAAATAATTGAATTCTTGAGAGAAAGTTTATTAAAATTGTAATGAATATAATTAAATTCCTGCAAAGCATTTTATTTAGGAAAATAATAAAAAATAAAAAAGTAAAACTTGTAGAAATACAAATTCAATTGTTTCGAATAAAATTTAAATTGTGCTAAAAATAATTGAACTATTTTAAAGAATTTTATCAAAATTGTTGAAAATAATTGAATTCTTTTAAGGAATTTTATTAAAATTTTGAAGAGTAATTGAATTCTTTCTAGAAGCCAATAATTATAAAATAAAATTCTTTAGAAATTCAAAATTTTTTAAAAATTTGTAATAAAACTGTTTTTCGAAATTCAATAATTATTTACTAATAATTAAATTTAAATTCTTTGAAAATCAATTTTGTTTTAAATTTCTATTGAAATTGTTTGTTGAAATTCAGTTATTTACCAATTATTAAATAAAAATTTTTCTACAATTAATTTATTTAGAATCTGTCATAAAACTTTTTAAAAATTCAATTATTTTAGAATCTCTCATAAAATTCTTTAGAAATTCAATTATTTTAGAATCTTTCATAAACTTCTTTGAAAATTCATTTATTGTAGAATCTCTCGTAAAATTCTTAAAAATTCAATTATTTTAGAATCTCTCGTAAAATTCTTAAAAAATTCAATTATTTTAGAATCTTTCATGAAATTCCTTTGTCAAAATTCAATTATTTACTAATTATTAATTAAAAATTTTTTGAAAATTCAATTTTTTTAGAATGTCTAAAAAAATTCGATGTCAAAATTCAATTATTATTTCCAAATTAATATTCCAAAACTTCAATTAATTTGATAATTGAATTATGATTAAATAAGATTGAATAAAAATCCAATTTTTTTACTAATTATTAAATTTATTCTTCCGAGGAATTTAATTAATATTGTACTGAAAATAATTAAATTCTTTCGATAAATTTTATAGAAAATTTGTCAAAATAATAGAATTGTTTTAAAGAATTTTATTATTATTTTAGAAAATAATAATAATCAATTTGGTAATAAGTGAATTCTTTTTGAATTTTATTTTCGTATATTAAATCTAAAAATAAAAACTAATAGAAACTTTGAGAAGAACTCTTACCGGATAAATCATAAATGTTTGATTCCATTCAGAACGATTTTTCGGACAATGAGTGGCAGTAATTTCAGCAATGAATTCAACTTTATCGCCCTTTTGCAATTTGTCGCACTTCATTGTCTCCACGAGTTCTCCATTTTTATTGAGACACTGTGACCAGTATTTAATTTTAACAGCCTCACTGATAGACGTGTCACGAATTTCCACCGTACTTCTAATTTGATTGTACTGCTCTTTAATTAATTCAACAACATTACTGGAATCATTTGACAAAACACCAGCCGAAGATCCCTCGACATGCGAACATAATCTCGAATAAGTGCCCATTTCTCGTTGCGTTACTGCCCAAATAACATTGATGGCATTTTGTTTTACTTTTTGATTGATTTGCGAAATACTCGGATAATCTTGAATCGATGAGTGCGTATACATTCCAGAGAAGGCATCCAAGTGACACAAGCCATCGTTTGGCTTTACAATTCCACCTAGTTTTCCATCGCCGGCAAAATGAAAACTGGCATCCGTTGAGAAAACCAAAAGTCTTCTGGCTCGATCACGCCAACCGATTTGATCTTTACAAACAATTGCCTGCATTATTGCGTCGAAACCTCCTTCGGGTGCGTCCAAATTTCCGGAAACTGAGGCACTACGCACCAGACCCTGAAAATTTAAATAAAATGTTAAATATTTTTTTCCAGTTTATTTTTGATGAATGTTAAATAAATTCTTTTTTGTATTTCTTTAATGCAATCAGGTTTTGGTGAAATATTTCTTGACATCTTAATAATATTTCTAATATCGAATTGACAAAAGGATTCGAGTTTGTTTTTTCTTGATTTCAGAAAAGAATTTTGACTTTTTCTCTGATCCTAAAGAATATTCCTTTTTAATATTTTTTTCAGTTTCCTTCTTGAATTATTTATATATTTACTTACAGAAAATCGGCTCGTATCGTCCGAAAGTGACATGATGTGTTTGTAACCATACGGAGCAGCACATTTTGAACACGGCTCGAGAAGTCTATTAATAAGAAGGAAAATTGAAATTAAAAAAAGGTTTTAATATATTATATTATATTAATTAAATAATTCAGACTATTTTATACTATTATTATTAATATTAATATTTACTTCTGTGGTACGACGCTCACATAGGGCATTACGACTTTATCGACAAAACTACCGAATCCCAATCGAAATTTGCTAGTGAGACTGCTCATTTCCCTGACAAGAAGATCCCCCAGATCGGAGAGTTTTTCCTTATCGTCCTCCATCGATTTACTCAAATCCATAAGATAATAAAGATCCACTGGATAATCCTCAGCCTGGGAAACTGCAAATCTTACTTTCTGCGCTTGATCTGAAAAAAAGGAAAAAGATTTTATTATTTTTCTTCTCCAATAAAAAATTTTGTTGCTCTCTTGAATGAAGAAATTAAATTATGGCAAAAATGTTTTTTCGGAGCAAAATTAATCTCGAAAATAATTATAGGAAAAAAATCCTTATTCATAACCAATATCATGCAGAGAAAAAATAGAATAAGATTATATCTAATTGTAAGAAAATAAAGTATTGAAAATTGTATTTCGGAGCAAACAATTAATTTCCTAATTTTTAAAAAGAAGAATTACAAGAAAAAAAAAATACCATACAAGGAAGAAATATTAGAATATAAATATAATATTTAAAATGTTCACTACTCACTGATTCTGACTTTTATATTAACTTCCTGAGGCGCTATCTGAACTGCATCGTGTTTTCCGGCACCGCAACAAGTCGCATTAAATTGCGAATCATATGTTTCAGTTTCCGTGAATGTTGACTCTGAATAATGCATCTCAGAACTTAAATTACGATTTTGTATTATGCTAAATATATTCGATGGATAAAAGACATATTCCTCCTCGCAGAATTTCGATATATTCGTACCCGGTGCGTAGAAACATCGCCGCTCATTTAAATCCTAAAAAAAAAGAATTGTTAAACTCTCACTGCCTATTGATTTAAAAATTAAATTCAATCTCGAAAAATATATATAAATATCAGGATTTTTTCATTAATATAATTATAACTCACAGGTTTCATGCACCAGGCACAGAATTGCGTTTGAATACATTCGTGACAGGTTTGTCTGCTGATGCAGATATTTGTTCCCGATTGCGACTTCACCTTCACACACATCATCCATATTATTGCTAGTGTTACGAATCTCCATTTCCAGTTACCGCACATTTTTATCATCTAAAAAGAAAATAAGTTTAAAAAAATTATTTTAAGCAAACTTTGGATAAATTCGAAATTTTACAATTAATAAAAAAAGAGGGAATTTTATTTTAAACACTGTATAGAAATAATTTTAATCGTCTCAAACAATACCCACAGGGATGTTAGAAAACACTGTCTATTTATAATCACTGACTCAAATTTCTGAATCACTAATATACAGTGATTATTCTTTTTCTTATTCAATAAGTTTTACACTTTTTTTTTTAAATATTCAGTGCCAACTGGTTAATTTAATTAACGTTAAATATAAAAATTGCGTGAATAAGATAAAAATAATGGGGATAAAATAGAAGCACTGTTCGTTTACACGAATAAATAAATAATAAAAATAGAATAAAATAAAATTAGTAAAAATAGAATAAATTTGAAATAATGGGATAAATTCGAAATAATAGAATAAATTTAAAATAATAGAATTAATTGGAAATAAAACAATAAAGTAGAAATAATAACAGAATAAATTAGAAATAATAATAGAATAAAATAGAAGTAATAAAATAAAAAATAGAAATAATGGAAAAAAATAAAAATAATAAATAACAAAAGAATAGAACAGAAATTATAAAAATTGAACAAAATTCACGAAAATATAAAAAGAGTTTTTATAAATTAAGCACCGAAGTGATAGTAAAAATAAATAATTGAGTTTTGTTTAATATTCACTGGGAAAAAATTGTAATTCGATAAACAAATTGTCCGCAATTAATCATTTTGAAATGTGATTTATAACCGGATGGGAAACTATTTTTAAAGTCCTATTATCTCATGTGATAATAATCTCGTCCGCGTAAATGACCGTTCACCCAAAAGATTATACAACAATTAAATTGTAATGACAACATTGCTCCAAATTAAATAAACAATTAAAATTAACAACCCAGAATTAAAATTTACAAAAGAGAATTTAAACAAACAAACTAGAATTTAAATTAACAAAAAAGAGTTAAAATTAAAAAACAAGAATTTAAACTAACAAACGAGAATTTGAATTAATAAAAGAGAGTTAAAATTAACAAACGAGAATTTAAATTAACAAAAGAGTTAAGATTAACAACCGAGAATTGAAATTAACAAAGTAGAGTTAAAATTAACAAACGAGAATTTAAATAAACAAAAGAGAATTGAAATTAACAAACGAGAATTTAAATTAACAAACGAGAATTTAAATTAACAAACAAGAATTAAAATTAACTAAAATTTAAATTAACAAAAGAGTTAAGATTAACAACCGAGAATTAAAATTAACAGAATACAATTCAAATTGACAATAATAACACGATTCAAGATAACAAAATATGATCAAAAAATTAAAAACACTTTTAAGAAATTAAGAAAAATCGAACACTACGAATTAATTTATTTTTAAATAAATATTTAATCGAACTTTGTATACGATTTTAGGTCAGAAAATATACCGGTTAGTCAACTCAGCAATGTCGTCATGTTTATATTTACAATTTTATAATTGTATATTATATAGCGTTAAAAAAAATTCCCTCTTGTAATTTCACAAAACTTATAACAATTATAACAATGCAATTAATCCAATAAATAAACAGCGATCGTCACTCACTTTATCGTTAGAAAAAAAAAGAAACTAAAAGCACTGTAAATTTTGAAAGCGACAAACTTTCACAAACTTGTGTTTTTCGTTATATATAGATCACCATAAAAGGTAACCCAGGAATGGAGTTACACACACTATTGAGGCGAGTCACCAGCCCACCCGCCAGAACGAGACTCACTCTTCTTGCTCACACTCTCCATCCACAAACCGCCGACGTAATGATTACAGAAGGCAAAACCAGTGAAGGCAACTCTTTATAGTTGATTCAAGTTCATTCACAAAAGGAATGGCACAACATGGTTGAAGAGTTTTCATATACAAAACTCAAACGAGAGTCTCCTTCTTCAGCACCTTTCTTTTCTTCTACTTCTTCAATCTCTGCTTCTTTTTTATCTCTTCTTCTTTTTTACTTCTTCTTCTATTTTACTTCTTCTTCTATTTTACCTCTTTCACTATTTTACCTCTTCTTCTTTTTTGTCTCTTCTTATTTTTTATCCCTTCTTCTTTTTAATCCCTTCTCGCTTTAAAGGGGGTCAAAATTTCTATTTTTACCTATAGGTCAGAAGAAATATAATATTATTATCAGAAACTGAAAGCTAGAATTGTATATGTTCAAAACTCACCTGGATGATTTGCTTCTTTTGAATGATTTGCTGAATTTGCTTTATTTCCTATAAAAAAGAGTGTTACGCCCAATGAGTTGTATCAATTCCTTTTTTTTTCTTCTTCAAGAGGGGAAAAAAAGCACCAGTTACGATAAAGATCCTCGAGATGAAAATGGGTCAAATTTGTCATTTGACACCCAACCCTCGAGGAAAGGAATATTAATGATCCTTCTGAAAAAAATAGTTCTAGAAACGTTTTTTTATTGATGAGATTTACAAGATATTAAAGTAATCTGTTCAAATAGACTTCAAATAACGATTTGAAGAGTGAATAAAAATCAAAAAGCCATTTAATCTCTCTTAATTTTTCACACTCCTTTCTCGTATTCAACGATTTAATAAATGGAAATTAAATTATTACAAAAATGTAATCAATTTCATAAAAATTTTAAGAAATAATTTAATCCTTTCGTGAAATTTTATTAAAATTGTTTTGAAAATAATTGAATTTTTTTGAAGAATTTTTATTATTTATAAAAATAATTTGAATTCCTGCAAAGAATTTTATTATTTATGAAAATAATTGGATTTTGTCGAAGCATTTTTAATATTTATAAAAATAATTGAATTCCTGGTAAGAATTTTTATTTATGAAAATAATTGAATTTTTCAGCAACATTTCTATTTTTTATAAAAATAATTGAATTCCTGCAAAGAATTTTATTATTTATTAAAATAATTGAATTCCTGTAAAGAATTTGTATTATTTATGTAAATAATTGAATTGCAGTGAAGAATTTTACTATTTATATAAATCATTGAATTCTTGCAAAAATTGGTATTTAAATTGTTGAAAATAATAAATTTTATAATAAATAAAATTAAATATTTTCAAAAATTAATAGAATAGAATTAAGAATAAAATAAACAAAATAATAAAAAAATTTAGATATTTTCAAAAATCACTAGAATAAAAATACATATAATTAAAAATAAATTTAAAACTTCCGGAAGGAAATTAGTTTTCTAAATTAAAAAAAATATATATTTGCCAAAATTCAAAATTTAGCAAAACATAGAAAAAACCCGTCGTTTATTTAAACGTTCGAATCTTTAGGAACAAGTCTGAAAAAAACCTTTCTATTTACACTTAACTAATTTATTCGAAGGTTGTATAAATAATTGTGAAAAATATTCCATCTAAAAGTATAATTGAAATATTTATTAGGTACTTATTTTTTAATAACATATAACGTTACCATTTTTTTTTTATCAAACCTAATTAAGACTGTGATAATTAATTAATTTCCAATAAATTCCAAGTCAAAAACTGAGAATCAAACATTAAATTCACGTGGTATTTTTTTTAAATATTTTTTTCAATATAAATTTATTTAAAAAATAAATCCACGTAAACCTAATGTCCTCGTGTTTTTCTTTTAAATTTCCCTTGAAATATCAAGGAATTTTTCTTTTTCATTCAAATTCTGAGCAATTACTTAAAAATATTATTTTCTTTTCAAATAAATGTATATATACAATACATCGGATCTTTTTGTCATTTATTTCCTTTCGTTTTTTTTATTTGCACACGTCGTTAATTAAAATGCGCAATTATTTGTTTCTTTCATTTATTAGTATAAATACAATTCACCAAAGATATAAATATTTTTTTCCCCCTCAATTACAACAAAAAGGAATACAAACTTGATTTCACTTTTTAATCAAAATATTTGATTTTTTGATTTTCTTAACTTTATAATAACTATACAAAAAACGACTTACATAATAATGTATAATAATAATAATAATAAATTACTTTTTATATTAGAAATATAGAAAACACTCAAATTTCATAAATGGAAGAACACATTTATAATTTTTGTATTACTTAAAGAAGAACGAAAAGAAAATACATTGGCACCGAATTTTTTTTTATATAAAAATATATTTATATTCCCTTTTGTCGAATTTTCGTGATTTTGTCTTCTCTTTTAACTTTTTTCGAGGGTATTTTTTTTATATAATATATTTACAAAACAAACAAGAAGCGAAAGATTGTAAACTTTCATTTTACAAATAATCAAAGTTATGGTGAGGGGAAGGGGGGAAATTTTTACAAAAAAAATTCTCCCCCAACTGTTTTAATCACCGTTTAAACACCTATATAATTATATAAAAAAGATACACAATAACAATGGATTTTTCTTTTATACATTATTATTATTATCATTCAGTCCAGTCGCACGAATTTACGATATTCTGTGTTTTTTTCTTTCAAAAATCGCGATCGTTTTTCTCAAGTCGAATCATTTTTTTGAAACTGCGATCATTTCTTTAAAATTACGACCATTTTTCAAATAAAGACTATAAAAGATTTCTTTCGAGATAAATCTCTAATATGACTCAAATCTTCAATAATAAAATTCGAATAGTTTTGAATCGTCAAAAAAAAAAACACAGGAAATCGTGATTAAATGTAAAAATAACATTTTTAAGGTGCTAACTTATTTCTTTTCTTTTTTAATTATTATTCACGTGCTGCAACGATAAATGTTAATATTTTATATATGTTTATGTACAAGCAAGTCCCTTAATGGGAAACTCTACTTTTAACTATTTAACAATTCACCCACGATACAATAAATGTACACAACTAAAAAATAGGCTGTATTAAAAAAATAAATAAATAAACAGCGCTAAATATTTTAATAACTTCGTAAAGCTCGCGATATTTGAACATAATTGTCCATTTTCTTCTTCTTTTTTTTTGTTGCATAAATGAATAATATGTGCCCCACAATTAAATGGAAAATTTTTAAACTATGAGAAAAACTAAAAAAAAAATTCAAAAACGTAATGCCTTTTTATAAGTGAATAAAATTGGGAAAGAAGTAAAATTATCAGTGCAATGAGAAAAAAAGTTGACTCAAAAGAAATTGAGTTATTAAGAAAAAAAAATGTTAATAAATAACATTTTTTTTTTATTAAAAAATAATGTTAATAAATAACATTTTTTTTATTAAAAAATGTTTTCAGTACAAACTGTAAGTATTTATAAGTATTATTTACATTAATAATCTTTATTTGATTTTAATGAAGGCATTTTTCACCAGTGCACTAGACGAATTTTATTTCTATTCTGCATCTTAAATATATATATATATATATATGAATATTTTTTTCATGTATAAAACAGTCATGCGTCTCGAGGTTTAACAGGTTTTTTTTCTTCTTTTAAAATCTATTGTCTACGTGACAAGATTGTCGAGATTAAGAGGGCAAAGAAATTCGCTATTTTTATCATTTAATTCCTTTTCCGAAAACAGATTCAATTTCAATTCAAATTTTCTTGTCTGTTTTGAATTTCAATTCGAATTCAAAAAATGCAATCGTAAATTTGAATTGAAATTGAAACTGACAAAAAAATTCTTTCTTCTTAGATATTATATCAGAAAAAAAATTTTTTTTTTCATAACTTATTGAACAAAAGTTAAGTATTTGAATCGTGTTGATTCATAAAACAAATTAAGAATGACAAGCCCTTTTATCAACGACAAAATATAGGAAATATTTTTCTTTTCATTCTTTTAATATATTCATGCATATTGTTTTTTTTTCAGAGATTCTTTAAAAGCTTGTAAGGCTACGCAATAACGCATACTGTATTTGGTGTTGTTTTTTTGATTTCGGTAAAATACCGTTCGCTTGTGATTAACTGTCCGTCATTTAATTTTTAACCAAAATTTATTCATTAATAATTCTTATCTGACGATTTTGCGAAATCGACATTTGTCACGAGAAATTCTTCATTAGGCAATATGAAAAGATTAGGCCGAGTAGAAATTACTTTGATATTAAAATTAGACTAATAAAGAATTGACAAATGACAATTGAAACGAATAAAAATTCGGCTGAATTTGATCGAATTATTTGAAATCGAATTAATCAAATTAATTAAAATCGAATTAAAGAAAATAATTAAAATCGAATTCATCAAAATAATTAGAATCAAATTAATTAAATTACTTGAAATCAAATTAATTGAATTCATAGAATTACTTGAAATCGAATTAATTAAATTACTTGAAATCGATTTGATTGAATTAGTTAAAATCAAATTAATTGAATCGATTGAATTAGTTGAAATCAAATTAATTGAATTCATAAAATTACTGAAAATAAAATTAATTGAATTATTTGTAATCAAATTAATTGAATTAGTTGAAATTAAACTAATTAAATTATTTGAAATCAAATTAATTGAATTAATTAGAATCAAATTAATTGAATTACTTAAAATCTGATTAATTAAATTCCTTGAACTCAACTTAATTAAATTACTTGAAATCAAATAAACTTAATTAGTTAAAATCAAATTAATTGAAATCGAATTGATTAAATTAATTTAAGTCGAATTAATTAAATTAATTTAAATCGAATTAATTAAACTGATTTAAATAAAATTAATCAAAATTAATTGAATTAATTTCCTTCGGACAGTAAAATTGAAAAAGTAACATTTTTTCGAAAACAGGATTTTTTTGCGTTTCGAAACTAAATTCAAATATAGATTTTATATATAATATATATATTATTATTCATCTGCGGGTAAATGTTACAAAATGCCGTGATGGCACGCATATGCTGCACGATTACTATACCTAATCTCTAAAAATTTATCAAAGAGACTCAAAATATAGCTTTCTTTTGTATCACTTCACTACGTAACCATACTGCTTATAAAATCATGAATAAGAAATTACTATATGGCCTACAAGATGCGTGGGAAGTGCCTTATTAACAGGCAAGTACGCTCCAGAGAATAACGAAAATAATATAACTCAAAAATAATTCCACTCATGATAATAATAAAACTTTTTGCAATTGTTTCCCTTCTTTAAATTTTATCAATTTAAAAAAAGAGACAAACAGAAAAAAAGTTTCACAAGAAATCTCAAATTTAAAATAAAATTTGAAATAAAATTCCAAATGAAATTTTAAATTTGAAATAAAATTTATTTCAAATTTGGAATTTTGTATCAAGTTTAAAATTTTATTTGGAAATATCATTTCAAAAAATGCAATCATTTGAGTGAATCAATTTTCGAGAACAATTTGAAAGAAATAAATAATAAAAATGAAAATCATACCTAAACGAAAGATAATTTCCTTGCATAAAGATATTCCCTCTCATCACTCATTTTCTCCTTTACTTATTTTTATATATAAAATGTGACTTTCTTTCCAATCGAATTGACATTTAATGGACTATGCTTACAATAGAAGGCTATTAAAAATCAGTGCATTCTTGATTTTTTTTCTCTCTAATCGGGTGGATTAGGCGGAATTGTACCATTATATATATACTTTCTCCTGTGACGATAGTAAATTATTTACAAAAATTTCATTTTTTTTTCTCCTGAGCCAAAAAATTCTCTGGCAAGAGTATGGAAAACTCTTTCGATAATAATATTGAGCAAAACATACGGATTATTTCTTTCTTCGAGAGGAAAAAGAAAAAAACTACTCTCCCGAAAAGTCGTAGACTGAAGGAAGCAAAAAAAGTCCTCTTCGAAAAAGGACAAATCTTTTGGAAATTAAGAATTTGTTGTTCTAATATCCTTTTCCTTTCTGCTTTTTTATTTTCCCTTTTCCTTTTTTCTCCGTTTATCCACTTTTTTCATTTTCGGCAGATCTCGGAAGAAGATGAATCAAATTGAAAGAATAGCAAACAAATTAGACATTGTTTCGATCACTCGGGGAACAAAGTGATTTTTTAACCCTCACTGACGGAAGATAATGAACTTCGCGTTGAATTCGCCGTGTGATGAGTTAGATCAGGTAAATCTGGCGGCAGGCACAGAGGAATAGCACTAGGTCCATAAATTAATTCCTGTTCTTCTAATTGCAATGCAAATTGTTCTTCCAATTTCTGTAAAAAAAGAAAAAAACAGATTTAATACTCCCTATTTTTATATTCTTCAATCTCCATCCATTTTTTCTCTCTCTTTCTCTCCCTCTTTCTCACTTTCAAAAATCTCAAAGTCTCACTGTATAAAATTTTGATTAATTATATTATAAATCGAAAATTCGTAACAACTAACCTGCACAATTCAGAATAAAGTCACTTTATCTCCTTCACGATCTTGACTACAATTTTTCTCAGGGAATTTTTTTTGTTTTATTGATTTTGCAGGAAAGTATAATCAAAATGAAGCGTTTATTTGATACGTAAAAGCAACAACAAACAAAATGATAATAAACAATAAAAACAAATTTACCTTTTTTTTCTCTATTAGTACAAGGTACATATCCCTTTATAGGTATAATGACTTTTTTTCGATAACATTTTCAACAAACCAACAATTGGAATGTTTATGGCACTACAAACATAATTTAAAAAAAAAATTTATTGACACTACCTGTGACATTGACCACAAAAAAAAATGGAATGTAGTGACGGACGGACAAATAAACTACATAATACTTCAGAAATTACACGAAATAATTTCGAATTTCTGAAAAAATTGACGACAATTCTGAGGTACTTAACTACGAAAATTACTTAATTACAAAGGTACAAAATATACCACGATTAATTAAACATTATTATAATTAGGTAATTAAATATTAAGAAAAAAGTGTCTTAAAAAATATTCTAGAAATTTGCACTAAATTATGAACAATTTATAATTAATAAAAAATCAAGCGAAGAAAATAAAAAAAAAACCAAGCGATTAAATCAAATTAAATTTGTTTCTTTACTATAAAATAAAATGATATTTCGTAATTCCTGTTAGAAACAAAATTAAAAAATTAAATTCAGAGATTTTTTTTTAAAAAGAAAATTTTCGAAAAATTGACATCTTTTGTATTCAAATCTAGAGAAACAAGACTAAAAAATACAAGGACTCAGCATACAACCCCCCAACGAGACTTACTCTGTTAGATGAGAATTTTTTTTTCGGAATAATTTCTGGAAAAAAATTAATTATGCAAAAAAGCAAAAAATCGATGACGAAAATAATTTTTTTCTAATAGACAAACAGAAAAAGCATGTATGATGAACAAGATAACGAATAAGATGCATGGAACAGAGATAAACAGAAAAAAAATTTGACTAACTACGAGGAGGAGATGGAACAAGGTCTGATTTAGAATATCTTCTAGAGAGCGTGCTGCTCAATGAACTTGTGTCTGAACCACTGGTTCTCAAACTCACACGGGGTATGCTAAATGAAGAAGGCGAATTTGGAGTGGAATGTGGAATTTGTGTGGAGGAACGTTTCAAGGTACCGGGCAATGAAAGTGTTGAGTAGTCAAAGGTAGTAAGATAGAAGCCGCTAAGACGAGAAGGCAAATAGCCGCGGTAATGAGTCTCCAATGCTTCCATTTCTGTTGTCAGCTCCGCCTCTAATTTCTACAACAAGTATATCAACACAAGACTCATTTTAAATTCTCATTCTATTATTTTCCTTCCTCGCGAAGGGATCGCGAATTATTTTTTTCATTTCCTGATAACGAAGAGTTTCAATTAAAAAAAAAAATATTCTAATTTGTTCCTCTCTCTTAGTCTTTTTTATCAAGAAATGCAGAAAAAAATATCTTCATAAATATTTTTTGTTAGTTAAAAAAAAGAAACAGAGAAAAGAAAAAAATCAGAAAAAAGAAAATAAAAACAGAAAGAAGAAAAAATGAAAACAGAAAAAAGGAAAAAGAAACAAAAAGAAATAGAAAACGAAAAAAGAAATAAAAAATTTTGTCTCTGGAAATTAAATTCCCGACCTGCGAGTAGAAATAATAAATCCAAGTGTGAAATTAAAAATATGCTTTATACTTTTTGGAACCAAGGAGTCGATAAAATTTGCATTTTTTTCCGAATTCAAATGGTCTAGAGAAAAGAATAATAATTACTAACTCATAACTCATAAGAGAGTGAATGCTGAAAAGGATTTGCTGCAAATGTTGACACCATTTATGTGTACGCATAATATGTGGGCAGTCAAGAATGTTTTACAAAAGAAAAAGTTGTAGGCATACGTTATTTAAATTTTTCACGACTTTGCGAAATAAAATTGAAAATTTCAGCCTTGCAAAAATAATTTTCTTCAGTACGTATATGAGCTTGTTTACTTTATTCAATTCAAAATAAATATGTAAACAATATTTATTAAACAAACAACAATTATTATTTAGTCAAAATATTTTTAAAAGTTATTAAAATAAATTATTCAGTGTTTATATTGTCAATAAATAAATTGAGTGTTGCCACTAATAATAATTGTCACAAAAATTTAATTTTATATTTCCCTGACCTAAAATAAAATCGACATCAATTAATAATTAATTTCTAAATTCAATTATTCTAAAATTCCAACAATTTTTTTGATATATAAATATTTATTTTTATTTTTCTATAAAAATTAAAGTTTTTTAAATTTCAATTTCAAATCTTTTGAAATCTAATTTTTTCTAAAATTACAACTCTAATTCTTCCAAAATTTAACTATTTTCTAGAATTTTTAACTCAACTTCTTCTCTAAATCAATTTTTTTAAAATAATTATCCAAAAATGATAGATTTTTAAAAAAAAATAAAAAAATTGTTAAGATTTGTTTTTTAGAAATATTTGTAAATAATTTTTGAAAGATAATAATAGATTTTTCAATTTTATATATTATTATTAGAAAATTTGCAAATAATTTATTTATTTATTTTATAGCAGATAATAATTGAAATGCAATGAAATTTTTTGGTAATAATTGGATTTTGTAATAGAATTTTTGGAAAATATTAAAAAATAATCAAGTTATTCACGAATTTTAAGAATAAATATAAAAACAATACGTTTTATTCAAGATTTTAAATAAATATTTTAAAAAGTAAATTTATTAAAAATTTTAATTTACTATTTTTAAAAATAATTGAATTTCTTGAAAGAATTTGTAGACAATTTAAAAAACTAATCAATGTATTTTTGAAGAATTGTAATTAAAAATTTTGAAAAAATGATTTTTATCTCTAAAATTTTAAGAACAATTTTAAAATTTAGATTTTTTTATAAAATTTTATTGCAATTATTTTTTATAGATATTTGAATTTTTAGAAAATATATAATTGAAAATATTAAAAATAATTGAATTTTAAAAAATTATAATGAAAAACTTCTAATAATTACTTCTCTAAAGAATATTTAAATATACAATTTTTTAAAGCTATTCTTTTATTAATTTTCATTTTCTAATTTTCATTTAAAGATTTAAAATTTAAACTTTTGAAAATTTAATTATTTTCGAAAATTTGTTTTTATAAAATTTTAATGAAAAATTTTATATTTAAAAGAAAACTATTATTTTTAATGCTAATTTACAAAATTTGAATTATTTACATTATCTTTTTAAATGTTTACTTCAAAAATTAATTTCTCCAAAACTTTTTAATAATAATTCTAAAAAGATAGAATTTTCTTGTAATTATTTTTTGTAGATATGTATTTAAATTTTCGGAAATAAATAATTGAAAATAATATTATTCAATTGTAAAAAATTATACTGAAGAAATTCTATACCTTACTTTTTTAATAAATATTTTAATATAATTTTTTGAAACCAATTTTTATCAAGTTTCATTTTCAAATTCTCATTTTTAGATTTTTCATTAAAATTTTTGAGAATTAAATTATTTTCTAAATTTGCAATTTAAATTCATCACGATTTTATTTTCCAATATTTTAACGAAGTCCTTAAGAAAGTCAATTATTTGTAATCAAATTTAACAAAATTCCAATTTTTTAAAACCTTTTTAATTCAAAATTTCGAAAATTTAATTATCTTAAAAAAATTGTTCAAAAATCATTTTTATAATTTTTGATTACAGTTACTTTCACCCTTTTATCAAAATAAGTTGCGTTTTGTACAAAAAAAATGGTATTTTGTTGCAATAATTGAAAGAAAAGTAAAAAAAAGTGGCATTTTTTTAAAGGAGTCGAAAAGTCGTCTTTTTTTTAAAATAGTCGGAAAAAGTTTTTTAAAAAAACCCGAGGCCTGTATTTTGGTTTTCAATTCTGAAAGAAAAATTTCAATCCCATATATAAATCCTAAACTGCGTAAATTTATTACAGGGAAGATTTAAATTATTTGCAAAAATCAAATTTTAATAAAAAAAAGTCTTTGGAAAAAAAAATTAGCACATTGAAATTATGCTGGTATAAATAGAAGCTTTTTAGCATATTCAAAACGTATAATAAAAAGAAATCAACAAATTGAAAAATTGGCAAACAATAAAAATAAAATCAAAAAACAATAAAAGATCAATGAAATAAAAATTAATTCGACATACCTGTTTACGTGGTTTCAATAGAGTCTTCCACTCTCTCAACTCCTTGGTATACGCCTCTTCTTGCTCCTTCAATTTCATTGTCTCATGCTCCATCAGCATTTTTCTCTTTTCATTCTGCAGTTGTTCCAGTTCCTTAATATTCGCATCGCATTGAGCCTTAACTTCCTCGAGTTGTCGGGCGTGTTTTAATTCAAAACGCTGTTGCTCCGCACGATACCTTTTCTTCTCATTCTCCTGGAATTTCTTCAATTTATCCCTCTCGGCGTCTGGATCCGGCGTCGTCGACGTTATGGAAATTCTCATCGACTCTCTAAACATCATTTCCCTTGCTTTCATTTCATTGCGAATTCGTTTTGGTAAATTTCTCCGTTCAATTGTCTGTCGTTTTATTAATTCCTCCTCCTTTCGAAGATTCATCCGTTTCATTTGTTCCAATTCTTTCTCGTGTCGAATTAACATTTGATGTCGTTGAAGGAAAAATATGTCTTTTAATTGTTTCTTTAGTAATTGTTGTCTCTCGTGTATTTGACGTTCTTCCAATTCCCAAATTGCAGCCTCTCGCGCTCTCATTAATTGTTGTTTTTGTTGAAGGAATTGACGCTCCATTAGGGCAATTTTCTCCCTGTGACTGTCTGATAATCGTCGTAGTGACATTTCATGATTTTCGTTTAATTTCTCGAGGAATAATTTCTCACGATCCTCGTGTTCAGCTTCGAGTTTTTCCTTACGTACCTTAAAGGCGTTCTTTCGCTTCTCTTTGGGCATTAGGTCAACCTCTTGTTTAATCAGTCTCAAATCTTGTTTCAGTCCCTCGCGGAATTGCTTTAATTCACGTTCCTGTTCGCTGCGGATTTTTTTCGATGCTAACCTCAAATCGGCTTCTTGCTGTGTTTCGGCGCGTTCGATTTGCTGTCTTTGTTGACGGGCGAGCATTTCTAAATCGGCCTCGGCTCCACGTTCTAATAATTGTCTCTCTTGCTCGAAACGTTTCTCTTGCTGATCCTTGTAGCATTGTGCTTTCTGCGAGAGATCTTGAAATTGTTTTTGTTCCATTTTCTGTAGCATTTTTAATTCTCGTAGTTCTTGTTTGCGGAATATTTGATCGTCGTAAACTCTTCCATTTTCATCGTCACCGTAAATGACACGCGATGTTGTTGTTGTGACAACAACACCGTCAATTTCGAATTTTCTTGTTCGCTTTCGGGTCTTTTTCTTTAGATTCATCATTTGTATGTCTTCCTTTGTTCGGGTTGTTCGCGGAACGTCGCGATTGTATTCGGGTTTGCGACGAAGAACAACTTCGTCGTCGATTTCGGATGATTGACGGGATTCACGACCGATGTGATTTTCTTTGTTTGAACCGCGACTGTCTTGACTGATGGTTGTTGAGATTGATTCGGCGTCGGAACGATCGACACTCTTACTTGGTGTGTAGGATCGTGTCGAGCCTGAATCGCTGTGCGATCGAGAACCTTCGTAACTATCGGGAGAGACACGTTTTTCTTTTTGTGTTTTGAGATTGGTTTCAATTTGTTTTTGCAATTTTGGAAGTCTATTCACTTGTGATGGTTGATTATTCTTGAGTTGTCCGTTCATTTTAACGGGCGCTTTACGTCCGGAATCGTCAACTTCGGAAGCATCGATTTTTGAACTCGCAGTTATTATGGAGGTTTTACTTGTTTCATCGCCACTGTCACTCTTGGTGCTTGATCTTCCGGTTGAACTGAGATCACTTAATGATGAACCTGTTCGATTGACGGATGAATCTTTCACTTGCTCTTGTTCGTCGCCGACTGTAACCACTGAAACGTGACTAGTATCCTGTAACTCGTCCACTATTGGACTGACTATGATGACTTCGGATTCGTCTAGTTTTTTACCGATTTTCTTACTTGCGTCCGTGATAACAATTGACTGTTCCTGCGGTGTGTACTCCAAACTATCGAGACTAGGGAATCCGTCATCGTCAGTTGAACTCTCGTTGACTTGGGTTTTATTTGTCTCGTTAGCGACGATGACAACCTCTGACGTTGGCGAGGAATGTCTCGGTGGCGGCGATGATGTTGCGTCAACGAGAACTGGTGGATGAGTCGTAACCACTGTCACTTGACTCACATTACTTGCGAGGCTGTTCGATGGATCTGGAGTTTCAGTCGTGATCCTTACTGTTGACGTGTTTAGACGCACTTCCTGATCGATAGGCGATTTTCCTAAACACAATTAGAATTTAAGATAAATTTAAGATTAAGGCTAATTAAGATTAAAATAAAGATTAAGTTTAAGATTAAAATAAAGATTAAGTTTGAGATTAAAATAAAGATTAATTTTAAGATTAAAATTAAGATTTAGATTCGCATTCAAGTTAAGATTAAAATTACGATTAAGATTAAAGATTAAATATAAAAAATTGTCAGCAAGTACAGACAAAAAATTAATTCCTCTGCTAACTTACCAGTAATAACAACAATATTATCTCCACTTCCAGTTCTCGTGACACTTTTGCTTCTATGTGGCGTTGATGTGATAACCGCGACATTAACCGCAGAACCAGAAGCCCTCCTGTCCCTTGTGCGCTGCCCTGACGGACTTTCACGACTAGGTTTCGAGACATTTTCGTAAGAATCATTTCTGGACGAATTTTCGCTACGCCATTTTTCGAGATCTTCACGAATTTCCGAATTCTTCTTAATATCCCCCGTGGAACTTGCTTTCACAGAACTCTTTTCCGAAAAGGTGGGATTTCGCGTTTTTGGTGGTTGCTTCGTACTTTCGGCAATAGAATCATTAATTCTTTTTCCAACATCCATTGATATTTGCCTCTCCAACATGGCATTCAATTTTTCCTCCACTGATCGACGTTTCTCCTGAATACTTTTACTATTTTCGATTGATGGTTTTCGTTCAAGTCTGAAATTAAAAATTCTTAAATTATAACAGTATAATTATAATTAATCAAATTATAGGATCAATATTTTGATTTTTGTTGCAACATTTTCGTGTTCACAAAAAATTACTTCTTGAAATTCAGTTATCTTTTTAATAAAATTTTAATTTGTTTTTGAAGAACTTCATTTTTTAAAAATTTTTGAATTCATTCACAAGTTTATCTAAGGTTTGAATAAATATTTAAACCTGTGATAAACTTGTTTCAAAAAGCTAAGTTGTTTAGAATTTGTAATTAAAATTATTTCTGTATTCAAATCTTCAAAATTTTCAATTTCAAATCTTCGGAAATTTAATTATTTTTAAAAGTTGCTACTGTAACTATTCCAAAATTCAATTATTTTCTAGAATTGAAAATAGTTGGAAAAAGTCAATGGTTTAATTAAAAGTTCAGGCCAAGATCTGAAAATAAAGAATTTAATTGAAATTTTACCTGTTTTTCTCTTCCAAGGAACATTGTTTATTTAAAACAGGCTTCTTCCATTCATCACTCGATAAAGGACGTACTGGTGCAGATTTTCTCTTCTCCTCAATACTCATTTTATTCTTACTTCCCGAGTGTCTTTTGTCTTCCGCTGATTTTGGTCTAATGTCAACATTCTTCTTTTCATGATTACTTGCCTTTTCCTCAACTTTTGGCGATTTCACTTTCTCCGAATTATCCACTAGAATATTCTTCTCAATTGCTTTTTGACTCTCGCCATTGAGATTCGACGATTCTTCTTTGTTATGATTTTGCATTGTACTTTTGTTTTGTAACTTATCATCAACTATCGACTTTGGACGATCTGTTATCTCGATTTTCGGGACATTTTCCTTCTCGTCATTTTTACTATCTTGACGTGGCAACGGTGGCGGAGGTGGTGCAGGTCCTTTTTCCCTGGACAGTCTTCTTTCATTTGTCTCACCCGTAGCTGGCGGCTTTGGTGCCTAAAGAGAAAATATATTTTCAAAAATTAATCTCTTTTTAATATTATTTTTTTTGTTTTTACCAGTAAATAAAATAAATTCCATTTTTTAACATACCTGTTTCTTTTCAACTGACAATGGAATATTTTCCTTAGAATCAGTCTTTCGTATTTTCTTATTTCTTTCTTCTTTCTCGCCATCGCGAGTAATTTCTCGTTTGTTGCTTTCTTCCTTCTTAACAGATACGGGTGGTGCAATTGTCGTTTCTTTATCGTTAACTGCAATTTTAAAAATTATAAAACGTTTAATAACAAAATTAAAGTACAGAATTAAAAGTTCCATCAAACAAAATAATGTTTAGCAAATGGAAAAAATCAAATTAAAATTACCTTTAACGTCAATGTCACTGCGTACAGATGCAGAGTCATCTCCGAGTTGATCCAGTTCCAGTGGAAGCTGTGACGTGCGCTGCTCCTGCAAATCATTTGAAAAATGTTTAAAAATACAGAAATTTTCTAATAAAATCATAATTGCAAATAATTTTGCTATAAAAACACAGACAGCGTAAACTTAATTCGACTCATTCGTAATAATTCAAACTAATAATCAAACTAATAAATAAGAAAAATCGTTAAATATTAATGAATATCTATCTCCTCAGTAAAAGGAAGTTTATTTTCGCATTCTTCTACAGAAAATCTTCTTCCGTTTAATATCATCTTCCGTTTACCAGGAAATATGATAAAATTGCTGCATAAGGCGAATTTAAAGAAAAAAATAATTGGGCCTACATAAAAAAATAAAAATATGTCCGATATTATTTGCAGAAGCTACTGACCTGGCAATCGCACGGGCGATGGGGCTGGCGAGGCCCAGGAGAGCCGCATGCACAGCCGAATAATAAAGTTACACGTTACAACAGCGCATTCACGATTTATTTTTTAATTCCAATTTAATTTTAGAAATTAAAAAAGAAAGAACGTGAATTTCAAAAATTAAAAAAGAAAAAACGTTAAATATGAAATAAAAAATTGTAATAAAAAATAATTAAACTAATAATTGCGATATATCAGCAAAAATTGTGACTTGCATTTTTTTTATATAAAGTGAACGATTATTCAATATTTTTTTTTCTGTATTAATTATATATGCATGACAAATGACATATGATAATAGAATAAAAATTGCATCTTCTTTCTGCGTGATCATCTAAATACATTATTGAAGAAGCTAAAAAACTATTCCGTGCAAATGTTTAAAAAATTAATGTAATATTGTGGAATTTTCAAATAATTGACATAAATTTTAATGCACAAAATATAGACTAATATTTAGATTTCCCTGCAGATAATAAAATGCAATATTTTTGGTTTTTACTGGTATTTTTTACAATATTGAATTAAAAAGTAAAAAAAAATGTATTTATTTAAAATCAGTATTTTATTTAAAAATAGAATTTTTAAATTTAAATATTTCAGTTTTTAAAAAATCAGGCCCCGGATCGACTTTCAAGCTCAAAACAGTTGCTTTAGCCAATTGAAAATAGAAAAAAGTCTTATTCAATTCACAGATGTCAAAAAAAATTTTATTTTGTACTTGTCTGATCTTTCACTGATTTCTAAATTCAATTATTCAAAACTTGAATAATTTTCTTACATAAATATTTAAATACTTATTTGTTTTTCCACGGGTAATAAAATTTAAAAAAATTTAAATTTAAAACCTTCTACAATTTAATAATTTCTAAAAACTACAACTACAATCCTTCCAGAATTCAATTATTTTCTACAATTTTTAACTATATCTACTTCATCTCTAAATCAATTATTTTTAATAATTTTCCGAAAATTCTTCGAGAATTCAATTATTTAAATACAAAAATTCCATTTTTTATAAATGTAACTCTTCATGTTTTTTTAAAAAAAGTTACTAAGATATAATAATTATTTTCAAAAAGTTATAATAAAGAAGTTCTTAAAATTAAATTTTTTAAAATATTTTAAAATAATTTTTGAAAGATAATAATTTTTCAATTATAAACAATCGAAATATTTTCAAACAATGGAATTTTGGTAAAATCTTTTGAAAATAACTGACTTTTTAAAAAATATACAAAAAAATAATCAAAGTTTTGAAGAATTTTAATTATAAATATAAACACGATTTCTCCGAAATTTTAATAAATCTAAAAAATTAATTTAAAAAATTAAAAAAAAAATTTTTAAACTAATTTATTCGAATTGAATTTATTTATTTTGAATTTTAAAATCTTGAAATCTTAAAAAATTATGATAAAACAATTTTAAGAATTAATATTTTAAAAACATTGTAATTTTTCGAAAATAATTGAATTTTATAAAAGAATTTTTCTACAGTTTAAAAAAACTAATTATGTTTTAGGAGAATTCAAATAAATATTTTGAACATGATTGTTTTTTCCAAAATGTTAAAAATAATTCTAAAAAACGTTAATTTTACTATTTTTCATATTGTAATTGAATTTTCGGAAATATGTAATTGAAAATATTGATAATAATTAAATATAAAAAAATTAGAATGAACAATTCTATAATAATTACTTTATTCAAAAATATTTTAGTATAATTTTGAGAAGCTAATTTTTATTTTCAAATTCTCATTTGAAGATGTTTCATTAAAATTTTTGAGAATTCAATTATTTTCAAAATTTGCATTTAATATTTTTCAAAATTCGATTTTCAAAAATTGTAATAAAATAGAAGAAAATAAATTATTTTCAATTAAATTTTACAAAATTTCAAATATTCAAAATCTTTTTAATCGTATATTTTGAAACTTTAATTGGAAAAAATTGTTCAAAAATAAATAAAGATTTATCTATTGTATTTATTTTCTACATTATAAAAATCGAAATGAGTTGCAGTTTATACTAAAAATGTTTTGTATTTTGTCGCATTATTTAAAACAAAAGTCGTAAAAGTAACTAGTTTTGAAAATAAGTAGAAAAAAGTCGAAAAGGTCATAATACCCGAGGCCTGAAAGTACTTAATGAGTATTTAAAAATATTTCAGAGAAATTCAAATATTTTCTAGAAAAATAATTTGCAACTACAGTTAATTGCCTTTCTCTCTATCAAGAGAGAAAAAAAGAAATTTTTCGAATCAGCCAAAAAAAAGTGGTAATATTTTTGCTAAAAAGTGACTACTAGCGATGGTATCACTTGAAAGCAGCTTACCAATTCGCTGATACTGTTCTCTGTGCTTTTTCGCCTTTTTGGCCTTCTATCGTAGAGTAAGCGTGTAACAACGTATTTACATATTAACCGTATAATTCAAGCGAGCACTATTTTTCTTTCTCGTTCTTGTTGTTATTATTATTATAACTGTTATTCTCAAACATGCTATTTCAGTTGAAGCAAAAAATACCGTGATGTCAAGAAGTATTTTTAACGAAAAAGAGTAATTTCACAGTTTTATGAAGTAGAGTTTTATGGAGAGAGAGTATGGTTTTTTTATGAAACTTTATGGAATTCTTTACAATGTATGATTATTTAAATAAAAACAACAGAAAAAAAGAAGAGAAAAGAATTAAAAGTAAAAAAAAATTGAAATAAAAAGAAAATTTTGTACCTCAGCTTCTTCGTCGACGAGTTCTTCTTCCACAACATCAGCCTTATACTCCAATAATAAATCCCTAATCGGTTTTGAATCCAATGTTCGATTAATAAACGAATGCTTAAGTAATTCTTCCGACGTCGGTCTTGAAGCGGGATCTTTGATAAGAGCCTTGGCAATGAAATCATTAAATTCTTTACTCCATTTGCCAGGTTGATCAAGCTTTGGTGGATCGCTTTTTTGAATTTTTAATAGAACTCGCATTGGGGACATTTCGTGATTTGGCGGTTCCATTTGTGCGAATTCTATTAAAGTTATACCTAGAGACCAAATATCCACCTGGGAAAAACAAATTCATTTTTTAAATTCTTCTTGAAATTTAGTATAAAAAGATTACTAATTCGACTGAAAAAAAAGTTATGAAATTATTGTAATTAAAGAATTCTATAAATTGAAAAAAAAGAAAAATTACTTTAAAATCGTATGGATTGTCCCTAAACGTTTCACATAAAACCACTTCTGGCGCCATCCAATAGGGCGTACCAATAAAAGTATCATGTTTCTGTAGGGTTTGTTTATTTTTAGCCGAGACCCCAAAATCAGCTGCAATAAAAAAGAATTAACATTCAATTAAAATTAATTGAGCAATTTAATACTCGCAAGTAAATTTACTTTTCCTGAAAAAGTTAATTTTATCCTTATTACCTATTTTAATACCGCCTTGCATTGTCAATAAAACATTGCCCGCTTTAAGATCCCTATGTATAACTTTGGATTTGTGCAAAAATGCCAGACCTTTGGTCATATTTTGACAAACGTAAGATATTTGTGGTTCGGTTAATGGTTTTTCCAATTCAACCATTATTGAATCCACTGCGCCACCATCACAGTATTCAATTAACATCTACAATAATAAATTAGACGTGTTAAGTGAGTTTAATTCGCGTGAAAAAAATTGATTCAAGGTAGTTTAAATTATTAGAACAATTATTATTATTATTATTATTATTATTATTTCTAATTATTATTCTTACCCATAATTTGCCTTCTGTGAAGAACGCCTCATATAGTTCGACTACATTTGGATGCTTACATTCTGACAATATGTCTATTTCAATCATAAAGTCACTTAAATCATCTTCGCCATCAAGTGCACACATCTTTGCAGCAGCCAGCTGATGCGTTTGTTTTTGCTGTGCCTAAAATTAAACGACTTATTAATTTCGGAGAATTATTTTTCTAATTTCAGTTTCTTATTTTTTTTTTGTCAGGATTACTGCAAAAACTTCATTTTAGTTTTTCCCCGACTTTTCCCTGATTTACAGAATTTTTTTTTTACTTTTTCCCTGACTCTAAAGAATATTTTACGATTCATTCTAAAAATGAAAACTTCAATAACTTATTTTTTAAATAAATATTTAATCATTATTATTTTTAAGTAGGAATTAAAATTCTTCAAAATATTCAAATTCAAACATTTTTGAAATCCAATAACTTATATGAATATTTATTTGAAAACATGAAGATATCGATCACTCCGAGTCTTCGACTCGGAATGATCAATTTCTTCATGTTCTCTTATAATTAATAATAAAGATGACCGAGTGATATAATTATAATTTTATATTATAAGAATATTATAACTGTAACTTCTTCAAAATTATTTTCATCATTTCAATTAAATTAATATTTTCTAGAATTTTTAACTAAAATTCTTCTTTAAATAAATTATTTTAGATAATTTAAAAAAAAAGTTCTTTGAGAATTTTGTAATCCATTTGTTTACAATTCAATTTCACAAAATTTCATTGATTATTCAGAAATTCTTCAATTGTATATTAGAAAATAAAAACTTCAAATAATTTTAAAAAAAATTCAATTAAACTTTTTGAAAAAAAAAATCAACAGAATTGTTGAAAAATTCAGATTTTCAAAGATTTTAATTTGAAACCTTTTCAAAGTCAATTATTTCTAAATAATTTCTAGAATAGAATTAGAATTTTTGTAAATAATTGAATTCTTTTGGAAAATTTTATTTAAATAGTAAATATTGAAAATCATTGAATTCAGGAAGATTTTTGAAAATAATTGAAATTTTGTCAAGAACATTATTGGAAAAATTATTTTATTATTAAATTATTTTTAAAAATTTATTAAAAATTTATTTATTTAATATTTATATGCAATATTTATTTATTTTATTTAATATATAATACCAAAAATATATTCTTAAATTAAAAACTCGTTAACAATTACAATAATATAACCTATTTATAAAAATTGTAAACACAATTCTTTTAAAATTCAATTAATTTTGAAATATTTAAGTAAAATAATTAACTCTAATAATCGTCGTATTCATTAAATAATTTCTAAGTAATAATTTTACGATCGCTCTTCAAGAATTAAGTTATTTAAGAAGAAATTATTGTCAGAAATAGAAAAAATTGAAGGTTTTATATTAGATTTCTTGGTAATTTCCCAGTTTATGATTCAAACAAAAAAGACACCAAAATTCTGAATTTTCTTATATATAAATGCTACAAAATAAATTTTTTCCAGTGTTTTTTAATAAAAAATGAAAAATTTAACAATTTTTTCTTAGAGACGTAAAGTTTTTGTTGGAAAAATTGTTGAACGTCGTTCGATATTGTTTGCTAATAAGATTAGAAAAGAAGCTTTACAATTTCAGGTGCTTATTTGTGTTAAGTAGAATATTAAGTATTCTTTGAATCTTTTTTCGATTTCGTTTTATTTCATTCGATGGTGAAATTATAAATAATAAATTAACATCTTTTTTTTCCAAACATATAAAAGTAAACATTAAATTCTTTTTCAAATTCCGATTTTCTCTCAATTTATTTGATTAGAAAAAAAAAGTTTTTCGATTAATTGTAAATTGCAGGAGAATTAAATTTGACAAAAATTATCTCTTGATATTGCAAAATTTGAACAAATCAATTTAATAGTTTCAATTGTGACAGAATTGTGTTAAATGTATATTTTTGTACTTTTTTTATGATTTATCACAGCAATTACTAGTCATTATTGAGTTCGTAATTGATTTTTTTATCAACTAATGATAAAATATTCCTGAATATTTATTTATTCTGAGTTTTCTTACAATCTTAGAGAAAATATTTTCTTTTATTTTAACGTTAATCACTACTCAATAAATAATAGTTTTGTTTTTCTATTTATTAATTTTATTATTATTGTCTCATTTTATTATTTATTTTGTTTTTTTTTATTTTTCTATTTATTAATTTTATTCTTGTTATTGTCTTGTTTTATTATTTATTTTGCTCTATTTTATTATTTTTTGTTCTACTTTATTATTTTTTGTTTTACTCTATTATTTTTTATTCTACATTATTATTTTTTGTTCTATTTTATTATTTTTTATTTTACTATTTACTTTATTATTCTTGAATAATAAAATTTCGTTACCTTATACACAATTCCAAAAGCGCCGCCTCCCAATTCTCCAACCATTTCCCAAAATTCCTCTGGATCGCAATCCATTCTGATGTTGTTGTAAAGTTTTTTCTTCTTCGCGTCATTGCCACCAAAGTGGAGTGCTTTCTTCAAGTTTGATAGAAAAGACATATTGACTGTTGCAATATTAATTCACTAAGATTTAAAAAAAAACACAGCGATGTCCACCTTCCTTTTTTTTACATAGTGCACAAAACTAAAAGCATTCACTATAATACTTAATTGACGACGTTACTTTCACCTATGAAAATTATGAAAATAACTGTAAAAAGACATAGTCTCAATATATTTTGAGAAACACGGAAAACACAAGATGACAATTATTCCTCTTTAGAAAAATAATTCTTGATAATGAATCATTCAGTTTTAAAAAACAAAGCCGGTATACCATTTGGAAGTTGCATCACCTTCAAGTAATCCTCATTTTTTCTCTCTTTTTTATATTCTCAATAATGAAATTAAATTCAATTCAAAATTTCTTCCAAAATTTAATTCAATTAATTCTCATCAGAGCCCTGGTTAATTTCCAGGGAATTAAATCGTTCCCGCATCTTGACAGAAAAAAATCCTCTTAATTGTAAAAGTAATTTTTATCCTTAATTCTCAAATATCCTCTTTTTTGATCCATTTTCCGAATTTTAATTTGTAAATCCAAGGCACCTGAAATAGAGAAATTGTGAAAATTTTAAAAATAAATAATTTTCCATTAAATCAAGGCTGGTAAATATTATATTGTTTTCTTTTCATAATATCACTAATATTTATGTGTTTCCCCCTAATATTTAGATTATCATAATCACAAGAAAACTTTCTGTCAGCCAATAATGACTTAATGACATCATTCCTTTTTGCTTTCACATACTTTCAATTTTATTGACTGAAAGGTAAGTATTGAAAAGATTTCAAAGAATTACTTCCTTTTTCTACAAATTGTAGAATATTGCAGAGAAAAAGGAATTGGCGGAAAAAAAACATCCAAGATAAGAATCAATTATTTTAGAGATCAATTTAATAAACAAGGTGTTTTAGAAAGGAAGAAAGAAAAAAGAAAGTGTGCAACTACAAATACTGAAACTTAAGGAAATGATAGTTAAAAAAGCAAAAAAAAAAAAATTTGTAAACTTGGAAAGAACTTCTTTTCTGAACAAGCATAATTAATGTGCTAGTAAGAAATTCTTGCAATAGAGAAAACTAGGACATGACTGTTAGACCAACATTCCATCCAAGAGGCCTTCTAATTTACCATTGGTCTTGACTTTCATTAAATAGTTTTTTATATATTTAATTCTTGCATAATAGCGAAAGGCCGATATGTAAATATTTACTTACAAAAATCTTTCGCTTCCTTGAGCTTTAAGTCAATGGCCTCATATTTAATCTCTCTCAACTTTTTGCATCTCTTTTTTTTGCATAAAATGTGAAGAACAAATCCTGGTTTTCAAAGCAATTGAATTTTACCTACTATCGTTAGTTTATCAGCATAATTCAGTTATCACGTTCATTGTTCATGAGAATGTTAGATAAGAATTGATATTGCGTTGCGATAAGAAAAATTTCGTTAGATCAGAGGGATCAGAGCATTTGACATTCTTAATTAAATAACGAAAATTTACCTTCTAAAAATTAAAAAACGAGTTAGAATTGTCGAGAAAAAATCTATCTTTGCACTCCCGAGTCTTCTAGCAATCATAATAGACTAGGAACTATAAAATAATAGCTATTTGTAAGATATTAACGTCATTGTTCAGTGAATCATAAATTCCTCCAAGTACAATTTATGCCAATGACTTATTGCGCTTCTAGACGAATAACAACAGATTTCCCGTAGACTATCAATCAAAAATAGGACACAATTTTTTTCCGTATAAAGCCAAAGGGGTTAGAGAGCAATAATGTATAGTTAATACTTTGTATTTTTGATGTTGCAAATATAACTTCCTGCTGTATTATGAAATTCACTTTTTTAAAATAAACCCACGCTTCTCATTAAACGAGAAAAACAACTTTACCCACTATACTGAATAAATTGAATTGAGCCTTTACAATTGAAACTATGACACAAGACTTGCTTTCAATATACACTTTTTTTTATAATTAGTCAAAGTTCGTCTTCATCTTGACATCGATTTTCATTACCGAAAAAAGAAAAAACCGAGCTAAAATAAGTTTGTGAACTACTTATCAGACACTCATAAGTAAACTTGAATTACGAAAAATCCGAAAAATATTTGTGCTAAATACAGTCAATCTAAAGACGTCTCGTGGCTTCCGTCCGTTCGTCCATTTGTCCAAACGTCTGTTCAACTGATTGAAAACAAATCGACAGGTGCCGACGTTTTAAAGATTGAAAATAAACAATTTTTGACACAATTCATCTCCATCTTTCAATGTTTCAAAGATTCTACAAAGAATTAATTTGATCAAAAAAAATACACTTGGAGAGAAATTTTAACACTTTAGGAGGACATCAGCAATATCAATCTGCGAATGTAGCAGGCGCGTCTCCCATACGATAGAAAATTTGGTTCGTGAATTTTTTTTTCCTCGTGAAAATTAGGTGCAATATTCTGTCAACATGATTATAGATAGAAATTGACAGTATTGATGAAAACTTTTTCAATGTCGAGATGGAGATTAAATTATTACACGCTTTTTCGTTTATAGTGAAAGGTCATCAATGAAGAACTCACCTTATTTTGCGGTAAAATCCTTTCGCATACGCGAAATTCGGTGAGACTTCACTTTGCAAAAAAACACTTGGCGTGTCGACACCCTTTTTTCACTTGAAACTTGAGTACGATTTCGTAATCACATACACACGATAAATATCTACATCGGAAAACCACAAATATTGAAAAATCACAGAATTTCGTACGTTTGACTGTTCATCACGGCCATTTTCAGCGCACGCACAGAGCACACACGATTAAACACCACGCCTGGAAGTGACGTAACTAAAATGCAACACTGCGCTCTAGTGATAATGTTCCTAAAGATCCCGCAATGCACTTTACTGCATTTTCTTGTAGAAATTTGTCTTCATACTTTTTTCTTTTATCGGTTTTTTTTAAATGAGAAGTTAAAATTATTTATTTTCGAATTGAATCAAAGAGGAGAATTTAAAGAGTTTTCGGCAGGAAAAAAATGAAGGTCAGGGGCACTGAGTTTTCTAGATACAGTGGTGTGATAGGCATGGAATTTAATTTTTAAATGATAAAATAGTATTAAATATTTAGAAATTAGAAATATTGTTTAAAAACACAATATAAGTCATTTTTTACGAATTACAGAACTGTTTGAAGGGACATTTCGATTAAAACTTTTTTCTTCTTTTTCACGAATTGTTGATTTGATAAAAAATTCTTTTTTATAACTTATTTATTCTTTAGAGACGGATCCGTTTTCAAATGTCAACTTAGCGATAACTTAACTACTATTTTTAATTTTTAACCATTATTAATTATTAATATTAACAATTAACTTATTTATCCGATTCTGTTAACAACAAAATATTTAAATGAACTTGTGTCTAGGGTGTCTAGTGACAACTAGTGATCTGAAGTAAATCACTTCTTGAAGTTGGTGGCACTTTACGTAACAGCTGTTGCGCATGTCAACCTGAAGTTTTGCTATTGGTTGAAAAGAGCGCCTATATTTAAAACAGTAAGTAAATTTTAAATTATCGCGCCTATTTCAACCAATGAGGGAATTCTTTGAAGTGCTTTGAAGATACTTGCAACTGGTTTGATATTCTGTTGGTAGACATGATTTTATTAATTAGAGGGTGGGGGGTGTAAAAAATTATTATTTTTATCACATTTATGTAAAAATGGCTGATCAAGTGTTAAGGGAATTAGAGGCTGCTGCACAAGTTGTTTTAGTAAGTTCCATTGCTACTAATACTAATTAAACTATAAACATTTAAAGTTGAATAATTATGTTCCCTTCGCTATATTAAATGCATTTTATATTATATCCATATTGACGGAATTTTAATGTTACACCTTCACGATGATGGTTATGTTATCATAGTCGAAAATACATATTATTGTTTATTTTGAATAGGAAAAATATTTCTCTATTACAATGTTTTTTTTATGTTCATAAATATAAAATACTAAATTCCGTTAAAGGACAAACACAAAAAGTATTAATTATTGACAACTATTTTTTAATTAAAAGGGAAAATATAAAATGTATAAAATTAGATTTACACCGCACTTTCATCACAATTAGCTCGTTATTTTAGGAAACTGAGTTTTTTTCTGTATTCCGAAGCTTTCTTTTCACTTTCTAGTCAAAGCATAATATATACATTTTTATCATTCTCTTGAAGCTTTTTTCCGCTTCGTTTGAATTCATTTCAAGTTCATGAGATTTATAAATTTATGTAAAATTACAAACTTTATAAAACACGTGTAATTTTCATATTGTGAGAGTTTTTCGTTTTCTTTTATGTAAAAAATAAATAATATAATTAAATGTAATGGGAACGAACGATTTTTGAAAATACTGCTAAAAAAGTAAATTTCTAATTTTAAGTTTGAAAAGAGAAAGGAAATTTATGAATGAAAATGTTACAGGCGCCTCCGAATCTTGTGAACGCTGAGCAGAGACAATCGGCAGAAGCAGTGTTCCTTAATTTTCGAAAAACAAAATCGCCCTATGTACTTTGTCGACAAATATTGGAGACATGCACCGTAGACTATGTTCTCTTTGAATCGGCTGGTTTAATAAAATCAGCGTTAATTAGAGAATGGACATTTTTGCCACCAGAGGATATTGTCTCATTGAGACAATATCTTTTGCATTATATCATCACGAAACCCACATTGGCATTATTCGTGAGGGAAAGAATATTGCAAGTTATTGCAATAATGGTGAAAAGAGGAAGCGTGGAAGATATGGGTGAAGAGAGACGTCAAATATTAAATGAAGTTGAAAATCTCATTATGAGCGGAGACATGCAAAGGGTAATTTTAATATTTATTCAATAAAATTTTGATATAAAATAGAAATAAATATAACAGGGTTTGCCACAGGTCAGGGAAAAGTCAGGGAAAGTTGAATTGGTCAGGAAAATCAGGGAAGAGTCAGGGATTTTTACTAAAAGTGCTGGAAAACATTTAATTTGTAGAATTTATAAGAAAATTCAAAATTTTGGTGTCTTTTTTGTTTGAATTATGAACTGTGAAATTAACATAAATTCTAATACAAAACCTTCAATTTTTTCTATTTCTAACAATAATTTCTTCTTAAATAACTTAATTCCTCAAGAACTATCATAAAATAATAATTTTATGATTTATTTACCTATAAATTATTTAATGAATAATTTTACTTAAATATTTCAAAATTAATTCAATTTTAAAAGAGTTGCGTTTATAATTTTCATAAATAGACGAATTTTAAAAGCTTTTAATTTTAAATTTTGGGAAATTTTGAATTTTAAATAATTTTAATATGAATTTTGAAGAATGTAATTTTTAAAAAATAATAATTAGAATATTTTTGGAATAATTTAAATTTTGGAATATTATATTGTAATTGTTAACGAGTACATTTGAGAATAATTTTGTGTAAACTTTTTGGTTTCTATTTAAAATAATTGAATTTTTGAAGAACATTCTCAAAAATTATTAAAAATAATTGATTTAGAGAAGAACATTTATTCTTATCTTTTATAGCATTTAGCTTTATTATTTTTGGGCTCTTCAAAAACAATTTACATATTTAAAAGTCTCTACCCTTTGGTTAAAAATTTAAATTTATTAAAAATTATCAAAAATTCGAAAAACCGAATTTCTTAAAATTCAACAATTTTTCTTCTTTTTTGTGGCATTTAGCTTCATTATTTTTGGGCTCTTCAAAAACAATTTACTTATTTAATAGTCTCCACACTTTGGTACAAAATCTAAAATTATCAAAAATTATCAAAAATTCAAAAAACCGAATTTCTAAAAATTCAACATTTTTCCTTCTTTTTTATGGCATTTAGCTTCATTATTTTTGTGCTCTTCAAAAATACTCTACTTATTTAATTGTTTCCACCCTTTGGTAAAAAAATCTAAAATTATCAAAAATTACCAAAAATCGAAAAACCGAATTTCTTGAAATTCAACAATTTTTCTTCTTTTTTATGGCATTTAGCTTCAATATTTTTAGGCTCTTCAAAAACAATTTACAATTTAAAAGTCTCTACCCTTTGGTTAAAAATTTAAAATTATCAAAAATTATCAAAAATTCGAAAAACCGAATTTCTTAAAATTCAACATTTTTTCTTCTTTTTTATGGCATTTAGCTTCAATATTTTTGGGCTCTTCAAAAACACTTTACTTAATTAATAGTCTTCAGCCTTTGGTTAAAAATTTAAATTTATTAAAAATTATCAAAAACTCGAAAAACCGAATTTCTTAAAATTCAACATTTTTTCTTCTTTTTTATGGCATTTAGCTTCATTATTTTTTTCATTATTATTCAATTTAATTATATCTAAAAATTTGTTTAAATTGTCTTCAAAGTTTTATTGATTTTTATAAATAATCAAACTCTTCTCCCAAATTCAATTATTTTCAAAAAATTTTTTTAACATTCAATTATTCAATTAATTATGTATTTATTTTTGTATTTAGATAATTGAGTTCTAGTAGAATTTCCTAATAAAAATTGATTTAAAAATTAATTTTAGTTAAAATTTTAGATAATAATTGAATATTAAAATCATTATTAGCATAAATTTTTAGAAATAGTTTAATTTTGAAAAGGTTTCAAATTAAAATCTTTGAAAATTTGAATTTTTCATACTTTTAACTAACAATTCTGTAGAATTAATTTTTTTAAAATAGTTTAATTGAATTTTCAAAAAAAATTATTTGAAGCGTCTATTTTCTATTGTTTATATTTAATTAAAGAATTTCGTAAAATTGAATTTAAAAAAAATCGTTTTGAAAATTCTCTAAGAACTTTTTTAAAAAATTAACACAAATAATTGATTTAAAGAAAAATTTTAGTTAAAAATTCTAGAAAATAATATGGAAATTGAATTAAAATGATGAAAATAGTTTTGAAGAAGTTACAGTTATAATATTCTTATAATATAAAATTATCATTTTAATTTCTATTGTAAAAAAATTATCATTAAATATTTATTTAAAAATGAAGTTATTGATGTTTTCGAATAATTTTACAATTAAAGAAATTCGTAAATAAATGTATTAGAACATTTTTTTGATTATCTAATAATTTTTAGAGTGAATCAGAATATTCTTTAGGGTCAGGGAAAAAGTCAAAATTTTGTCTCGAAATCAGGGAAAAGACAAGGAAAAACAAAATTAAATTTTTGTGGCAACCCTGTATAAAAAAATAGAAAATAGAAGTAAATTTAAAATATAAAAAATAAAAAATAGAAGTAAATATAAAATATACATAAACCTAAAATATAAATATAAATTTTCCAAAGAGTTAATTTAAGGATATTTAAGCACCAAAGTTTCTCATCTTTTGTTTTTTTATTTTTAAGCAACTTTTGGGATGCAGCATAATATCATCTCTAATGCAAGAATATGCAACGACTGTAAAATCCTCCGACGTTGGATTAACATGGGAGACTCATTTTAAAGCCAAGAAACAATTTGAATTGACTGATTTAAAGAGGATATTTAAATTTTGCATTGGAGCACTCGGAGAATTGACTAAAGAGAATATACGTGAAGAAACATTACCACTTGTCAAACATCTTTTGGTCATATCAGACAACATTCTCCTATGGGGATTCATTTATGCAAACTATATCCTTTTTATATTATTCATTTTTAAATTTCAAGTTTAAAATTTCTTAAGTTCAAATTTTATTCTTTATTATTATTCTAAAATTCTGAGTGTTCAAATGAACAAAGTATTTTTTGTTCTATAAATGATACATTTTTTTTTTTTTTTTGTTAGGAACTAAAATATTATCCTTAATTCCTTTGCACTGCCAAAAAGATTAATAGGAGTTTTTGAAACTGTTCACGAATCGGATGTACCATCATTACGTTTGAATAGTTCCTGGCAAGATGTGATTCTCGATCCAGCTGTTTTAGACTTATTTTTTACTCTCTACTGGAAAGTTCGTACCAATCTACAACTCGCTCATCATGCAAGGAATTGTCTTGTTCAATTGGGAAGTCTGAATATGATTGGTTTCTCTAGTTCTGGAAAATTACAGTATCTGACAAATTATTTACAAAACTTCCTTAAACTTCTCTCCAATATTGAAATTATCGATCAGGAAGCTCTTGGAATTGCTAGAATTATAAGAAAAATCATGACATTCTTCCAAAATACATTAAAATCATTGCCCGAAGATTTATTCAAATCGTTCATGGAACAAATCACGAGATTAACTTGTCTATTTGCTGAAGGCGCTGCTCGCGAGGAGTCTGTAAGTATTTTTGAATTAATTATTAATTTTTTAATTTTTATGGATAATATTTCTGGATATTCTCTGATAGACTATATTTTTTTGACTAATTTGAATAAATTTGTTTTTTTTTAGATGTGTGCAGACGATTGTTTATACATGGAAGCATTCGAGAGAATGCTTGACATTTGGAGCACAATTACATGCCAATACAATTTGTGTCCTAATGAATTTAATGAAAATAGTTTTGTACAAATATTTAATACGTACCTTCAGTGCCACTTATCACCTCCTGATGGTAGCAGAGGAGCAGGAGGCAGAGAAATCAGCAACGAAGAAATTAATTCAAACGAGGCAGACGATAGAACTAAATTTAATTATCAGTTACACAGTATAGGTAAATATTTCTGTTTTATTTATTTACATTTTTATTTATTTTCTTCAAATATAATTAAATATTAAAATACTGTTTACAGGAAATTTGGGAAGAGAAATTCCGGGTCATTCGCTACCACTTTTAGCCCGACTTCTTGAAGATCGAACGAGCCGGTTGCGAGCTCAACTTAGCAGTATATTAAGTCAAAAGATGACAGCCAATATTCCAATAACACTTGAAAACATTTATGAAGATTTACATTGGATAATTCTCCTCGCGAGTCACGTTCTCTGTATGGAATCAGAAGGAGAAGTGCCTACAATTCCATCAGAAATTATGCGCTACAGCATGAAACAGGTAAATTACTTTCCAGTAATTTTACTTTTGATGGATAAAATTTAAAAAATGAAAAATATATTAAATTGTGAAAATTTGTACATTTTAGGTACAAAATGGCCAAGTCGATGTAAATACAACATTGCAGCTTTTGGCATCACCACAAAGTAATTTATCGGACATAAATGGTGCTGAACAATCAGCAGATCACGTTGTTAGACTGACGGCCGCTGTTTTTCGAATAAGCGAAATTGAAAAAATGGCAATTGAAGCAAACGCGGCATATATATTGAGTCCTGAATTAAGTAGTTCGATAATGTATTTTTTACATAATTGGTCATTGAATTATTTGATGCCAAATGAAGCAAATTACTCGGAGATTAGTACAATATTTTTGCAAGCTTTCGGTGAAGAGAGCCCGGGAGGCATGTGGACTGTTAACTTTTTATTGGAAAAAGTTCTCTATATGATTGAATCATTCAAAGGAGAGCAAACTTTATTATTATTGATTATTCAATTATTATCGGCATTGGCTCAATCACAAACCAAGTATGTATCTTTTATTTGTATTCTTTTTCCTTTGCTAATTTCAGTTTTTTCAGGGTTGCCAAGAAAATTTGAGTTTTAAATTGTAAGCACAACTCTTATAAAATAAAATTAATTAATTATTAAAATTAAATTATATGATCTGTGTGGCAACCCCAATTTTGTTCTGTTTTATTTACTATTATTATTATACAAATTACAAGATTTTTTATTTTCAAATATAAATTTTTGAATAATTTCATATTCAAAATATTTAAAAAATTCACTTATTAAGTACATACTTTATTATTATTTATAATCATAAATAATAACATTCTTCAGAAGAATTCAATTATTTTTTTTTATAAATAGTAAAGATTTTTGCAAAAATTCAATTATTTTCTAAAATTTTTTAAAAAAATTTTGACACAATTCAATTATTTTTTTAAATAGTAACATTATTCGCAAGAATTCAATTATTTCCATAAATATTAACATTCTTTAGAAGAATTCAATTATTATCTAAAATTTTAATAAATCCTTCGAAACAATTCAATAACATTCTTCAGAACAATTTAATTATTTTTATAAATACTAAAATTCTTCGCAAGAATTCAATTATTTTCATAAATAATAACATTCTTCAAAAGAATTCAATTACTTTTATAGATTGTAAAATTTTTTCCAAAAATTCAATTATTTTCAATAAAATTTCACGAAAGAATTGAATTATTTTTTAAAATTGTAATAAATTCTTCGAAACAATTTAATAACATTCTTCGGAACTACATTATTTAAAAAAATTCAAAGAAATTCTTCAAAAGAATTTAATTAGGATTTTTAAAAATTTTAATAAAATTCTTCCCGAGAATCCAATTATTTTCATAAAAATAATAATATTCTTCGAAGGAATTTTGATAAAATTACCGAAGTACAACGATTATTAAAATAATATAGATTTTACTTTCAACTCTTATTTTTAATTTTAAATTTGAGATTAAAACTTGAATTTCGAAAATCTACAGGTCTGGGGCTTTACTGCAATCCGATCATTTTCCGAGATTGGTCGACTTAGCGACAAAGGCACATTTAGATTTGTCACAAATTGCAAAGCGAGGTCTATCGAAGGTTATTGTTCAAGTTGGTGGAGCTATTCAAGATGCATGTAATAAGGAGCAATATTGGTCGCAAACTTTGCAACCTTTACAGAATAGATTCAAAGAAATTATTTCTAATGAATCCTTCTCTAGATCGTATCATCAAGAGAATGTCAAAATGCAAATTATCGATATACTCGAATCAATTATAGGTAATATTTTATTTATATTAATATTGTTTTTTAATAATAGCATTAGTAATAATAATATTTTATTGCTTCCTCATAGAGGAAGGATTGTATTTTATTATCTATCGTTTTGTTTGTTTATTATTTTTATTTATCAAATGAACATTTATTTTATTTAATTTTAATTATTTCAGGGGTCGTTCAAGGAGTTCAAAGTTCAACGGTTGATAGCGTTTTTCAATATACGAGTGTTATTCTAAATGAACTTCCTCAACTTCTCTCGTTATATAATAATTATGAACAAGTGGTGCAACTTATTTTGGAATTATTTTGCGAGTGCTCGAAAGGAATGCTTTGCTATTTATCGGAGGTAAGGCGTTTTTTTTTTGTTTATTTCTTGTGATGAATTTAAATACGATGCGCTACGAAAAAAGGTACAAAAAAAAATCAAAAATTTACACTTTATGCTTTTGATCGTTTTAGATTGAATAATGGAGTAAAATGCGAAAATTTTCCCTTAGCCACTTTTATTCGTAGCGCGTGTTAAATGGAAATTAATTATTTTACAATCCTTTTTTGTGCCAATTTCAGTCAAATAGCTCACTGATGTTTCAAGCGTGTTTGCATACTGTTCAAACGTATGCACGATGCAACACAAATCGATCGACTATTGATACAACGGCTGAGGAAGACAGCTTTCAGGATATTCTTCTGCTCATGAAACTTTTAACGAATTTACTTGGCAAAGACATTTTTGACTTGAGTCTCCCGGATCCTGATTCTAGTCGCGATCAACCTTTTACATCCGTGAATGTATTTTTGTATGGTTTGAATATTGTGATGCCCATGATGACCATTGATTTACTCAAGTTCCCCTCCTTATGTTTACAGTGAGTCTCTTTCGTTTTTAAGTCATTTTCAATTTTTATTCATTTCCAAAAATTATTATTTATTCAATTTCATTTATTTTATTTCAATTTCATTCATTTTTAAAGATTTGCTTTATTTAAATCATTTGTTTTTTTAATTCTTAGTTTTTTTTGAATAATTAGTTTTTTTTGTTAGTTTTTCGAATTGTTAGTCATTTTTAGAATTGTCATTTTTTTCTTTCTTTTTTCAGGTATTTTAAAATGATCACCTTCGTGTGTGACGTTTATCCCGAGAAGGTTTGCGCACTGCCGGAAGATTTACTGCAACATTTACTTGTCTCAGTGGAATTGGGCTTTTTCTCATTTGGACATGACGTTACTATTTTGTGCTGTGATATGGTCCATGTTATGGCCATGCATATTTTTAAGGAAATTAACAAAGGACAACCAAGAAATCAACTCATGGCCCCATTTTTAAACGTAAGTTTTTGAAAATTATCTCTCTTTCTAAATATTATGAATTAATTCGCGAAAGAAATCGACGAAACAATTTGAATGATTTTAAAGTAATTTGTAAAACGTAATCAGGCCTCGAATTGACTTTTTTTAAAAAAAAGTCGTTTTATTCGATTTAAATTACGTATAAAGACAAAAAGTCGCTAATTTTATTCATAATTTTTAAAGAAATTTGACTTTATGCTTATCTGACTTTTCCCTGATTTTTAGAAAAGTTTTTTACTATTTCCCTTATTATGATAATAAATTAAATTCTTTTGTGAAATTCAATTATTTTGAAAACAAAAAAAAATTTTTATAAATTCAAAATTTCAAAAACAAGGTTATTTTTAAAAAACCGATAAAATTCTCCAAAATATAAAATTTAATTCATATAAAATTTGACGAGGTTTACAATTTTTGTCAATTTTTCAATTAATTACTTTTGGAAATTTAATTATCTTAAAGAAATGTTTAAATAAAATTTCTCAAAAACCTAATTTCTTCAAAATTTCTAAATTCAATTATTCAAAAGTTTAATAAATTTGTCAAATAAATATTTAATTTCTTTACATAAATTCAATTTTTCGAATATTTTTTAGTTGAAACCTTCTGAAATTTAATTATTTCTAAAAATTACAACTGTAACTTCTGTAAAACTCAATTATTTTCTAGAATTTTTAACTAAAATTCGTTTCTAAATCGATTATTTTCAATAATTTTTCAGAAAGTTGTCTGAAAATTCAATTATTACATAAAAAAAAGGTTCACTTAACATACGTTTAAAAGACAATAATTTTTAATTTAATTTTATGAAAGAAAATTCATGAAATAAATAAATTCTTCAAAATTATTAAATTGATTAATTCCTCAAAAATTTATAAAGAAATTGCTTTTTTTTAAATAATTTAATTCACAGTTTTTTAAAGATATAAATTGTTTAGAATTTCTAATTCAAATTATTCATAATAAAAATCTTCAGAAATTTCTAGTCAAAACCTTTCGAAATTCAATTATTTATAAAAAAATTCTACTTAAACTTTCGACAAATTTCATTATTTTCTCAAATTTTTTACTAAAATTCTTTTCTAAATCAATTATCAATTATTTTCAATAATTTTTCAAAAAGTTGTTTGAAAATTCAATTATTCAAATAAACGAATGTTTACTTAAAATACGTCTAACAAACAATAGTTTTCAATTTAATTTTACGAAAGGAAATTCGTGAAATAAATAAATTCGTCAAAATTATTAAATTATTTATTCCAAAATTTTAAATAAATGTTAATTATATAAAAATAAATTAATTTTTAAAGAATTTTAATCACAATTTTTCAAATAACTGAATTGTTTAGAATTTTTATTCAAATTTAATTTTCAAAAATGTTCAAAAAAATTACAAAAATTTCAATTTAAAGCCTTCTGAAATTTAATTATTTTGTAAAAATTGCTACTGTTTAATTTTCCAAAATTATTTTCTAGAATTTTAACCCCGAATTCTTTACCTGCAATCAATTATTTTTAATAATTTTCAGAAAGTTCTTTAAAGAATTGAATTATTCAAAAAATTAAAAAGTCCACTTAAAATACAATTTTAAATTCAATTTTACAAAATTTAGATTGTTAAAAATTTTTTTAATTTATTGTATATTTAAAAATTCAATTAATTTCAAAAACAATTTTAATTCACATTTTTCGAAAAACTGAATCGGTTAGAATTTAGAAATTTAATAGTTTCCAGAAATTTCTACTTTCTTCAGAAATTTAACAAAAAATAAATATTTTTGTAGCATTTCATATTTTTTACAATTGTATTCAACGTAATTATTATTCAAGGCCTGCGTAATCAATTCAAGAATGAATTAAAAAAATTTAATAAAAGAATAGAATGTAGCAATTTTGAAAAATAAAAAAATAAATAAAAATAATTTTTTTCGAATATTGACATTTGTTTGCAGCTGATAATAAATCTCATCTTCAATCATCAAATCAATTCGGATCTCATATCTCACACGGTTACACCATTGTATTATTTAATTTGCTGCTATCAGGAGCAATATCAGCAAATTGTCCAGGATGTCTTATCATCTCAAGAGAATACACAAATTGCCGAAAGACTCGCAGCAGCTTTCACCGAACTCACAGCTAATATTGCATTAAACGGCGAACGTGTAACAATGATTAAGTTCAAAGACAATTTTGACAAATTTATTGTCAACATACAAGGATTTTTAATAGTCAAGTAAAATTATGTCCATTGTACTTACTGTAATACATTTTTTACGACTCTCCCAGTAATTACAAAAGAAAAAACAAAAAAAAAAAAAAAATTGTGAGTGTATACGTTTGTAATCTTAAGAAAAAAGTGAAATGATTTCTACTAAAAAAACTGAAAAAGACGAATTTTCGGAATGTCACAACGAATTGATTTCCGAATATTTTTAATACAAGCGTACAAATACAAAAAATAATAATCAAGCCAATACATTCTTCCAGTCATCGAAGCTTGAGAATATTTTTCGAATACAAATGTTTTCAATTCTCGATAAATAAGAGAATTTTCTGAGTTCTTTTTTTTAAATGATAAAAAAAACAGAGAACTTTCAGAATAATCAAGAACTCCAATATTTAAAAAAAAACTCGATTTCTTTTTTTAAAGAATCAATTATGCTGTGAAAGTTAAATTTTAAAGTACCAGTATTTAATCTACACGAAAAAATTATTCTGCTCTAAATCGACTCTTATTGCACAGCACGAAAAAGGAATATTTAAGCTCTAATTGTATCGCAAAAATTCAGTCCATTTGTATAATTATTGTGACGTTATTTATGCAATGAAAATGTGCTCATAAATATTCTATAAAAATTTTCTAAATATGACTGATAATTCTTACTATTATAGTATTGCTGTTTGTCGAAATCGATAAAAGAAAAAGAGCTGAAATCAAAATTTTATCTAATTGTGTTAAATATTGTATTGGTACTTTATTGCAAAACAATTTAACAAATGAAACTAAAATACTACTTAATTTTAAATTTAGAGAAGTTAAAAGTTATTTTTAAATTCACTTTTTTAACACTTAAAATAGATATCAAGCAGAACTGATAGACTGAGAATATTTTCTCTTCAAAAAAACTTGGATTATATTTTCAAAATTTGACACTAATGCACATTTCCTGTTATAAAAAAAACTACATTTTTTTCGCTTGTTAAAACACGTATAAAAAAAAATGAAAATTTGATATCACTTTGTCCACTGTTTATATTTCCTCGATTTGAGTATTATGTACAGTGATTTTTTTTTTGTTGCCTCCCTTTTTGTGGATTCATCCAAACGACTCCATTTCAGTGTAAAATTGAAAAATCGAATTTTCAATAAAATCTGTACATATTACTTTTTGCATGTTTTTTCAGATTTCTTTTCTCTTACATAGGTATTATTTTTACGCTGTTTTTTCTAATTTGAAAATTGAATTTTTGTGTGTGATTTTTTTTTAATATTATTATTATTATTATTTGAGATCAATTATTCTAATCGAAAGTATATTAATTTAGAATAGTGTTAATTGTTGTAAATAAAATTATTTTATATTTACAAGAAGCTATATACCAATTGAAAGTATTCACATATGCAATTTTCTGTTTTTATTGCTAATGTTAATGTGTAATGCATATTTAAAGTAAAAAAAAAAAAAATGTATATTTATTGAAAAAAAGAACAAAATTTGTGCTACAAATATATGTGTCCTATAAATATAATCTTTTCAAATATCTCTTTGTCTTTCTTCTAGTTACAGAAAATTCGACCTTTCAATCAAAATTTATTTAAATAAAATAAAATATTTAAATTCATTTAATTATATTTTTTTTAAATTAAAAAATGGTTCATAAAATCAAAATCAATGATTGTGGATCGAAATATGTTTCATGGTATTTTTTATTTTTATTCTACTCTGTTATTTCACTTATTGAAAATTTGAATTAACTTTTTTTCAGCCTTGTTTCAATTTTCTTTTGTTCGAAAATAAATCGCTAGAATTGAAAAAAAATTGTAATGGGTCGAAAAATCGAAATTTAATTACAATGTCACACGAAAAATACAAAAAAACGAATTAATTTCAATGAATGTAATTTTATTTACCCGTTTTTTGTGCACTTAATTTTTTCGCACATGTTTCAAACAATATTATTAATGATAAACATGAGATCAGTGCTTATATTAATATTAAAAGTGTAACTTGAATACTTATTACAATATCAATCCTAGAATTATGTTCTAGATATGTATATATTAATTCGACAAATAAATTATCGAAGCTAAAAATAAATCATCGACTATTATTTTATTTTTTGTTTACAGACATTTTTATTTTTGTTTCTAAAAAAATTCTGTTATTGCAGTTTTTCGAGGATTTTTGAATCATTATACAAAAATGTTAAAATTTAAGGACTAATTATTATTTTTAAATACATTAATATTAATAATTAATTAATAATTAAAAATTTTAACATTTATACAACACGTTAAGTTGAAAAATCTAAAATACTAAATAGATATGCTTTGGATAAAAATTTTTAAGATTATTCAAGGAGAATGCAACTTTAAAATTCTACAATAAGATTAATTACCAGGAAGAAATTACCCTGTGAGTTGTAAAGAACAGGGACTGATTATTGTCTATATAATATACATACAATAAAGGTACACCAAAAATTACTTTTCGAGAATTGATAGTGAATTATTTAGAATTTGAAATATTTGTTTTGTATTTATATTTACAAATGTATGCGCGATTTTTTTATTTATTATTATGAAAGATCTTTTTTTTTTTTTTTTGCAGAAATTTACGAGGAGAAAATTTTTAGAGAAATTATTCTTAAATTATGCGGTAAAGATGATAAAGATTTCTCGCTCTGAATTTTTGGTGTATCAAAATAGAGTATTCAAAATTTTAGCTTTCGTGGAAGAAATTTTATTCCCTTTCTCCTGTTTTCATGACTAGCATTCAAAATTCTAAACTCGTCATTATTAATGTTAAGTATTATTGTATTATCAACATTGGTCACCAATATTTCACAAAATTCAAAATTTCCTTTCACAAAACCCAATTCTTTGGTACACGTTGCTTATTAACTATTTATTCTTGTTGAAAAAAATATTACAACATAGCAATTTTTTAATTTTTACAGAAAAATAAAATTCAAACTTTATAATAATTAATTAATTTTTAATTAGTTGAATTACATTAATTACATTAATTAAAAATAATTAATATTCACTAATATTGTTTTCAAGAAGAAAAAAATATTTGCGAAGGAACTGAAAGTTAAGTTGTTTTTCTTACTTTTCTGGTAATATTTTTTTCACAAGGAAAATATTATAGTTTATGAAGAATACATTTAATTTTGTTAAATACTTATTACGCAATATGAGTATTAATAATTATTAAATAGTTAAAGCCATAATATAAACAACCCTGGTTAAAATACACTTTTGTGTTTTTTTCTTCTAATTAATCAATATTCTCACAGAAGAGCGAAATGAGAAAATTGTAATTCAATTTCTTGTAAAAAATACTCTTAATTAGAAAATATTTAACAAATCCTTAAACAGTAAAATTTATCACCCTCGTAATTATATAAAAATAAATTGTAACACAGTAGAATTAGAATTAATTAATCATAATACACTTTTAGTCGCAAATTTAATTTTAATTTAGAATTTGATTTTAACTTTGAATAGAATTTTAATTTAGAATTTAATTTTAATTTCAAATTTGATTTTAACTTAGAATTTAATTTTAATTTCTAATTTAATTTCAATTTCGAATTTAATTTTAATTTAGAATTCGATTTTAACTTTTAATTTAATTTTGGAAACATACTTGGAATTTAATATCAATTTAGAAATTTCATTTTTAAGTTATGAATTTAATTACAATTTTACAAATTTAATTTCAATTTACAAAAGTCAAGTTCTTTTCGATATTGTTAATTATTTTATAATTGTTTTACTGACTATAAAGCAATACACTGTTGGCTGTTTATAAATATTTTTTTTAAAAGACGAATTTTAATTTATGTTAGAGAAAAAATGTTTCTGTTATTTTTCGAAAAATTATTAAATTCATCAATATTATGAGGAATTTATCACTTTGTTGATATATTATAATAATTAGGACAAGAAAAATTGACTCTCAAAATCAATTAACAAAGAAAAAATTTTAAAACAATATAATTATTAAATATAATTATAATTATAATTGTAATTATTAAATAATAAATTTTATTGTATCAAAATTAATCAAAGTTAGTTGACTGAAAAGTATCGATTATTCTTGCCCGAATCTCCGGTTTCTCAATACCTTTATATTTTTATATTTAAATCGGTAAAAATAGTCTTTCTCTTGAATATTTGAAATTTTTCCATTTTTTCGTGAGAGGGAAAAAATTGGAGAAAAAGAAGAAAAATTTCTAAATATTGAAGAGAAATGTTTTATATCAGAGAGACATGATGAATTTTATCTGTAACAGATATGCTTGATGATGAATGGATAAAAGTTTTTTTTTCTGTAGAAGATTAAAATAGATTAGAATAATAATAATAATTGTTAATACTTATTGAGCTTTGTATTTTACCGTGAATTGTTGAACCCACCATTTTGTTAAATTCAGATAAAAATTAGGTCCTTCTGGTTCATAATCTAAATAATTAAAATCTTTATTACTTGCTGGTTTGGCCGGTTCTATTTGTGTTCCTTCGTGCCATTCGTTAAACGAAGTTATTGAAATTGTCGTTGCTCCGCTATTTAGTGCCGTTCTCCATGCAACTTCATAATATTGTCCATGACGACGTGGTCTTGTATTATCCGCATTCCAAGGACGTACCTGAAATTAATTACACAATTTATTAATTTTAATAAAACAAAAAAACAATTTTTATTATTTTTTTTTATAAATTAAAAATAAATAAAAAAAAAATATTTTTTTGTATACCTGTGTATCGGCATAGCCGGGTCCAACGCTTGGTATAAAAAGAAGTTTATTTTGAATGGCGAATTTATTCAAATCCTTCCAATTCTTCCAGGTGCTTCCGTAGCTGAAGCCATTTACCGCAAAGTACGTATAAAATCCATCAAAATGTGATTTTTTAATATGACTTTTATGCTGCGATTCTACTAATAAACCTATATAAAATGCATCCATTTCCGAGCCTCTCAAAGTTAAATTCCCCCTCTCCGATAATAATTCCCACCAAGCAGTGGATGGAAATACGTACGAGTCATAAATGTAAATAACCGGCAATATTGCTCCACTGAAACATTTTACAAATTCATTAATACTTTTTTAATTAATTTCCAAAAACTTTAATAAAATACTTAAAAAAACAATCATTTTCGAATAAAATTGTACTAAATTTTAATTATTCAAAACTTTTTAAATTCATTTATTTCAAAAATTTAATTATCTTAAAAAAATGATCTAAAAATAATTTTTTAAAGATTTAACTAGTCATTTTTACACTGTATCGAAATAAGTTGCATTTTATACCAAAAAAGTGTCATTTTGTTGCAATATTTGGAGAAGAAAAGTTGAAAAAGTAATAATTTTTGAAAATAAGTCGAAAAATTTGCTTTTTATTAAAAATAGTCGAAAAGAGTTTAAAAAGTCATTCAATCCGAAGCCTGTAAGTTTAATGAAATTAATTAATAAATTTATTTCATATGTATTCATAATTATTTCTTTATATTTTATTTATGTCTTATCGATATTTAAAATTAGATTTTCCTTTAATAATAATAATAATATTTATAAAAAAAAATTGGCGCATAACTTACTCGTCCTCTCTCTTTAGTCTGTAGAGTGCTGGATGCGATCCATAATTTGTGAATAAATATTTTATGTGGTCCAATAAATTAATTGGATTTCTTCCCTCGTATGGTTCTATTTGCGGTGCAACTTTTAATTGATAACGATGAGCTGCATCCAATAAATCTGGCATTAGTACGTCTGTATTATCGGCTACTGTTTGTGGAGTCCATGAAACAATTGCAACGCCAATTCCCGTTTCTTTTAACTGCTTCATATGCAAATCGATCACCTGCAAATTTCACATTTCTTTAAAGCATTTTCTTTTTATTTCAAACATAAATAAATTACTAGCTAAATATATTATATTCATAGTAAATTTACTAGACAACAAGAAATAATTAATACACAATAAATAAAAAAATGTTTATTTCGATATTAATTATTATTAATAGATAGAAAGAAAAATAGATAAATAAAAAATGGATGAAAAAATAAAAAGTAGATAAAAAAATAAAAAATAGATGAAAAAATAAAAAATAGATCAAGAAATATTTAGAAAAAAATAGTAAATAGGAAATATTAAATACCTTTGGATCGAAAGAACTGTAACAGCCCAAATCGGGATAAAAATTAGAGCCAATATCAGCCGGTGGATCATGATGCCCTTGTGGAAAGATTCTCTTATCATTTTTCTTCCAATTTGGCAAATACTCGTGATTCCAGTGCTTCCAAAATCCATCGTATTCCTTAGATCGATACCAAGGATAGTAAAATATATGAATATTGTAATTTGGCTCGACAATAACGGAACTATTTAATAATGGAAGAATTTTATTTCTCATTCGCCTTGACATGCGAGCAATTTTATTTTGAACAATTTTCTCCCTCATTTCATTATATCTCCTGTTATTCATTTCCTTTTGATTATTTTCAATTACTTTCGGTGTTGTTATAGGATCAATTTGTTGATTTACAATTGTACTCCATTCAACACCCGGAGTTACTGGATGTGGTTGACATTTAATTGATTCTAAAGGTGTTAATTTCACAATTATAACTGCTGCCATTAATGTCGAGAGCACCAAAACCACAGCGGACAAATAAAAACATCTTCTTAAAGAAACTGCTGTCATAACCCCAGTCAGTATCATGATTGTTTTTTTTTTAAAAACTCGTATATTATTTAAATTTTCAGTTTATTCAAAAAGCTGTAAAAAAGGGGGATTAGAGTTGTAAACGGTAGGAAATAATAAAAATTAAACAAATCCACTGAAAAGAAAAATTAAAATTAATTATAAATCTAATTATAAATAAATTGTAAATAAATGAAATAAATTATAAACAAATCCACTGAAAAAAACGATAATTTTAAATCTTAATCTTTTTCTAAAAAAATCTTTTTCGAAAGAATTAATTTGTTTCTTAAAAACTGGAATTATTTTTATACGAGAAATTTATAGAAAGAAATTATCATAATATAAATTCAAAGCAAAGCATTCAAAGGGTTAGGAAAAGTGTGCTTGAAACAATAGAAAATCAATATTGTTCAGGATGGCAACAATATATGGTAACAATAACAATAATAACAATAATTTCTCATCTTATTGTATTTATAAATAATTATCAAATATAATAAATTATAAATGTATAAATAATGGAGAAAAATGAAGCAAACTAATAAACAAATATAAAAAAGAACTTATAAAAGAAATAAAAATATACAGACATGCTGGATTATAATTTGGAACCTTTTGTAATTTGCACTTTAAACACTTTCTTTAAACCCTATTCACTAATACACTAATTTTTAAAAAGATTTTCACTATAAAATCTGAATATTTTATAATATCCACTTTCAAGAAAAGCACTTTTGTCTGTATCACAAATTGTAGATCTGAAATAATCCACTTTGGCAAAAAAAAATGCAGAAAATTATGCGATTTAATGCGAAAAATGGTGTGAAAATTATAGTAAACCTATTATTGAAATACTTGGAAGTATTTAATGGCGCAATTCGCGAATAAATTCCATGAGAGAGGAGAGACAATGAGAGAACACAAGAGAATTTTGACACATTTCACACATTTGACAGGTCGCAATTTTCGCAAAAAACTAACCTCTCAAACCGATTCGATCTTTCGATTCTATCGCCATTGCGATTCGATAGTGATACTCTGCAAACTTCAGAGAGTTCACAAGTCACATTGTTGCTTATTGTTGAGTTAACTGTCAATATTTATTAATTAGACATAAAATGGTACGAAAATTGAAATATCACGAACAAAAACTACTAAAAAAGGTCGACTTCATTTCATGGAAAGCTGACAACAATTTACACGAAGTAAAAATATTGAAACGTTATCGTATTCAAAAGAGAAGTGACTACACAACGTGAGTACATAACCTATAAACTTTATCAATCCATTGATTTTATCACTTCTTTTCATTTTCTTTTCATATTTCATACTATTTATATTTTTATTATTTTATCATATTTTATTCCTTCTATGATTTAATTAATAATTTATTTGTAGATATAATCAATTAGCGCGAGAAATTCGGGAAGTTGGCAAAAAAATAAAGGAAATTGACCAGGATCATCCTTTTCGAGCCGAGCAAAGTGCATTATTACTTGAAAAATTGTACATGATGGGTCTAATTCCTACAAAATGGGATCTATCATTGTGTCAAAAAGTAAATGCCAGTTCCTTTTGTCGTCGACGATTGCCAGTTATAATGGTTCGAAATAAAATGAGTGAAAATTTAAAAATGGCAGTGCAATTAATTGAACAGGGACATGTGAGAGTTGGAGCTGAATTAGTCAAAGATCCAGCTTTTCTTGTAACGAGGTAATTCACTATTAGTTCCTCATTACAATTATCTTTAAAAATAATAAAATTTTTCTCCGAATTTCAATTATTTTCAAAAATTCTATTAAAATTCTTTGCAAAATTTCAATTATTTTCAAAAAATTTTTCTCAATTCAATGATTTTCAATATCTATAATATCCAAAATTCTTCAAGTTGAAAATTTTAATTTAAAACATTTATTATTTTCAGAAATTTGGAAGACTTTGTAACGTGGGTCGATACTTCAGCTATTAAGAAACACATAATGACGTACAACAATGCCGTAAGTATTAAAATTTATTATTTTATAATTTATTATTTAAATTTAAATTCTTTAAATTCTATTCGTTTGAAAATTTTAAATTTTAAATTGCAAAATTGCGTTAAATTGCAAACTTCATACAAATTGCAATACAAAATTCTTGGATGAAAAATAATGAATTAATAAATTTTCCTTTACAGAGAGACGATTTCGATGCTATGTAATTATAAAAAGTATTTCTATAAAATAGGTTATTGATAAAATAATTTCTAATTTTTTTAAATAAAAACTATTTGCTAATATTTGCTCAATTTTTAATTGTCCCGGGCTAATTCATATTTAAATACATCAGAAAATGTAGATTCCTCTCTGATCTACACAATTGTTTTCGTTTCCCCCTCTTCCTTACTGTTTTTTTTTGTAATAAAAAGTGCGTTCAACGTGATCAACGTGATTGAAATGAACGAAATGTGAATTTGAATGAATTATTGAATTTAAAGAAAAAAAATATTTAAAAAATGTCGAATAAAGAAGAAATTGGTGCAGCTGAATGGATTCCTAAGGTTAATGTTGATACAAATGAATATTCTAGTGAACAATATGAAGGTTCCATGGACAAGTTAATTCGCAAGTGTAAAGAAAGTCCTGGTGTACCTTTGGGTAAATATGTGTTTTTATAATTAAAAAAGTGATTAATTTTAGCTAAATTTATTTGTATATTCTATTGACGTTGAAGAATTTTAATGTTTTATATAGTTTAAGAATGTTTCATGACAATAAGAAGACTCCAAACATAACCTATCGTTACAAACGAAGGAAAGAACATAATATTATACAAAAATAGTATCTTTTTCCATAAAAATCTGACTAAGAATTTTTTAAAAATATTCGAAAATATTTCAATTATTTGAAGAAATTCAATTAAAATTTATTGTAAAAAAATTTAATTCTTAGAAAGAATATTATTTCAAAATAATAGAATTTCTGCGCAGTACCTATTTTTAAAAAACTTTTTAAATTATTTAATTCCTGGGAAGTGTTTTAATTTAATTATTTATTAAAAAATTATTATTTATTATTATTTATTATTTCTTAAAACCGTAAAAGGCCTCTAAATATTATTATCAATATTCTTATAAAACGGTTCTTGTAAAAGGCCTCTAAATATTATTATCAATTTTGAACATTATTATGAAAAATAGTTATGAACATAATTAAATTTTTTCAAAGTATTTAGTTAAATTTTTTTCTTATAAAGAGTTTTATACAGAAAATATTATTAAAATATAACTTCTGCAAAGAATTTTATTAAAAATTTTCAAAATAATTGAATTTCTGCGAAGAATTTTATTGATAATGAAAATAATTGAACTATTGCTAAAAATTTTAAGGAAATTTTTGAAAAATAATTTAAATCTTATATTGAATTTTTTGAAATTAACAGAATTTCTGCGAAAAATTTTCTAAATTAATTCAATTCCTGGAAAGAATTTTATTAATTATGAAAATAATTGAAATCATGCTCGAAATTTTATTAAAATTTTCTAAAATAATTGAATTTTTGAGGGGAATTCAATTAAAATTGTATATTTAAAAAAGAATTTAATTCTCAAACAAAATGTTTTCAAAATAATAGAATTTCTGCAAAAAATAGTTTATTTAAAATTTTCAAAATAATTGCATTCCTGCGAAGAATTTTATTGATAATGAAAATAATTGAACTATTGCTAAGAATTTTGTGGAAATTTTCGAAAAATAATTGAATTCTTCCGAGGAATTTAATTAAAATTTTGTGGAAAAAGAAAATTTTAATCTGAAGAATTTTTTAAAATTAACAGAATTTCTGCGAATAATTTTATTAAAAAATTTTCAAAATAATTGAATTCCTGGGAAGAATTTTAATAATTATGAAAATAATTCAATTTTTTCAAAGTATTTAATTTAATTTTTCATTTATAACGAGTTTTATCAAAATTTTAAAGACTAATAGAATTTTTGCTATGAATTTTATTAATAATATATAGAAAATAATTGAAATCCTGCCAAGAGTTTTTATTTTATATTTTAATAAAGAATAATTATAATATTCTGATTTAGTAATATCACTTATAATTTTTTGATTTAATTCTTTGAAAAAAATGGAATTTTTCTTAAAGAGTTTTATTCAAATTTTGGAAAATAATTGAATTCTTTCGAGGAATTTAATAAAAATTGTACTAAAAATAATTTAATTTAAATAAAGAATTTTTACAAAATTTTTCAAAATAATTGAATTTTCGCGAAGAATTTTATTAACTTTTTGAAAATAATTGAATTCATTTCATAAGTTTTCATTAACTAAAAATGTAAATAAATTGTTTCAAAGTATTTAATTAAATATTTCCAAAGTAATTGAATTTTTTCTGAAGTATTTTATTAAAATTTTTGATAATTGATTTTTTTCTGAAGAATTTTATTAAAATGTTTGAAAATAAACATTAATAGTGAAATTAGTAAATTAGTTAAGAATTGATTTTTTTTGAATTATGAAAATGAAATTATAATTTGTAAATAAAAAATTTTTCTAAATTGCATAAAAATAATAAAAAAAAATTGAATACAATTTATTGTGGTACAAGAATAATTACTAAATATATTAAGAAATAATTACAATTACAATAAAATAAAATTTTATCTTCAGGACTTTTGGCAACTACCAGTGCTCTGACTTATGGTCTTTATCAATTTAAAAAAGGCAATAGTATGAAACAACAATATGCCATGCGTGCTAGGGTTACTTTTCAAGGATTAACACTTGCTGCGGTTGTATTCAGTCTTTGGATTGCAAGGGCAAATGACATGAAAAAAAGGGGCGAAGAAAAATCTTGAAAAAAATTACTGACCGATTTTGTCTAATTTATGATAAATAGTTACATGTACAGCATAAATAGGACCTTAAGCCATTGTATTATTTATAAATAAAACATAACTGTTTTAATAAATTAGTAGGATTTTTAATATTTCAAATTTTCGCTGAATTATTTATTTTACTTTTTTCCCTTTTTTTATTTACCAGTATGATTTCTATTACAAAAAATACTTGGATAAAAATTCTTCACCTTTATTCGAAAATATAGACGAAAAATAGAGAAGATAATAATTATTTTACTCAACATTTTTCATCCTTGAAACTAATTTACAATTTTTACGAATTTATTTTCGAAAATTAATTTTTTAGAAATGGAAAATTTTAGGCGAATCAAAAGAACAACAATGACGTAGTATTAATTATTTCAGTTTTATTGATTATAAATCACAATAAATTGAATTTCAAATATTTTCAAAAAAAAGAAGAAAAGAGTATGAATATTTCGTACACTCTTTCAATATTATATCTAAGCAAAAATTTTACATAATATTTATCGCTGAGAAATACATTAAATTGTGTCTGTATTCTAAACTCAATACGATGCTGCGCTAATTACTGACTCAATTATTTTCTTAAACAAAAATTGTAGCCACAGCAGTGATATTATTAAAAAAAAATATTTCATACTTTTCTTAATATTCTAAAAAATAAGAGAGCAGGGTCATGGAATGCAAACCGTAATAAAAATTATTGCTTGCTTCTTAAATTCGAATATCTCAATTTATTACGTATTCGCAAAAAGAAAAAGATTTTTATTTAATAATTCAATTAATTATTGAAAACCAAATGTTTTGGTTAATTTTTTCTTGGGCAAAATAAAATTTGAAAAAAAAACCATGTTTTCCATGCAAGCTCATAAAAAATTACGTTTACCTGTTAAATAATAATTTGATCATATTTAATATACAATCACAATATTGTAAACAATTCTTTTCACCTGCGAAAAATTCTCTTAAAGCAAATAAACATAATTTATTCGCATTAAGTCTTTACAAAAAAAACACAAAATTAAATTAATTTTTTTACATGACAAAAAAAAACTTGAGTATGTTCGGGCAATGCCATTATTTCTATTTTTGAGTGTCTTTTTTCACTTCTTTTTTGTTTTTTTCCCTTTTCTTTTATACATTTCTTTTCAATCAGTCTTTTCAAATCGAGTAGTAGTAGTAGTAGTAGTAGACTATGAAGATAATCAAGTCTCTTTGTCGGAAACTCCTACGCAGAATACAATACATAATTGTCCAGCAAGTCGTCCTGGTTTCTTGTTCCACAAGAACAGATAATTGCTACAAAAAAGTCTCTTGGAGACTTTTTTTTCCTTTTTTTTAAATGTATATATTGATATTGGTAAATTTGATCAACCTAATCGTGACTTCTGTTGGAGAATGGCCATAAGAGTTTCGAGTTTTCTTGTACCACTTGTACTGTGGGATCGCAATCTTAATGTCGACGAATTTGACGATAATCCAAAAATTTCCTGCACCGTTGGACGTGAAGAGGAATAATCGGATTCTGTAATATTCAAATTTAAATATTTTGTCAATTTTTGTTTGTTTGCTATTTTTAAAAGAATTTTCTATAACACTATTTTTTGTTTAAAAATACTTTTTTGTATGATCTTAAAGTTTCGAAGGTTCAAATGAACGAAAATATTTTTATTACTTCTTTCAATTCGCATTTTAAAAAAAATTATCGTTTTTTATAATTAAGAAATTAACTTTTAACTAAATAAATAAATGGCAATATTTTTCACTCCAGTTTAGTAATTTTTAGAAATATTGTACGAGAATATATTTTCTCATTTAAACGATCAAAACTTTAGGGACTTTTTTTCCTGATTTCCAGGCAGAATTTTGACTTTTTTTTCTAATTCCTGTATAAAAAAATTCAAAGGCAATTCAATTATTAAAAAAAAGATAATTCTTAGAAACAAAAAACTCATTTTAAACTCTACGGTTGTCAAACTATTTTAAAAATAAAATTTATTTAATTTTACCCAATTATTTTCAAAAGTTCCAATAAAATTCTTAAAAAATTTAAGTCGCTTGTTTCGAGCCAGAAGTCTAACGTTTTTAAAAGCGAAAAATTAAAAAAGAATTATTTTTTCTAATTAATCCATTTCCATCTACACAAAAATAATTTGATCTTGAAGATAAACTAATACAAATAGTCTCATTATTTTTTTCCAAACTTCAGCTTCATGAAATTCAATTATTATTTTTTTTAATAAAATTTCATAAAAAATTGTAATAATTATTTCAAAAATTTTCAACTATTTCTTTATTAATATTCATTTATCGTTAAAAAATGGAATTAAAATATTTAAAAAACATAATTTTTCCAGAATTTCAAGTAAAACTTTTCGGAATTTCCAATTTTTTTTAAAATGATAAATTTAGTTATTTAAAAAATTTCAATTATTACGAAATTTTATTATTTCTAACAATAAAACTGCAATCCATCCAGAATTTAATTATTTTCAAGTATTTTTAACTAAACTTCTTCCTTAAATCAATTATTTTTAATAACTTGCCAAAAGCTTTTCGAAAATTCAATTATTTAAATACAATAAGTAAAATAATTGAATTTTAAAAAATTATAAAAAAAATTCTAAGAATTTGGTTTTTAAAATAATTTAATATTCTTTTTTTAAAGCTAGTTTTCATTTTGATTTTTCATTAAAATTTTAAAGAATTTAATTATTTTCAAAATTTACAATTGAAATTCTTCAAAATTTGATTTTCAAAAATTTTAATAAAATAGTTAAGAAAATAATTATTGTATCAATAAAAGTTTACAAAATTTCAATTATTTAAACACTTTTTTTCAATATATTTCGAAAATTTAATTAGCTTAGTAAAATTAGTCAAAAATAAATTTTGAAATATTTGACTATTTATTTTTTACTCTATAAAAATCCAAGTAATTTTCATTCTATACCAAAAAAGTGGTAATTTTTTGAAATATTAAGAAGAAAAGTAAAAAAAGTCTCATTTTTTGAAAATAAGTCGAAAAAAGTCAAACTATCCAAGATCTACAATTGTTTAATAAAATTATTTAAAAAATTCAAGTATCTTTAAAAAAACTAACTTAAAATTTCTTCAGTGAAATCTATTTCCTTAAAATTTTAAATAAAATTATTTAAAACTCAAATAACTTTTTAAATAAATATTTATCAGTCATTTTTTGATAGAAAATATTGAAATTTTCAAAAATTTTACTTTAAAACCTACTGAAATTCAATTATTTCCGAAAATTGCAACAATAATTAACTAAAATCTTTTCCAAGTTAATAAAATAATTCGCAACTTTAATGAATTTATTCTAGAAATTAATTATTTAAAACAAATTTAATTATTCGAGAAATAAAATTAAAACAGAAAAAATATCAAGTTATTATTTAAAATTAAAAATTCTCTGATATTTCCCTGACGAATTTTTTTTCCGGAGTTTTCCTTGAATTTCCTGATTTCCCTGACTAGTATTAATTATTTATTTTAATATTAACAATAAACCTTGTATAAATAATTAATTAACTCTCATATAGATAAAATTATATTTAGTAGAAAATAGAAATAAAATTCACTAACCAATTAATGGAGTCTCGTCGTACAGTGATCCCTGTCTTTTATTACCTATAAATGAATTTCTAGCAGTATCGACATTTGGTACATTTTGCAAAGATTCGGCAGCGTGCTTCCATCTGAGATGATCCTTGACATGAGTGTTTAGTTGTCTCAGCCATTTTTGAGCCTCTTCACTCGAATCTAATTTGATTATTGACGTTTTCTCAGCACCGTCGATAGTGTTAATAATGCGCAATTCCTTCGAAGATTTTGTCGGCTGAATGGAAGTTTCCTGAAAGATGTATAAAAATATTTTGTTTAAATCTTTATTTACAATCTAAAAATATAAAATTTCAAATTTTTAAATCTCTAAATCTAAATCTTAGAAGAATTTTTATTTTTTCAGAATTGGTATATTTAAAAAAAATTCTTGATAACAAATTTTGATCTATTAAAAATTATAATTCATATAAATTGTGATTTTTAACTTATAATTTATATAAATTATAATTTTTAATTTGTACAATTCATATAAATTGTAATTTTTAGTTTGTAATTTTTAGTTCGTAATTTATATAAATTGTAATTTTTCATTTGTAATTCATATTGTAACTTTGAATTTATACATTTTTTGCTAAAAAATTATTCTTAATTTTTAAATAAAACATTCTGAGAAAATGACAATTCTTCTAATAAATAGAATTTGTTTATTCTTTTCGAATTCAAATGAATATTATTAAAAACAGCGAATAATATGAATAATCAATAAAAAATTTATTCACTCTATTAACAGCAATGACGTGAGCAGGACTTTGATCTTCTTCAGCTAATTTTCTCGATTCCCAGGTTTGTATTTCAAATCCCTGCAGTCGAGCCCAACAATTTCGTCCATTCAAATTAATATTTCCTGTACATATTTCTTTACTCACGCAGTCTGGTTGAGCAGCCAGACGACAGCAAAAATGCCCGAACAGAGGTAGTGCGTGATTTTTATTTTCTTCAATAAAAAACGACAAAAATCAATTAGAAATTTTATGCGCAATATTATGTTAATAGAAAAATTACAAATACTCAAAATAGTGGAAATTTAAAAATAAAAAATACGTAGTTAATGGAAATGACTAATAAAGTGTTAAGAAAAGTAATAAAATAAAAAATTAATTTTTTTTTTAATTTTTATTTAATTAATTTCTTTTTGAAATTTTGATTTTCATATATTAATTTCCATGTTTAATTTTTATTTCATTAATTTTTGTTATTAATTTCTTTGTTGAATTTTTATTTTATAAATTTCTGTGTTAGTTTATTAATTTACCCAAATTGTTGATAACCAAATCGTGTGTATGAATATTATCGTCCGTGTCGTCCAACGATAATCTCGCCGATGCCATTAATTCAAATTGTGGTCCCCTGGAATAATATTTGTTTTTTCTTATTCGGTTTTCTTGTAAATAAAATTACAATAGATCAATATTTGACTTTACTTACATTTTTCCCGAGTTAAGCTCATCACGCAGGGAAGCGGCCAATTTTTTACCAACTGTTTTTGAAATCGAGGAATGAATTGTCCTCTTGATTCTTCGTGGTGTGCTCGCAATACTCATATCTTCCTGAAGAATATGGCTGTATATCTCAAGCGTCAATTGGAAATTTTCTGGCACGTTATTACTGCAAAAAAAAAGAGAAAAATTGTTTATTAACTAATTCGTAAATAATTAATGAAATGGAGAAAAATATTTTGAATATTGAAACTTTTTTTTCAACATTAGCAATTTCTTTTCAACATAAACCATTTTTTTCAACAATTTTTTAAAAATTACCTTAGAACTTTTGTTCATTTTAAAAATTTTATTCGACAATAAAAATATATTATTTTCAACTAAAACTACGCTAATAAATTTCTTTTTAACAAAAAAAATTTATTTTTATCCATAAAAATTTATTTGCAACACTAAAAATTTATTTTCAAGTTTAAAAATTTATTTTTAACTATAAAAATACCTTTAAAAAATTCTTTTCTCTAATTTGCAACATTAAAAATTTATTCTCAACTAAAAATACCCTTCATAAATTTTATTTAACATTAAAAATTTATTTTCAAACAAAAAAAACCTTTAAAAAAATTCTGTTCAACATGAAAAATTTGTTTTTAATATTAGAAATTTATTTTCAACTCTAAAAATATCCACCAAAAATTCTATTCAACATTAAAAATTTCTTTTCAACAATAAAAATTTATTTTTAACTAACTTAATAAATTTTTTTCAGCATTAAAAATTTATTTTCAACTTTAGAATTTCTTTTCCAACTAAAAAAGTATTTAAAAAAAAAATTCTTTCCGACAGAAAAAATTTATTTGCCAGATGAAAAATGTTTTATCAATTTTAAAAATTTATTTTCAACAAAACAACCCTTGAAAAATTATGTTCAGCATTAAAAATTTATTTTCCTCAATAAAAAAAATTTTTCAACATTAAAAACTTATTTATAACATTAAAAATTTATTTCCAACTTTAAAACTACTCTCAAAAAATTCTTTTCAAGAATAAAAATTTATTTTCAAGTTTAAAAATTTCTATTCAACACTAAAAATATATTTCCAACTAGAAATACCTTTAAAAAATTCTTCCCATCATTAAAAATTTCTTTTCAACCATAAAAATTAATTAGCAACATTAAAAATTTATTTTCAAGCTTAAAAATTTATTTTAAACTAAAAAAAACCCTTAAAAATTCTGATCAACATTAAAAATCAATTTGCAACATTAATAATTTATTTTCAGTTAAAAATATTGTTAAAAAATTCTTTTCAAGATTAAAATATCCTTAAAAAAATTTTTTAACAACTTTAAAAATTTATTTCCCACGGTAAAAATTGAAGAAATAAAAAAAAAGTATTTACATATTAAAAAAAAAGAATTCTGAAAATTTTCTTACAATACTAAAACGTCTGGAAAGCTGATATCGGTAAGAACACGATCGACGGGCCAGAGAAGTGCAGTGTCGTGAATTTCAGTGCCAATACGAGCCAAACAGAAGACGGCAAATCTTCTATAATCTCCTCGATTTTTGAAGTGATCCGAATCTCTCCACATTAGAGGCACCCTCAGATCCGAAAATGAGACTCTTGCAGTACTGACTGTCTGTACACTAAATAAACAAACAAAAAAATATTAATTTACTTATTAATTATTAATAATTATTATTAATTTGATTTTATCAAAAATATTCTATTTAAAATTCGAAATATTCATTTTAAAACTAAAAATGACAATAAATTTGAAATACAGTCGAACCTGTCGGAATGCAACTGTATTTTAAAAATTTTTTTCCATTCAAAAAAGTTCACCAAAAATTATTTTCGCTTAGTTCCAGAATATTGTAAAAATCTAAAAATATTACAAAATTAAATTATAAAACAATTTTTTAAAGATTTTTTACTGTAATAAAATTTAAAAAATCGAGTTGCATTTCGACAGGTTTCACTGTATCAAAATTTAAAATCTAGGCTAAAAAAATATTTCCTTAAAAAAATTTGTGTTTTTTTTTAAATTTATTTTTTACTTTTTATTTTCTTTTTATTTACTTCAAATTTCTTCTATTTTTATTTCATCAATTAATAGAAGTTAGATTTATTTTGGTTTATTTTATTAATTTTTTTTCATTCATTTATTTAATAATTTATTTTTTTAAATTTATTTTCAGTTTATTTCATTTGAATATTTTTTTTTTTTTTGATTTTCTAATTTATTCTATTTATCTATTTGATTTTCAGGCATAATTTACCTCGATTTGCGACGTTGTAATTCAGCCATGTACGTGGACATCCTTTCGTTGGATGTCAAGAGTGCTTTGGCAGCTTCCAAGCATTGCGCACGATGTCGAGATGCTGCCAAAAGTCTCGTCGATCCTTCTCGCATTTTAATCTCCACTTCGATCTTCTGCTCGAGGTCATAATCCTGAAACAAAAACATTAAAAAAAATTTTAACAACATTATAATATTACCGAGAATAAATTCTCGTCAGAATTGAGTACAAATATTGACATTCTTAAAAAAATAAGCCTCACATAATATAATAAATGGCTTAAGGTCGAATACTTTATCAAGTTTAAAAAAGGAAGAAACAAATTTCAAAAGAGTCAAAGCAAAAAAAAATAACACAAGTTTTTCCTTTTATCTGTAATAATTTTTTTTTAATTTCACATTTTTTTATAACTTAATTTTTAATATTGATTTTATTTTTCTATTAAAAATTTATTACATCTTCAATATTTTTTTATAACTTAATATTTTTATTTTTTAATTTTCCATTAAAAATTTTCACTTAAAAATTTTTTTTTAATTTTCTTTTATCAGTTTGAACAAAAATCATCATTTAATTTATTTATTCAACATTTCGTTATTTTTTACTTTCGAACAATTTAAAAAATTTTTTTTATTTAACAATTTGAACAAAAATCACCATTTAATTTATATTTATTCTTTATTTATTTATTTATTCAACATTTTATTGTTTTTTACTTTCCAACAATTTAAAAAAAATTTTTTATTTAACAATTCGAACAAAAATCACCAGAATCATTGTTTTGAAAAATTGTGTTTGAGATAAAGGAAAAAAAAACAGTTCAAATTTAATAAATTTAATTTATTTATTTTTACTTTCTAACAATTTAAAAAAATTCTTATTATTTAACAATTTGAACAAAAAGCACCAGAGTCATAGTCTTGAGAAATTTTATTCGAAAATTGGAAAGAGAAGAAAGAAATTCGTTGAAAGGATGAGTTTTTGAAGAAAAAATTGTTTTTTCCGCCTTTTGCTAAAATAGAAATAGCAAAAGTGAAGTAAACGAAATAATTAGCGTAATGATGTTAATTTTCTCACTGTTTGATTCAGAGTATCTGCTAGAAGTCGCATCACGATTCAAAAATAGTGCGATGACTAATACTTTCGACAAGAAATTTTATTTTCCCCCTCGCAATTATTTTTTGCAATTAAAAATCACATTTTCGCTAATTAATCTAATTATAATATTATGAGAGCGTAATAAACGTATTTTTCACCGTATCACACTTAGAATATACATTAAAGATAATAATTTTAATTTCTTTCTCTATAAAATTGATAATTCAACCGAAAATCACCAAATCACTTTTTAAAATTAATAAATTCGAGAATCAAGAAAATCAGAATTAAATATCTAGAATAAAAATAAAACAAAAAGAAAATAAAAAGAAATTAAAAAGAAATTAAAAATGGGATAAAAATAAAATAAAATAAAAATAATATAGAAATAAAATAAGATGGAAATAAATAAAAAGCAGAGAGTTTTTTCTTATCTAGAAAATTGAGTATTTTTGCGATAAATTAATTAAAGGAAAATTGCAACCACGAAAAAATTCACTTATTTCTTGAATGCAATGAAAAAAAATTCACTTATTTAATAACTTTGAAGAAACACAAAAAGACGTAATTTGTTCAAATTGCCACGAACGACTGAAAAGAAACTTAACAGTAAATGTACAGCTTAACTCGTAATATTGTAATGCTACGAAAGTGGGGAATAATAAATTCACTTTATTCATTTTCACAATCATAAGTGTGACTTTTCCAATTTGTACGATAAATGAATTTGTTTATTAATCATTCCTGATACTGCTTTCTAAAAACAATGATAATTTTCATTATATTTCAACTGCATTTGCAGTTTTAATAAAGAAATTAACTGCCTACATTTATTAAAAGTTTTAAATTAATTTTATAAGACTTAAAAATTAATTAATTAATTTTAGCAAAGGCGTAATTATTTTTTAAATTAAATATTTTGTTTTTGTTTTTCTAATAATAAATTAATATCTATAAATTATAAATTAACAAAATAATAAATTAATATAAATTAATAAAAAATAGAAACTAAAAAATAAAGACAGAATAAAAATAAAGAGGACAATAAGATAAAACAATAAAATGAGAAAATAAAATTTTACAATAGAAATTAAAAAAATAAAATGGAAAAATAAAACTAGAAAAACAAAATAAAATAACAAAAATAAATAAATAAATAAAATATGAAGTCTTTTGTATTATAATAATTATTTTTAGAAAGGTAATTAGTATTATGAATAAATAAAGAAATAAAAATACAAAAATAAAACCAAAAACAGAACTAAAAAAGTAAAAGCAAAAAAGAAAAATAAAACGAAACATTCAAAATAGAAAAGTTAAAAATAAAATTTAAAATAAATAAAATATTGAATATTTTATTAAAATAATTATTTTCCGAAAAGTAATTATTATATACAATCGATTATAAATTTGCGAAAAGGAAAAAAAAAGTTCCAAAAAATATCAAATGATAATTTTATGTAATAACGATAATAAAAATCGCATATATATATTATAAATTATTTATCAAAGAATCACACAATTCACAGGAAGTTGGTAGTTTCCTGTCTTGAAAGGAGATAACACATTTAAATCTCTTTCGAGTTTGGTAGAATTTCGTTGCAATTGCAAAATCTTTTAAAAGCCAAATCAGCAAAAATGTCTATTAATAATGACGTTCATTAATTGTGAATTTAAATTTTGTCACGCGTCGACAAAGCAGGTGTTTAATTTTTCACTTACATCTATGAGAAAATAATCTTCTTACATAAGAAATTATAACATAATTAATATGAACAATATTTTTTCAATATTTCAATATTTTCCCCTTAAAAATAAAAATAAGAAATAAAAAATATTTATTTTTTATTCATTTGGAAAAATAAAAAATGAATAATAATTAAAGTACAATAATATAAAAATTAGTAACAATATAATTATGTTTTATTGAACTAAGTAAAGAAAATACAATTAAAATAATAATACTAATAATAACAATAAAAAACTAAAAAATATAATAGTAATAAAAAAGAGCAATAACAATTATTATTATTAGAATAATATATCGAAGTAAGTAAAAATAAATGAAATAAATAATTTATATAGTAAAATAATAATATTAAATAAATCTTAGAGTAATAAAAAATAAAGAAATAAGTTAGAAAGAAATGAAGAAAAATAAATAGTAATTATAATAATGATTGTTATTTATTATTGATTATTATTTATTCATGTAATTCTTCGAAATAATACTTTTTTAATTAGAAATAAACAATATTATTTTTATTTATGAATAAATAAATAAATAAATTTCTGACGTTAGTAAAAAATGGCAAAATTATCTTAAAATCAGTTTTTGCGGTTAAGTATATGCGGCGAATAAGGGATTCTTTCATGGTGAGAAATTTTCGAATTTACATTCTCCCCTTTTTTTTTTTTGCAATAAAAAAAATCGTAACTCGAGAAAGGTAATAAGAAAATTTATCGAGCGTAATAAACTATAAAATCTGCTTGTGGCAAAACAGGATCAAAAGAACAATCTTAGATCAAATTTCAAATCTCCGATGCAATTAAAAATTAAATATATGTTAATACAAGACGAGAAAAAAAGATTTTTATACTTATTCAATATCGTAAATAATAATACAAATAACACAACAACAATATCAATCAATCAATTGAATAATCGAAATATAGATTACAAATTTATCATTATGTGTATAATTTTCCACAGTGGAAATTATGAAATACGAAATTATATTTAATCGTAAAAAAAGTTGGTGGAAAAATTCGTCAAAAAAAAAAAAAAAAATTAAAGTGATAAAATAAAACGTAAAGAAGTAAATAAATAAAGTAAATACAAAAGTGAATAAATAAAGAAAGTAATAAATGAAGGAGGTAGTAAATAAAGAAGTAAATAAATAGGGAAGTAAATACATAAAGAAGTTAATAAATAGAGAAGTAGATACGTAAAGAAGTTAATGAATAGAGAAGTTAATAAACCCTGATAAAATACAATTATATTTGGTTCAGAGATTTTTATTTATTTATAGACATTTATTTAATGGTTTCAAAAAAATTTAATTTGATTCAAATAAAAATTTTTATCTACATCGAATAAAATTTTTAATAAAAGCAAAAAAATGATTTATTATGCTCAGAGGCTCAAATAAATTATATTTTGTTTAAATAAATTTTTTCTTGATAAATAAAGAAATTAATATATCTAAAAAAATATTTGACTCACTAAAATTTGTTTCAAATAAATTTTACTTGGTTTAAATAAATTTTACTTGGTTCAAATCAATTTTACTTGGTTCAAATAAATTTTACTTGGTTCAAATAAAAATGTTATTTGCGTCAAATAAAATTTTTCTTTAAAAGAAATAAATTATTTATTACGCTCTGAGATAATTATAATTTTATTTAGGTCGCAAATAAATTATACATTAGATTTAAATAAAATAGGTTAGGTAATAAATAAAGAAGTTAATCATTTTCAAAGTTAATAAATAAAGAAGTTAATAAATAAAATTAGTTAATAAATAAAGAAGTTAATAATTAAAGAAGTTAACAAATAAAATAACCTAATAAATACAGAAGTTAATAAATAAAGAAGTTAATAATTAAAAAAGTTAATAAATAAAATAAGTTAATAAATACAGAAGTTAATAAATAAAGAAGTTAATCATTTTCAAAGTTAATAAATAAAGAAGTTAATAATTAAAAAAGTTAATAAATAAAATTAGTTAATAAATAAAGAAGTTAACAAACAAAATAACTTAATAAATAAAATAAGTTAATAAATAAAGAAGTTAACAAACAAAATAACTTAATAAATAATGAAGTCAATAAATGAAGAAGTTAATAATTAAAAAAGTTAATAAATAAAATAAGTTAATAAATACAGAAGTTAATAAATACAGAAGTTAACAAACAGAATAACTTAATAAATACAGAAGTTAATAAATAATGAAGTTAATAATTAATAATAAAACTATTTTTTAATAATTGTAATTAAGTTAATAAATAAAATAAGTTAATAAATACAGAAGTTAATAAATAAAGAAGTTAA